TCTGTCCGTCTGTCTGTCCGTCTGTCTGTTTCTACGCGAACTAGTCTCTCAGTTTTAAAGATATGGAATTCAAACTTTGCACACACCCTTCTTTCCTTTGCACGCAGTATATAAGTCGGAACGGCCGGGATCGGCCGACTATATCCTATAGCTGCCATATAACTGATTGATCGGAAATGCCATAACTCTGCTGTTTGTTAAGTTAGGAAGTTGGGACTTTCTATGGGTTTTATATTTGGCCAATCAATACGACGTACCAAATTTCATAAGGATCGGCCGACTATATCCTATAGCTGCCATATAACTGATTGATCGGAAATGCCATAACTCTGCTGTTTGTTAAGTTAGGAAGTTGGGACTTTCTATGGGTTTTATATTTGGCCAATCAATCCGACGTACCAAATTTCATAAGGATCGGCCGACTATATCCTATAGCTGCCATATAACTGATTGATCGGAAATGCCATAACTCTGCTGTTTGTTAAGTTAGGAAGTTGGGACTTTCTATGGGTTTTATATTTGGCCAATCAATCCGACGTACCAAATTTCATAAGGATCGGCCGACTATATTCTATAGCTGTCATATAACTGATTGATCGGAAATGCCATAACTTTGGTTTTTGTAAAGTTAGAAAAGTGGGATTTTTTATGAGTATTAAGAATGCATCATATGAATAATTTTGGAGAATATAATTTGCAGAATATTCTGCAAGGGTATTTAAACTTCGGCTCCGCCCGAAGTTAGCTTTCCTTTCTTGTTTTGATTCAACTTTCACAAATTTTATCCTGATTCGGTTTTCAATATATTTATATTTTGCTATTGAAGTTTTATTCATTAAAATTGACATTTATAATCAGCCTTAGAACTGAATTTATAAAATTGGAAACATTTGGAAAATACTGTGTAGGAAACCTTTTAAAAAAACATTTATTGTGATATTTTTCCTTTGTGTAGGAGGCGCGTGTAGTGTTGACAGTTTTCGGAGTTTTCCCAGTGTCCCTTCGGCAGCTGCAGCGGTGTCCTTCTTGTGGCTGGGTGCCTACGAGTCTATATAGAGTCCTTCTGGTCCTGCTGCTCCTACTGAGCCTTTACTGCCGACTATTGCCAAAACAAACAATGACACCACCCGCTCCATCTGGGCAATTTCTCCTTGACTGGCCGCCAATGGAATAGTCGACTTGAGCTGTTGCGTTAGAGTAAATGTTTCCATCTAATGACCCCTATCCCTGCAGCAGGATGGTGGTCCTGCCCCGAGGTCCCGAGGCAGATTTCCCATCAAGGAGTCTTGTGCGGTTCCTTCGACTGGGTTTCTTTCTTACCGCCACGGCCACTTACCACTTACCACTTACCGCTTACCACTTACCACTTTCCAATGCCAAAGTCTGTGTGTTGGCCGCCCTTCGTGCCTCTTTAGCGCTTATCATGCTCAAATGGTAATTGAAGGGCCATAGAAAAACTATTTATCCTGAGGCTGCCGAGCGTGCTCTCCTCGATGTTGTTCTTGTTGCTGTTATTGTGGTTATTCAATATTACTCAGTCGTTGTCCATTGATAAAAGGGCGAAGGGGAGGGGAGGGGAGTGCAGGACAGACACAATGGATGCATTGAACCCAAACCCGAATCAGAATCTGAATGCCAACCCAAGCCAAACCCAAAAAACCCCTATCACTACCCTTTGCCATTTGTTTTCTTTTTTTCTCTCTCCATTTCAATGTTTTATTAAATTTGTTTCCAGTGCCCTAGTACTATTTTCCCCTTGTGTTTCCTGTTCGCCAACGAGTTTTATGACAATTTCCACTTTTTGCCATTGTCGATTTGATTTTATTACCGCTCTCGGTTTTGTCTATCGAGTGTATGATGTTGTCATCATTATGCCGATTAGTGGATGGGTTTTGGGTTTTGCATGTTGTCAAGGTTAATTGAATTTTCGCTTTGCTGCGTTTCACTGTTGCTATCTTGCAGATATGGGCTAAAAAAAAGAATGATGAGCCAACTACTATCTATCTTTATGGGGGCCACTAAACCATAATTTCGCCACAGCAGTGGCCAGGATACTAGCGATGAGATGACACTTTCCATTAACGTTATCTCCCTGATCCCCCGACCAATGGGTTTTACAGCCAAGGATTAATTATGCACACGCCTCCGAATTTTACTCGATTGCCGTCATAAAGCCAGTGGACTTTGCACGGAAAAGTTGAGCGACAGCCGTGAAATAGTCGTAAATGTTTTATTTGGATATCACTGGATAGGGTTTCGCTCTTTGGCATTTCGTTTATGATAGGAAATTATTAACCCAATTTTTCCTTCCTGCCGCTGAGTAATTTAATAGAATAAAGTACACATATATTCAGATATTGATTATTTACTTACCAATAAAGTAACAAATTAACAACATAACCGAAAAATAATTGTTTTTTATTTCCAAGGCAATGATATTAATTTCAAACATAGATAAATTCTTAAGAACACTTTTCCCATTTTTCCATTTTAAAACTAGTCTTTCCACAAAAAAATTTATAGTTTTTGGATAAGTTTTTTAAACCTTTCGAAATGTAGTCTGAAAATTTGTTCTTTACTGCAATGCAGCAAATCGAAAACTATAGATGGTTAACTATCATTGGAATATCAATTATTTGTAGTTTAAATATGGCTGGCATATTTCTTTTGATGTTCCGTTAAGTTTCTGTATATTTATCTTGTTTTTTGCAGAGTCGACAATGGCACCAATTTAGATTCAGATCACGGAAATTGCTTTCCTAAACTTCTAATAATTGCTTTAAATTCTGGGCACACTTGGCGTCGACTTTGTTTTGTGGATACGAAACGGAAAACATTCCCTTCAGGTTGGTGCAGGCAGATTGAGGAAAATTCGTGCAGCAGATACTTTTTCGCTGCTTTGTTATAATTCCACAGCAAGTGCGCACATTGCCTTTGTGCCAGTCGAAATCGGTAAATAAAGTTTTCAAAGTTGCACAAACTGGCGGCAACAACAATCCGGAGAGGTGAAGTGAACCGGAGCAGCAGAAAAACAAGGCGAAAAAGAGGAGGCCACGCCAATTCCTTGTACAAGTGCCGCTCGATGCCAACAAGTTTGCTGAAATTCTCCCACTTGGCCAACTGGGTATCGCAGGTATCCTAAGCCAGCGAAAACATATCCAACGTGGCGACCGAAGATGGGCGACTCTTTTTGGGCCAGAACTTCCACGGCTGGCAGCCCGCTGAGCCAAAGCCTAGTCTTAAGCCGAGGACCAACATGAAGTTACCAGGAGGGGGCAAAAGGAAAAAGAAATCCAGCTTCGACTCCAGAAGTAGCATCAAACTTTTATGCACAGCACCATGTTTGGTTTGTCTTTCCAGCTTCCGCCTTTCTCCCTTCCCCTTTCTCCTCGCCTCTCGACTTTCTTCCCTTCTTTGTGTGTGTGTGTGCCAGTGTGTGTGCGTATTTGCGTGGGCGGATAGTTGGCTTTGGCCTTTTTGGGGCGGCGGAAATGGGGTTTCGGCCCGGTTGGCTGTCAGTTGTCGGTTGGCTTTTAATGCTCATACAGGGTGACATTATTACTGCCTCCAAGGAACCACTAAAGAAGTCCGTAGAGAAGTTACGAAATGTGAACATTTAAATTAAAATAATTTGCTTTCATCAAAAAAAACTGTTACATAAATCTAAATAGTAAAATTATAATATTATTCTTTTAAGATAAACTAGATGGCCTTAAGCAAATAATAATTCAAACCTATTCAAAATTGGAAACTATATAAACATACTATATATTGTTATAGGTGTAAGAATGTTGTTATTTAAATATATTTATTTGCCGTTCTTAGATTCCAATAATAAAGAGATTTAATAAACTACTTTGGCAGTTTAAACGTCTAATAGATTATTTTATCATTTAATAAATTATAACTAAAAAACTGTTTTTTTTAGAACAGTTGCAGTAAATGATATACAAATTTATAATCGCTTAGTTATTCTTTTAAAGCCAGGAGATAAGAATTTTATGTAATCATAGCCAAAATATATACTAAAACTGACCTATAATCTGAACTAGTTTTTGTAAAGCTTTAATTTCTGACAAGCTTAATTTCTCACAAAAGAAGTGGTTAAGGAAATCAATGATATTGCAAAGCATTTATATAGATTTTAAGCTTAAAACCTTTAAAAGTACCATACTCAAATACTTTCACAAGATTTTTTGAAGCACCCTCTTCCCAAGCTTGTTTATCGCCAACTTTTTGCACCCACAAAAAGTAAAATGCAAGTGCAAAAAAGCGCAAAAGAAGACAAGGCCATTGTTTTTTTCTGCCTCTGCTGCTGCTGTTTGTGTTGGTGTTGTTGTGGGCGTTGTTGTTGGCATTCTGGTCCAGTCGTGCCACTCAAAGCGCCAACAGCAGCAACAACAACTCGAGGAAATTGTCGCCGTCGAGCGGGCGAACACGCCAAAGTTGCCGCGAGTGCAAGTGCAAGTATGTCTTTGTGCCCCAGCAGCAGCAACAGCCAGCAACAGCAGCAACAACCAGCAGCAACACGCCCCCTTATGACCGCCCAAAAGCCAACTTGGTGTAGAATTAAAGCCAAGACATCAGGGAATATAAGATGGAAATGAAAAAAAAACTCACTTCCCCTGCGCACATGCGCAATGCCTCAAAATGGACGCCGGGGAAATCGCCAGCCAATCGCAACGATGCTGAGGTGTGGCCTCCGATTTGCGAGGGACTTACTCTCCGTCTGAATTTCCCTCGCTGCTAATAATCACTTGAGACATGCGCAGTGCGAGCGGAGAGGGGGTTGCTGCAACCCTTGCACCGGGGCAACCCCCGGCGTCACGTGCAACAACGACGATTGCTGTTGCCGCGGGGACATCGGCAGTTGTTGCTCCGTTGCTTTTGTAAACAGGCGCAGGCGCATTGCGCGGGGGTACATTTCAGCTGGGATTTTTCGGATGGGCAAAGTGAAATGCTTTGATTTCGCTGATTGTTCGATCACACGCCAACTGACAGCGAACGCGGCTGGTTGTCCTCGCTCCCGAAACGGAAAAATATAAAACCGACAGACCAAACAGTATATAAAGCGTAGTGAAAATAATCAAAGACTCGACTTCGTGTGTGTGTTTCGCGTGTTTTTGTGTGGTGTTGCATGTGGCCTTTGGAGACTTAAAGCTAACAAAAACAAAACTGATTAGAGTGTGTGTGTGGTGGGAACTTGTATAAGATGCTGGAGTTTTACCCAATGCCCACGAATCTGAATCCAGTCGGTGGCAGCTTGTACTCGCTGCAACAGAATCATGGCGGGGCACGCTTCCTGGACAATCCCAATCCCGGCAGCATGACTGGCAACGGCAGCAACTCCCTGCACCTCAGCAACAACAATCTGCCAACGAGCATATCCGGCAACAATAGTCCCACAGGAACGGCTTCATTAACGGGCCAACAGCAGCAGCAGCAACACCTCCACCAGCAACATCAGCAGCAACACCAGCAGCAACACGCAGCCTCGACCACGCCAATTAACAGCTGCCCCACGCCCACAGGACACAGCCCTCTCAGCAGCAGCAGCAGCAACAACAATAACAGCAACAGCAGCAACCTCAACTCCGCCTGCAACACATTAACAGCTGCTGCTGCTTCTGCTGCTACTGCTGCTCCATCGGCAAACTCAGCGAACTCAGTAGCCACCTCGCAATTAGGCGGAGCAGTTGCTGCGGCGATTGCTGCTGCTGCTGCCGCTGCTGCGACGACAGCAACATCGGCCCCCGCGGCAACAGGAAACGGAAATGGCAATGGAGGAAATGGAGCAAATGGAGGAGCTGCAGCAACGGCCTCGGCAGCAGCAGCATCCAAATTGTCTGCCGATTGTAGTGGACGCACAGGTATGTTCCAAAAGTATTTTTCACCGGCAGTCGAGGCATTTACCGGCTCGTTCCGTTTCTGGGGTTTTCACGCTTTTCGTTTTTGGCATAGTTGCGTGTGCCCGGCCTGCGGGTCGGAGCCCAGTGAGTCCCAGTGAGTCCCAGTTGGCCGGACTCCGGCTCCAGATTGTGTACGACCGCCCACACCTGACTATGCCGGCAGATTGCGTGCGATTTCCTTGGCTTTTTGGGCCCCGAGGAATGCTCCTTCGGGGGAAATATATATTTTCTTGATTTTAAATTGGCAATCAACTTTAACACTGCGCGTTCTTACTCCAAAGTTGTTTGCTTATAATTCAATTTACATTTATTGCCTTTTATAAATTTGTAATCTTATCATTCATTTTCTTATGTTATGCATTTTTTTGCTTTTTTTCAAATCCTTTAAGAAATTACATTTATTTAAATTGAATTGTTTTTTATTGCAAGTATTATTTAAAAACGCAAAAAGCAATTTAGTAACTTATCTTTTCTTTTTTTCACCAGAATATAAATTGATTGCTATTTATTTTTACATTTCAAAATGCAAAAACAACGTTAAGATAACTTTTTTGAATAAGTCTATTATGTTTAATAATAATATTAAAAAAGCAAAACATTTAAAAAACATTTGTGTCACTTTTTATTTTACTTATACAACTTTTTGTTTTTTTTAAGTTTACTACTTATTTTACTTATTTACCTTCTTTCATAATTTAAAAACAGTACCCATTTTAAGCAGTTTAAAATAAAATAGAAGAACTTCAATAAAAAATGTTATCTTTATTTATTTCGCTGTTAAAAGGCATCTAAAATGTTTTTGATGAATGCACAAAAAGTTCTGTAAATATTGATTATATCAATATTTACTTACAACTTTGTGTGATTGTGGACTTAATTAAAACTCATGTTTCTGCGTGTTCAAAGAGTCAGAGAAATTTTTAGCCTATTAAATTTGCCAGAGGTATATTTTCTATTTAATCTGGCATTGATTTCAATTTGTTTCGGGCTTTTTGGAAGCCAGGCAAATAAAAACAGGTAAATAGAAATTGGGAATGCAGACATAAACGTGAATTGACAGAGGCGGCCAATGAATTATGAATTTGTGACGTTGCAACACACACACACACATGTTGGGGATAGTTTGGTGGGGTGGAATGTGCGGGAAGTATGGCCGAAAGTATTTCCAAAAGTATGAACGCAAGTTGACCACAAAATAATTTTGACAATGAACCTGCCAGAGGGCGTGGCTCGACCAATAAAAGGCTATTAAGGCATGCCACATCCGCATCCACATACACACCCACACACTCCCTCTCACACACACCCATGCATTGGCATGCAGGCGGCACACACACACACATCATCTCGTACGACAGCCTCAAAATAGGCAACACTTTTCAGCTGAGCTGCAACGAAAGTGTTGCTGGAAAAACTTTTGCGAATTTCCCTCCGAAATGCAAAGTGTGCAAACAATGTGTGTGATGCATATGCAGACCAGACCTCGTCCGAGGCTAAGTGGATTGTGTTTTTGGTTTTTTAGGGGCACTCATCAACCACTCACCATCGTCAACCGCCCACAACTGCTGCTCCTTTGCCGGCAAACTTTTGGATTTGCCTATGAAATTTCTATTAATGCTTGCATTCTGCCATTTACCATTTACCATTTGGCATTGCCAAAATGGCAGCAAATAGTTTCCGCTTCCACCTCAAACTCCACTATCCTGGGCAAACACTTGCCCGTCGACAGCTAAACTACTATCAATGCCCCACACTTCGGCGAGGTCGAGGAATTTCGAATGGGCGAGGTTCATGTGGGCGGGGATTGGAGGGCAGACCACGGAAATGAGCACACTCAGTGTCAGGTATTCCACCGAGCGTATCAGCATACATATCTGGCTTCTGCGGTGGCTTCAACTTCACCCATCTGCAGGGATATTCCCCAGTGGAATTGGTGTGCATTTGTGTGGCGGAAGTATGCCACACGCATAGCTCTATGTCACTTTCACGTTGCCATCCAGGTGCACTGGTGTAAAAACCTCTTCTGAAAGCCAGGAAAAAGTTAGTTCCACTTATGAGAATGCTCCCTAAAAAAACAATCATAAAAATCGATTGGTTCTGTTACATCAACTGGGCAAGATAATTGATCAAGACACAATCTTACATAAAAAGGGAAAAAAGGGATAAATAACTTTTATTCCTTGGTGATTCTGGTCTTAAGTCATAAAATAAGTCATAAAGTTATTACTATTGGGTTTTTCAAATCTTCAAAAGTTTGAAAACCAAACGTGTGTTTTACTATATGCTATATTTATTTATCTTGCTGAGGAGATATTTCTTTTTATATTTTTAAAACTGTATTAGGACTTTCTATTACTATCACAATAAAGGGGTATCATTGATTGAGTAGTAGTCAAATAGGCAAGACACGAATCTTTTCTATGCTTGCCAAATACAATTTAAAAGCCTTGTTCTGTAGGCAAACAATTAAACCAAGTGAGTTTTAAACATATTTTGCTCTGTGTAGATAAAACCTATGGGTTTTAAAGAGCCAGTCGTCAGGCGTAATTAAAGCTGTCCCATTATGAGCTGTCTGTCATCGACGAACTGCTGCCAAAATCCGCGTGACACGTGGACTGGACTCCAGTTAGCGGCCGAATTAATGCCAGAAGTTCGGAGCTGTCTCCCAATTTATCTCCATAGACCTCCGCCTGCCTGTCAATGTGTCAATAAATGCACCATATAGTGCGACAATCGAGGGACGGTCGGCAGATAAGCCCCATTTTATCGCCGATAACGACGAGGACACTTTCGACGCTGTCGTCTATTAGCTGGTTATATTTTTTGTACTCCTTTTATCATCGAGTTGATTTTGGATTTATCTGCTGTTTAATCTATGTATTTGACATGAGTGTGCCGCACTTGTTTTCAACTGTTTGCGCTTGTTGTTTGTTGATTTTCGGACAAGTTTCGCCAAGGCTTGAATGGAAAGCCACCCAGACTACAAAAGCCCCAAAACACACAGTCAATGAAGCGTCCTTTGATAACTGAAACAGAAAACAAAAAACAGAAACCAAAAACGAAAAACGAAAAAGAGAAGGTAGAAAAGCATTCATAAAACTGCAGCAAAATGCCATAAATTTCGATTAGATTACATAAACGAAATCCCGTCACGATATCGATGCTCAAAGCTCTGGAAAAATCAAATGAATCATTGTCGATTTTTTGTTTTGAGCTGGAAAAACCTTTATCGCCAATGCGATTGGATACTGCACAATGGGATAGGAGTGCAAAAAAACAAAGAAGAAAAACCCCGAGGACACTGCACTGGCTTAGTACACAAAGCACTATAGAGAGATTTTCGTCCCTATTTCCCCCCGACTATATAGAACCCACACACGCACATCTGCATAGATATAGCCACTGTGTGTGTGTGTGTGTGGGGACGCCATTGTGCCAACCATAAATCATGCACATTTTTCTGCCACTGAGCCACAGCCATATAATATAACACTCCCATTCCCAGTCCCCAGTTTTTCCTCGCTTTTCCCCCAACTTCTGTTTTTCCACTTCTCCCCAACTCGCTGCTCATTTTTCAAATGCTTCCATACATTTTTCGTGGCGGTCGTCATATATTTTTTATGTTTACTGCAGGCAGCTTTTGTTGTGTTTTCGGGTACTACTTTTTATGACTGGTTTACAGTTTCAAGAGCGGAGGATTGGGGGTGTTCTACTTTGGGGAAAGGGGAGCTGAAATCCAGAACCTCCTTAATAGGAGATTACCAGTTTTTAAGGGTCTCCGTTTGGGAGTTAAATATCAGATTAAATTTGGCAGGGTATGCAAAGTCAATTGAGCCATTGTCAGTGGGATGTATATACCTATAGACAGATAATCGAGGCGATGCTGTTCGATGATAACAAAAACAAATACAGAAAACTTTACGTTTCAATTACGCATCAACAAGCTTTCAATACAAGCTGTTGCAGCCCGGCGACAGATAATTTTTTCCTTGAAGAGCTTCTTTCTTTCTTTCGGTTTTTCCCTGAAGTGGCAAACAGCGAACGGAAAAACAAGAGAGAGACGTTGAAGCATTTTCACACGATTCGATTGTCAGCGCGGTCCTTGCGCCATTCGCAGCACATGTCATGATAATTTCGGAGCGACATGTGCCGCCAGCACGTATACGCCACGTACGCCCATCACTGGGGGATAGGGAAATAACGAACAAACGAACGCTACACTTTGGAAAACAAATTTGTTAAGTTAGAAATTGAGCTTCGAAATGTGGTCTGATACTTTTACAACGAAATATTCCTTTAAAGCCTGGAGTGAATAAATCATTTCTGAGATAACCATAAATACAGTCACTTAGTTTAATTTTGTATTATTTCATTTCTTACTCATTTATGATTACTTATGTTTTGTGGTTGCAAAATTAAACTTTAATTGTATATAATTTGATTTATAAGGCTAGTTTTCAGTTCACTATAGCTTAGCTTATCATTAGGTCTCTGTTCGTTTTCCATTATATGCTCGATTTCATGTTACGACGAAAGCGCCTGAAATGTCCTACAAAATGCAGTTTAATAGCATGTTTCACCGCATTTATCATATATTATTTCCTTATTTTCGCCTTACTTTCTTAAATTGTTAAGTACATTCACAGTTGAAAAGCTGGTTTTATCATATTATGAGAAAAATTATCTAAAACTACTGTGATAACCAGATAAACAATTAAACAGAATTTAACATAATTTTGATACTGTCTATATTTATTTTTCTTATATTTATTTTTCTTATATTTATTTTTCTTATGAGATTGCATTATTTCAAATAAGGATTACAAATTAACTACTTAAGAGGGTGCTTAGCCCAAAATTTTCCTCCCACTGCATAAGCTTCCTGGAATCGATTCAGTGCCTTACTAACGCCACTTTCCCCCTCCTCTTCTTTCCTCCCCAGAAGTGGGCCACATCAAGTGCGAGAAGAACTTCGAGCTGTGCGAGGGCTGTGGCCAGAAGATCCACGACCGCTTCCTGATGAACGTGGGCGAGGCCAACTGGCACGAGCAGTGCCTGGCCTGCTGCTACTGCGGCATGCAGCTGCACCACACCTGCTACGTGCGCAACTCGAAGCTCTACTGCAAGATGGATTACGACCGGCTGTTCGGGGTGAAGTGCGCCTCCTGCTGCCACGCGATCCTGCCGCAGGAGCTGGTGATGCGTCCCATCCCGAACTTCGTCTTCCACCTGCCCTGCTTCGTGTGCTACGCCTGCCGACTGCCGCTGCAGAAGGGCGAGCAGTTCCTGCTGCGAGATGGCCAGCTCTTCTGCTATCGCCACGACCTCGAGAAGGAGATGTTCCTGGCCGCTGCCGCTGCCCAGCACTGTGGCTTCGTGGGCCTGGATGAGGAGGATCTGCTGAGGCCGCGGGACGGGCGGCGGGGTCCGAAGCGTCCTCGCACCATCCTCACCTCGCAGCAGCGCAAACAGTTCAAGGCCTCCTTCGACCAGTCGCCCAAGCCGTGTCGCAAGGTTCGCGAGGCCCTGGCCAAGGACACCGGACTGTCGGTGCGTGTGGTGCAGGTGTGGTTCCAGAATCAGCGCGCCAAGATGAAGAAGATCCAGCGCAAGGCCAAGCAGAATGGCGGCTCCGGCGGCGGATCGGGCAGTGGGCGTGGCACGGGCAACTCGAGCGCAACCGATGACAAGGACACCAACGAGAAGGACGAGAAGGGCGTCAAGCAGGAATTGGGCGGAGACAGCTCGGGATATCTGGGCGGATTGGACAGCACCTTCGCCAGCCAGCCACTGAATCCCAACTTGCCCTTCTCACCGGATGGTAAGCTAAAACCTATCTTAGTGACTTTTCTAGATCGTACATGGCCACAAATAATGTTTAATTATATCATTTATAAAGCAACTTAAAATATGATTGCTAGTAAAAAAAGAAAGGAAAATAACAAAACTGAAAAATAGACAACAAAGCAGCGTTCATATAAAAGTACAAAAACAGAGTATTGGAAATAAGAAAACATGAATTTTAAAAGTAAAAAACAGGGGGAAATTAAAACTTTTGTTTTTGAAAATAGAATACATGCTGAAATGATTGCCGTTTGTAATTAACTAATAATTATGGAATTATTCCATTTAATTCCAAGTTTGATTCTTTAAATCGAAAAGTGGTTGAATGTGGCTTGCATTTAGTCTAGTTCTATATGTTTCAAGTCTAAGTACTAATTGATTATCACTTTACAGACTATCCGGCCAACTCGAACGACAGCTTCTGCAGCTCGGATCTCTCGCTGGATGGGAGCAACTTCGACCAGCTGGACGATGATGCGGACTCGCTGTCGCTGAACAACCTGGAGCTGCAGTCGACCAGCTCCTCGGGCAACCAGCACTCGCACTCGCACTCCCACTCGCACTCCCAGTCCCACTCGAATCCCCACGACATGCTGGCCAACCTGAACAACAGCCTGATCAACCCCATCGACAAGCTGTATCTCATGCAGAACTCGTACTTCAGCTCGGAACATTAGGAGGGCACTGCGGCGATCCTTGGGATAGAGACGAATTTATTAGCGTTAGAGTGGCAGGCTCCGATCGCGAAGGACACCGCATCCTTGCTGTTACTTTACACGTAGCGCGTAGTTGGCCGACGGAATTCAGTTGGAGTTGTAGAACCAGATACAGATACATCAAATGTGATTTTTTTAAGCTAATTGAAATTTTAAGATTCTTGGCGATTTGAACGCGGCGAAACTTTGGCGGGCAGCAGGTTTTGTTGTTAGTCTAGACACTAGAGGCAAAATATGTAAATCACCCGCAATGGTAAAGCGATCATGTGGCCCCCTATGTTTGTAAATAGTTTTAAATCCCCCTCCCCCGGAAAATTGTTATTAAATGTAATTTAAAAGTCAATAATTGTATTAGCAAGTGCAATTTAATCTGTTCCCCTAAAATAAACATCTTAACCGAACTGTTTGGCCTGAAAATTTAATACAGCTGTGAAAAGTAAGTAAGTTATATATTTTATGGCTAAAATGACGAAAAAAACTACTTGAGCATAGATTTTTGATCAAAACTTTGGGAAATAATTGTTAATGTTAGAATGGGTTTCCTCGTCGAATTCGTTATAAAATTTACAATCGATTGGCATTCACAGATTAAAAATTTAATTTTTGGTCAATTTTTGGTAGAATATTAGTTATTACTGCAAGAGTAAGAAAGGTACACTTTAAATTTACGTTCAATTTAAATTTGAAAAACAAATAATTCAACCATTAGCAGCCAGTTGAAGGCTTACAGCTATGAAACTCCGCCAGTGGCACCAATACAGCGTTACCTTATCTACAGAAATTTAATGTGCGTGGCAACGCTGCCAGTTAATAAATTCTTATAAGCAGTGCCACTCGACACTGTTCTCAGTAAGCAGTGTGCCTCTTGAAACTGTTCTTAGAAAGCAGTTCATCCAATATTAGTCAGAGATGGACAATATTAACACCCTACCAAACATCGATATTAACGATGTTTTTAAAACATTCATGCTGATATCGAGATTCTTCCACCTCTATTGTTTTTGCCTGTAAAGGTAATTTAAAGGAAATAAACTTATGGAATCCAAATAAAACCACTTGGTTATCTAATTTGTTGCGCAACCGAGTGTCGGCAGAGTGGAGCGCTTCGAGGGACGAGCGTTATTCGATTCGATTCCGGACATCAACAGGTGCCTGGCCGGAAATGGGTGAAGTGAAGGATTGGCGGCCTTTCGTTTACGGCGGAGTTGCCTCAATCACGGCGGAATTTGGTAAACAAATCGCAGGCTGTATACCAGCCACGCCCCCTGACGCCCATTACTCGGGTGTCAGTGTCTAGCTAGTGCTTATCACCTCGGTCGTATAGAATCGCTGTAAACAAATCTATCTATTGCAGGCACCTTTCCTATCGACACTACGAAGACGCGCCTCCAAATCCAAGGGCAGAAAATCGACCAAACATTCTCACAGCTGCGATATCGCGGCATGACCGATGCCTTTGTGAAAATTTCCCGCGAGGAGGGACTGAAAGCCCTCTATTCCGGGTAAGAATCTGAACACCGGGGGATCTCCGGTTGGCACGTTGTCAAAACATGGGCTCATCATGGCATTCTTATCGCAGCAAACGTGACAGTCACGTGTTCGTCCGCTGGGGAGCTTAACGAGTGCAGAGACACTAAGTACAGTAGAACCTCCCCAACGAACTATATTAAAAACAGAACACATGTCTTTCAAGCTAAATAGCTTAAAATTCGTCATAAACATATGTAGCTACTCTTCCCACTATAAAATAATTCATGCTTACCTATAATCTCTTACATATTTTCACCATATCAGTTTGTACAACAATTTTTCTTTAATTTGTCTGTTGTATCTTAATTTAAAACGTTTAAAAATTTTAAATACTTGTTACACACTAATTTGAATAAGTACCACTTTGGATTTAAAGTGGTTTACAGTTTAGAAGAAAAATTAAATACAATTCTATTTGAACCCACATTTATCTTTTAACCAAAAATCTTAATGAGATTTATTTTAAATTAAATTTTTATAACACCAAATCTTTACAATTGGTTATAATCTTTAAGATGACGGTTTAGGTTATAGACGATAGACTGTAAACAGATTACCATGATTATGCTTACTCATGGCCGGTCAAAAATAAAACTTTTGTTGGGGCGGCAAATTTAATCAGTCAGCAAACTTTGCCCGTCAGCTAACTTATTCGACTTTGTATCTGGTAACAATACCGGAGCACAGTATAATTAAATAAGATAGTATTGGGCCGGACACTTACATTTGTTAAAAAAATCCAATTTAACTAAATTAAAATTTTAAATTATAAAGATATGATAACTGATTTTTAAAATTATTTTACCGAACTTGTTATATAACTAATGTTTCTAAATTTTAATTTGTTTTGTATTTCTGTGCAGCATTTGGCCTGCGGTTTTAAGGCAGGCGACCTATGGCACCATCAAGTTCGGGACCTACTACACACTGAAAAAGCTGGCCAACGAACGCGGATTTTTGACGAATGAAGATGGCAGCGAGCGGGTGTGGAGCAACATGCTGTGCGCAGCGGCGGCAGGCGCCATCTCTTCAGCGATCGCCAATCCCACGGATGTGCTAAAGGTTCGGATGCAGGTTCACGGGAAGGGTCAGCACCAGGGCCTGCTGGGATGCTTTGGCGAGATTTACAAATACGAGGGCGTACGAGGTCTCTGGCGGGGAGTGGGTCCGACGGCTCAGCGCGCCGTTGTTATCGCCTCCGTGGAGCTACCCGTCTACGACTTTTGCAAGCTGCAGCTGATGAACGCCTTCGGGGATCACGTAGCCAATCATTTCATGTAAGTACAGAGTAGCTCGCTAGAATTTTGAGTGGGATCTAAAAGCTAATTGGTTCAAATTGCAGCTCCAGTTTTATTGCCAGCCTGGGCAGTGCCATTGCCTCAACCCCCATCGATGTCATACGGGTAAGAAAAGCTTAAACACCGGCTTAAGTTGTACTGAACCGATACATTCCCACTTACAGACACGTCTGATGAACCAGCGACCCGTGAGCATAACGATGAACGGAGTGGTTACGGCGCCAGCCACACCAAAGTTGTATAGCGGGAGTCTTGACTGCGCTGTGCAGACGATCCGAAACGAAGGACTTCTCGCTTTATACAAAGGATTCATCCCGACCTGGGTGAGAATGGGTCCCTGGAACATAATATTCTTCATAACGTACGAGCAACTCAAGAAGCACTAACGCAGTCGAGTGGAACGTCCAGGGAGTCCAAGTACAAGACGTATTCTAGCATTCAAACCAAAAAGATCAGATCTGCTGCCAGACCTGTCTTAACTTTAAGATCATAGTTCAAACGGAGGGGTCACTAAAGTGCCTGACTCACATTGGCTATTCTATAGCCTCCAACCTGCTTCAGTGTCATATTGCCCAGGGCAATAGTGAAAACGATTTGTCGCATTTGAAATGTTGGCATATTCAAGTATTTGCATTTTTGGCGAATTTGTTCACCAAGGCATATATATTGTTACTCTGGATTGATCGTTGCGAATTCGATTGCCCATTGGGTCACCCAGGAAGCACACTCGATTTACCTTATCTAAGCTTTTAATTTAATTACTTACTTAGTGAACTTGAAAATATTTATAATTTGAAATTGTATTAGAAGCGCATTTTGTTTTTTCGAAGTTAGCACATTTTCAATCGTATTACATGTGCATCATCGCTGTAAATATATGCATTTAGTAATATATGACCTGTTTTACTAATTACAGAATGTACATTAATGCAAATTTACTCAATAAACTGTTTGTTGGAAATCTCAATTTTATTCAATATTTTATAGCTTTGGGTAATAACGTAAACAAGAACGGGGCTATCTGGAATGCAAGCGAAGACATTCAGCAAAGTTATTAAGACTCACTCAGATAATGCTTACGATCGGTCATAAAGGGGAATTGGGGCTTTATCAGCTTAAAGAAAATTTTGTAACAATAAGTTCAGTTTTCACGCTGTTCAGTTATTTTCTTTTAAATTTTTCTGGGCGCCAGAAAACAATCGATATTATTTGATCAAGCTTGATCGTGCTTTTTAACATTATTCAACACTGCGAATTTTCAGACACTACCTAACACAGCAGAACGCAGCTCAAAAGTTTTTGAAACTTGGCGTCACATTTACTTGACTAACTTTTAACTGAATAAAATGGATTTTGTCACAGCCCTTTCAACTATCGGTGATGCGAATGTGAGTACTCTAATCAACATTTCTTAGCTCCCGATGAGTAATAGTGTAAATTCAGTCCGTGGCCTTGGAATACGCTTTAGCGTTTATGAAGGCCGTGTTCTTGGATCCGGAAAATTGGATTGGCAAAATGTCGCACCAATTTGTAGGCCAGTGCTTCCGCGTTCTCGGCCTGAATTTCAACGTTAGCGTAGAGGCCTTCAGCCAGACGCAGGATCATCCATATCGCAATGACAACCCCAACTATATCTTCGATCCGGTGCCATTTTTGATGGCAAAAGTGGACTCCTTTCTGTATCATCTGGCCCAGGTGTTGGCGAAATCTGGTGACTTTATGGCCGACCACAACCAAGGGACCAGATACGATCAGTTGACACAGCCACTGCCCTGCTATCTGAATCTGGTCATGAGGTGGGTCAAGGTGGTGCACTCCATGACCACCTCCATGCAGCTCAGCAGCAGCACCGCCTTGGATCGATTCCTCTGCGAACCGCTGGCCAGAATGTGTAGGTTATATATTCTATACCATATTTGTAGAGTCGCCACATTTTGAACCAAAAATCTATCCTAGCTTTTAGCATTCTTGGTGGACTTTCCAAATTACTGCCCAAATACGAACAGAATATTGTAGGCCTCAAGGGAATTTGCCTATCACTCACCATAGACGTTCGCTATGGCGTATTGTAAGTAAAGAATACTACAAAAATAGAAATATAACATGATGATCTAGAGATTATACACAAGGAAACTGGATTTTTCCAAATTAATGTATTTATGAGTCACGAAACTCTTTCAGCTATCGGGACACCTGCGAAGTGGTTGTTGCACCCATGCTGGACATGTTTCGAAAGCACTACAAAACGTTCTGCGGGCCCGAAAAAGCTGCCCTGGACTTTGTCTACTGCATCTTGACCGTTGTGGTAAGATTCGTACTATTATATAGAATACCAAGATCCTATAATACCAAGGCATTTCAGATGACAGAGAATGATAGCTATATCAAGGCCTACGCGTTCTTGGAGACCATGATAAAGCAGTTCGCACATAAGGAAGAACATGGCCAATATCTGCGGACCCTTACCAATGAGCTGATCACTGACAAATTTCTGGTGATGCAGTTTGGTACACTTCAGGAGAGCAATTCCAAACCTTTGTTATTGACAATCCTTAAGTATTTAATGACTCTTCAAAGGTAATACTATTATTAAATATGGAGCTTGATTTTAAATCTTTTTTAAATTCTTAAATATTAGTTTAAACCGGTATAACCGATTTAGTTCCATATCTCTAAATGAAATACCCGAAATATCAATTTGGAAAGTTTTCAACTTAATTTGTAAATATCGAAAAAGTTTGGATTAGTTTTGAATGAAAGAATGACAGATTAGCTTTCCTCTTTACAGAAATTTAGTGAGCACAGAGTGCTTTTCATTACGTTTTCATGAGGTTCTGCTCGAGGTTGTCCTGCGAAAGCAATTGACAGTTGCGTCTCTGGCAGCCAAGGTGTATATAAAATTATCTCAGCGCCAGCACCAAGAACGTGACATAGCTCAGCACATCTTGGAGTCCTACATAAAGATCAGCAACCCACGAAAAACTGTCAGCTATGCAAAGTTCCGATCTGAACTTACACGCTACCTGAAGACACTTATTCAGTATTTTCCCGCGCTGCAGGAGTTTCAGTTTTACGCTTTTGTGCTTACTGCCCCAAATGCCATGATTGAATTGAGTCTTATTGCTGCCCAATCTCTGAGCATTCTCTTTGAACTACGTATGGCGGAATACTCAACGGTGCCAGAGGCTCGTGATCTGGTCAACGAAATCCTACACTGCTTGCCATATTTTCTGCAATCATCTAACAAAAATGGAACTCGACCTGTGTTCTACAGTATTTATGGGATGATCGATTTTGAATCTGTAGCTGAGTGTGATGCTGAGGTATTTATTATACATCCATTAATAAATGTATACAAAAGAAGTATATTTAAAACGCACATTTTCTGCAGTTACTTTTAAATTTGGAAACCTGCTGCACAGATAATTTTCTAAATGACGACACCATCAGTGAGTCTGAGTTCTATGGGCTCTACACGAATATCTCACGCTCTGTAGACGCAACAGGAAATATTCTGATGCACACGACTGCCTCAAGAGCATTGCGAGATCAGCAAGCTCGATTGCAGGCCGAGTTGAACACCACCGACTTGGAGGATCCTAAAAGGCAGGAGCTTTTGGAGGTATATGCCCTAAGCATTCGTCGCCTACATGCGCTCCTAATGGCCAATAAGATGCACGTTCGTTATGTGACGGACTTTTACGAGACACTTGCCAAATTTGTGCTGGAAACACCTTCACTTAATAACAGTATAAGTAAGTTATAATTTTTTTATAAGGAAGTAAAATGGATAAAGGCTTATACATTTTAGCTCTTTATGGCTCCGAAAGTTTGGCTACGCTGTTAGTCCTTCTGCACAGAAACCTCAAGGATGCGGACGACGAAATGGGCATCCAGATATCAACTCTAGCACAGCAGCTACAAGACTTTTGCATTTTTGAATTGTCAAACGCCAATCAGGACTTAAAGCGATCCAAGTTTATGTTCTGTTCTATTCTGACATTGCATATCGGCCAGATATCATGTTTAAACCTTGATTCTGCTACCTATGACATGCTTTTGGAAGCATTAACCACTGTACCCCAAGAATGGCAGCCTGAAAGCCCTAAACTCACCAATAGTTACTTTCGTGAGATGCATTTTGAGTTCCGTCAATTAATGCGGACAGAGCAAATCGAATTGCCCAGCAATCGGACATGGAAGGTGCTATTGCATTACAAAACGGTATGACTTTCGGAATTCGTTTCATCAAAATTCTACTAGATTGGGAAAAGTTACTCCTTTAGATTCCTAAATTTCATTTAATCTGTACCTTTGAATTTTTCTTTTCTTAGTATGCAAATTCATTAAAATTCCTCGACGCAGAGATCGAGGAGCTCATAGGTGTTCTCATCGAATGCCGTGTGGAAAGCTATGTCCATTTCCTCCCAGTTATTATCATGCACCTTTTCAATGAGATCAATGCCAAGAAGCGGGCTTCACCTGCTTTAACTGCCCACCTGCAGCTCATCGACAAAAACTGCACCGCTGTGGACTCTTGGTTGCTGCGGCTTATCATCTTTCAGACTTCACTTAATCTCTTGATTAAAAACATGCGCGTTCGGCGATTGGAGGCGACCAGTTCACGTGATCGGAATCGTCTTCTGCCGCTTCAGCATGTCCTGACTCTGGTGGCCGATTTGCGTTTTCAGGAGAAACACATCATGAACATGTGAGTTTAAATATCTAAATTATATACTCTTAAATGTAAACCACAAATTTTCGCAGGGCTAAAATGGTGCACATTTTAAAGGAGGAGGTAATTGGAACTCAGGAGAATTCGGAAATTGAAAGTTTCATCACTCGTATCAGTGCATTTAAATATCGAGTCGAGGACGAACATTTGGAAGCTATCAATAACGATGATTTTGAAGGTAAACTGAGAGCTTTGCCGCCTGGGCCACTAAACCTTTGGCAGCACAATGCTTTACATGAATTAAGACATTCATCTTAAAATATCCACGGTATTCCTTAATATGCCGGAGAATTCTCGTAGATGCACTCAGAAATATACTCATCATAACATTTATAACTCTTAATTGGCTCATGAATTCCTAATTATTGTTATCTGAATTTATCTGTTTATAATTTTCATTCGTTTAAATAATTAAAGTTCGAAAAAATCATAGTGCTCTTTGCTGCTTTAGCTAAACAATCTTACAAGGGGCGTAGATTCCAAACACGATAAAGCTTAGTAGGCACTGTCTTGAAACCACGAGAGCAACAATGGCTCCCAGCAATGAGATTGTGGAACCTATTACTTACGTGCCCATTGATGTGGATCCATTGGAAGAGATTGCCCGAGAGCAGTTGGAGTGGCAGTCCCTGGTTCTCTGGCGTCGTCCTGTGCAGACCTTGAAGTACGGAACCCTGGAGGCCGGCCAGTTACTTATATCCTTCGCCGCCAAGCTCGTAAATCTTCGGTTGGGGAGCGTTCTAGTGTTTTTCGCCATGATCTGTCTTCTGCCTGGGCCCCATGCGAAGTTCGTGATATTCTGCCAGCAGAGATTCGGATTCGTGGTCTACTGGCTGGGTCTGGGAGTGCTCTCATCCGTGGGCTTTGGCACCGGACTGCACACCTTCCTGCTCTACCTTGGTCCCCACTTGGCCGCAGTCACGCTGGCCGCTTACGAGTGCCAAACTTTGGAATTACCGATCCCACCGTATCCCGAGATGAAGGTATGTCCACCGGAACCGTATAAGCGTCATATCCCAGATGTCTGGGAAATACTATCGAAGATCAGGCCGGAAGCTCTGCTCTGGGGCGTGGGCACGGCCCTTGGCGAGTTGCCGCCGTATTTCATGTCCCGCCGAGCACGGCTTGCCGGAAAGGAGTTGGACGGAGCGGAAGCCGAGGAGTTATTGGCAGCCAAGCGACTGAGCGGAGACGTCAGTCTTCTGGACAGAGCCAAGTTCTTCATGGAGGGGGTTATGCGAAGGGTGGGCTTTCTGGGCATCTTACTGTGCGCCAGCGTGCCCAATCCCCTGTTTGACCTGGCTGGAATCACTTGCGGCCACTTTCTCGTGCCCTTCTGGAAGTTTTTTCTGGCCACCCTGATCGGCAAGGCGTTGGTCAAGGCCACCATACAACAGTTGTTCGTTATCGCGTCGCTTACTGAGAATCTGGTTAATAAGTTTGTGTCCTGTCTGGGCAAGCTGCCCTATCTTGGTGCCCCGTTGCAATACATCATCACGGACATCTTGCGGTCCACCAAGCAGCAGATGCACGGCAACGGAGATTCCGATTCCCTGGCCTATCTTGGCCTGGTGGTTCGAGCCTTCGAACTGTGCGCCTTCATCATGGTCGCCTTTTTTGTGGTATCCTCACTGAACTGCCTGGCTCAAATCCATTGCAAGCGGCAGCAGGAGAGGCAGCGCAAAATTAGAAACCTGGAGCTGATCCTATATGCCGACAAAGAGACATCCTCATCGGAGGAGTTCACCATCTAAGCGGGAGTTAATATATTTTGTATTTCAAAAGTGGATTTGACTTGATTGCTTTTTTATATTTTTCATTTGGATATGTTGCTTAAAACTTCACCCAGAATTTAAATTTTTATAATTGGATAGAATCTGAATTTTTTGGAACTTTTCGACTTTTGAAAACAGATTTAAATTCTTGGTTATCAATATAAGCATATAACCTTGTTCAATACTTACTTTTGTTTTTTAAAAGATAGTTAAACAACTAATTTAACGTTTTATATTCTTTATTTTATTATAATTAGGTTCATTTGGATTTGGGTTCTGTTTTTGCATTGTTATTGTTTGATGTGTTTTGTTGATGATCTGTGTGTTTCTGAGTGTTCAATGCCATCGTAATTATTATCATTGTACAAGTACATTTATATTCAACAGCAATTTAACACAAAGCTAAGCATTACTTTACGCGATCCCTTAGGCTTATTTTTCGATTCGGGTTAATTAATCTCATCGTTATTGTTGTCGCTGGTAGTTATGCATACTTTATTATCTTTTTCAACCAAAGGCAATAACTCTAAAAGTTGTGGACTTTCTATGTTTTTCTTCGGAATGCGTGCGGTAACTGAATCAGGAAAGTAATCCACTGGATACTCCCTAGAGGAGTGAAGATCCGTCGTCGGTTCTATGGCAAAATTTGGTCTAACATTTGCACTACGATTTACTGTCCGTGGCTCTTTTTCGGGTGTATACCTAGTCAATTTATACTTAAGTAGCCTTTAAGCCCATAGTTATCCATCGAGGTGGTCAAACACCTGACTCTCTCCACACAAAAAGTATTTACTCTACACCTGCGTGTATATGATATTCTACCGAACCTAAAAGTTTTGATAGTAATTTCCATCACATATGGATTTTCGGTCTATGTATGATGATTGCGTGGGTAAAGCAGGATACTTTAAAATGACCTTTTCTGAATATTCTGTCGCTATTATTTGGGTACATACACACATGTACCATACATTTACATATAATTAGAAGAGTTACACTAATTGCGGCAAAGTCTTTTCGAGATTTAGAGACTGTAGAAGGTAAAAAATTAATCTTAACACATTGTAACACTTACACTGGGAAACGAAAAGCTCTCCCCACCATCCACACTCGCCTATTATTTTATCTTTTACAGAACATCGGGGACCTGCAGGGTCTACAAACTATTCGGCTCATTATTCCTGATCGACTTTCGTCCAGTCCGATTCCCATTCCGATTGAATTGTATTTAGGTAAATATGTATATTTTAACTACACTCATATACGACATGATCTAACCGATTTTCACCAGTGGGGAGTAGGCATGCGATTACGAGTACAATTACGATTAGATATTACAATACAATCTTGCCTAAACGTTTTATTGACGCATAATTTTCAGTATTCAATATTCCTGTATTGCATAAATTAGCTTTGTGGTTATTCAGTTATTATTTAGTATCATTTATTATCATCGTTTTTAAGTAATTAAGATTAATTTGTTGCCATGTATGAATGTGGTTTTAGCTCATACATATAACATATATCTATTCAATGTGTTTCATTCAGCTTATCGCCTCTTGGTTTTTCATTCTGTTCTAAAATTTGACGCCTAATACAATTTGCTTATAATTTTGGTTAAAAATTCAATTTATCATAATACCATTTTCCTATAATTTATGATATAGTATAAGACGCTTGTAGTTTTAAAACTTAAAGAAGGGCAAAAGAAGGTTGTAAAGAATAAAAACTATCAGCGAAAATTATGCCTAGAAGATTAGTTAATTTAGTTCTTGGGTTTTCCATTACTTCTAAGTACAAAACTAATTTAATTTGACTTAATCGCATTGATCGGGCTGAACGTATGCCTCACACCATCCTCTTCAATTAGTGTTTCATTTTGCACTTAATTTGATATTTTGTCTGGCATAGCAAAGTAGTATTATTTTTCAATTATTATCTGGGAAAAGAAAATTGAGGAGCCACAAAACTATTGAACTAACCGGGCCTATGGAAGTATTTTGAAAGACAAATTTTAGCAGCGGAAAATTCTTACTTATTGCTTCTTAGTATAAGTATTATTATTAAGACTTGCATCTGTATTTGTAGTATGTACGATATATTAAAAAAATATTAACGGCGGGAAGTACTACAATCATTTTGAAGCATTTTAGTTTGGTTTTCTCAAGTTACATATCATGTTTCCTCACACACCTCGTCGTCAATATATATGATCGTTATCATTCGATTTTGTAGCAAAATGTTTCAACTTTGTTAATGTATTTTTACGTTGTTTAATTTTTTTGTAGAATTCCGTTTGGTTGATTGTAGAAAATTGTATTCGGACACTTCTGTAGGTTAAAATGCATGCCATGTCACTTTCTCAATTTAGTTGTATCAAAAGCAAAAGATTTCACTGTATTGTCCTTAATGTCTCAGAATATTTCCGTTTAGCATTGGTTTTCGGTTCTTTAATGAGGAATGAGTCTCTCGGTGAAATGTTTGCTTCAATCGGAGTCTCTGGATGATCCCCAGGTGGATGATCATCGGGCAAATTCAGACTTCCAAGTGGACAATGGTAAGTGGAGGTGAAATTGTATAGATGACAGTTGCGTTAGAAGTTTCGATTTGGTTTTGTTTATGTAAGTATATTGTCGACTACTTATGTACATCCCTTGTTTTGGTTGATCTTCTTGTGTCCATTTTGTGATTAGAATTCAGCTTAATTTTTGTAAAAACGACCTGGCCAAACGATCTGCCAGTTATCTCAAATTTGTAAGATTCGGAAGTTGTATATTAATGACAGTTATCGGTTATCCTTGTTGAGCTTTAATACTTCTTACGGTTTCTGTTCACAATTCAATTAAATGCTTACGATTGTTTCTTCAAATGTTAGTTTACCTCTCTGAATCTGCGACTATCTCTGATTCCTTCGTTCAATAATTTAAGGGATCTTTGTCTGTGCATATTGAACCAAACCCGCTATGCAAACTAAGTGTACAATCGAAGAGCCATAATTCAAGTCTAATTGCTTTCTAAACATACGTAATTACCTAAATAAATGCCAACATACTTGCACAAAATTAAGATGCGGACCTTTCTTTTTTACTTTTCATTTTCGGGGATATGGGATTGGGGGATCTTGATTTGCCAGCTGGTGGTACTAATCAGTTAAATCAAAAATGATATATTTATAAACTATTTACAGGTGCATTGGTTATCCGACAGAACTGGCATGTTCTGGCCAATGCGTTCGAGATTCTTCTTGGGTACGAGTAGAGATCTCTGTATAATACACCCTGCGCGGTGATGTCCACACTAATTGTTGTTAAATATAGTCTTACAGTCCTGAAACGGAAATGAAGGAGATCATTAAATTAATGGTAAATGTCAGTTTTTGTAAAATATTAAACTATAAATATCCCTAAGAGAGAAAAATTAAAATCACTTAATTCCTAGTATCATTAGGAATTAAAGATCTTATGACTAAATCGGTTTTCAAATCGAAAATAATACATATTTTTCTACATGTGCCATTTTATAACTTCCTATACTCACTTCATTTAATGCTCTGCAAATATCCATAAATTTACTTAATAAAGTACAGATTATTGTGCTTAAGTCAATCGGTCCTTCCACAGTGTTGCCTGGTCCTAGACGAACCACTCGTCCTTCTGCGCAGCGCCGACGGCGTTGGCATTGGGATGGCCAGCTCCGGCGATGTTCGTCTGGCTGAGCCCGGCGGAATTGTGCGAAAGATCTTGACCTAATTGACGGAATTTGCCAAGCACCAAATGGGACGGACTTTGGTGGCCATCTTCAAGTAGTTGTGTGGAGTGCGGTGGTACCCGGATGGTCCCGCAGGGTGATGCCAGTTTCCCGAATTCGGCAGTTGAGTGTGCTCCCGCGTCAGTGTCCCGCCGACACTGATCCCGTGGTAGTGCAGATGTTTCGACGACCCGTTCGTATCGGCCGTGTGGTGCACTAAAAAGGAAGGAACAACTGATTAATTCCCAGGATCACTAATCATTATACAATTTATTGTAATCTTACGCTGGAGCGCGGTGTTCTGGTTGGCAGCGTTCTCGTCCTGGCGACGGCACACGCAAATGGCCACCGCCACGACCATTGCACTCAGGACGAGCAGGACTCCTACGACAATCAAGACGAACCAGGTCATGTCCAGGCCGAACACCGTGCTGCTCGTCTCACCTGCAGGAAAGAACATTTTAATTATATATTTAAAAAATGCTTATTTAAAGTATCTTTGGGCTTAGCAAATGCTGTCTGTTTTAGCAAATTAAGGCTTAAATCTCTTTTACCTCGAGACTTAAAAAGCGGATTAATATATTGTTAAATTAAAAACGTTATTGTAATTGGGCGAAGTCGTAAAAACGAAGCTTATAATTTCAGATATGCAATTTATGTATAAAACAAATATTTTTAAACTATAAAAGCTTAGTGTTGAACTTTATAAAATAAGGTTCACAATCAATCCTTTTTGTCTAAAGTTTTCATCTTTTCAATGAGGTTTCATTATGGTGAAAAGTAATTAACCAAAATCGATAAAAAACTGTTTTAATAAAAAGGGTTTTAATCCTTTGATGAACTTTAAAATATGGTTTAAAAAAAAACAAAAACAATTTTATCAAATTTATTGCTCATTTCGGGTAAGAACCCTAAGCTGCACTTACTCTGGCACAGATTCTGCACGGATTCGTCGGAGTTGTCGCCGCAGTGATTGATGCCGTCGCAGAGGAGATCGGGATGGATGCAGAACTCGCGGGTGGCGCAGGTGAAGTCCTTGCAGGTGTGCTCTGTAAGGAAATTAGCTTGTAACGGGATCTGCACGGTCTCGCCCTCCGCCTCCACTTACTGGGATCCTTCACCGACGTAATCACCAACTTGAAGCCGTTCGCATCCGTTCCCCAGCCGTCGGTCACGTACTTCAGAGTCACAAAGTTCGTGCGCGTCAGGAGCGCGTTGACGGTGTTCTTTGTGTTGCGACAGGAGATGTCAATCTGTAAGGCAAAGTATCCACAAATTAGTATTTGCTGGTTTACCATCAATTACGGTAACGAGCGTTCGTCGTATGCAAATGGGAGCATTGATTTACGTTCCAAGTAATTGCATGCTCAGTGGCAACGGTATTTAGCTATGATTAAAGTGGGCTAATTTATAGCCTCCCAGTTGGCACGGAATAATTGAAAAAAGGTATTATTTCGCCATTGGATTATATTTCTATAAACGAAATTAGACTACCTCACATCCTAACAAGTTTTAATAAAGTGGTGATATTTTTGTAAAACTTTATTGTTTCTCTTGAAGATTATTTAAAAAAATTTTAAAATATTTGAATATATATTACGATACTAAAATATATATTTAGCGCTTTATACAGCTTAAAAACTAAGAGACTAGTTTCATGGAATTATAATTATCCCTGATTATTCCGATTGAACCATACAACTCTTCTGATGGTCGGAAATATGTCTTTAAATTTGTAACCCCTCTTCAAAGATATAATAAAGAATTAAAATTTTAAGTGGAACTTAAAAATAGTAAAACTTAAAACTCAATTCGTAATTCCTTTAGAGCTGGCAACTCGCTTTGATGAATGTAAGCCAAAGAAACGAAAGCAGCTTTCCTGCTGAGTAGCAACTTTTTGCATTTCAGCCGGAAAGCATCGATGAATTGGTGGCATCAACCCGCTTAAACTGCGGGCCACGTATTGATGTGCCCTGATTCTGTGGTTAATTTCACATCAGCATATGTACCTGCAAAGTGCACTGCATTCAGACAATGAGGAGGGACAGGTGGGCAGAAGGCACTCGTGTGGCATCGCATTCCTCTCCCACAACACCTGTCCTTTGGGCCCGCATGCAAGTGTGCAACAGTCTGGGTGGCATAATGCAAATTAAGCCCAATTTACACCTATTAAAATGACAGCCTCACATAAAAACTAAGATAATTTTCTGAAGTTTTTAAACCAATTTTTATATTGAAAAAATGGAAACAAAGTCCAGTTTAGACACATAGAAATTATTAAATCGCACTGAAAAATCATTTTGAAATGTATTTTATTTAGTAGTTTATCTTTTTAAACTTTAAAGTATGTCAAATTTAACGTTTTTATGTTATTTTTAACACACGGTTTTTTTTATTAGTCTAAAAAAATATTTATTTAAATCATTTTGGATATCAATCCAAATTTGAAGTCTTCAAGTATAAATGTAAATTTAATTTCTTTACAATTTGTGAATAAGTAATAAAGTTAAACAAGTAAAACAAACCATTATTTGGATAGATTTGTTTATCAAAGTATTTGCCCAACTTTTTCCATATTCTAGCCATTTCAAAATAAATACTTTTGGGATATTTCACTACCCTATTGATGAGCTACGAAAAAACCATATAATTTGATTTTGCAATTAATTTGCAGAGCTTGGCGAACTTTTTCCACTGTCGTCTGCTGGTTGGTCACGTTATCGCCATCCTCATCAGCACCATTGCCACCGCCGATGCCGCAAAGTGCAAAATGATGATGATGTCTCCGCCTCCTGCGAGGTCCTTGCCTCTCCGTGTGGCACGTGTATGCGTCACGTCGCCCGGTTCATCACCAGGACCCACTTCCACACCCACTCCTACGTCCCACTTCCACTTCCACTCCACCCACCCGCAGCTGTGTAAATTTGTAATGTTGTTGGCTTTGGCTCATGAAAGTTCCACTGGGGGTTCATCAACGTCCCCCCTGGATCCGCATCCGGATCCATTCCCCTCTGTAGGCTTTGCTGTGGCTGCCTTTCTTGACACTGCCTCCTGGTCTTGGTCCTTCGTCCTTCGCCCCTTTACATACATCACATGAGTGTGCGCTAGGGCGTTCCTGCATCTTCGACGTGGCGCGCTTTGTGGCATATTTTAATTTTGTTGCAGCCCCCAAAATGCAAACTTTTCCGGCATTGCCCCTCCCAAAATTTCTCCCGGCATCGCTTTGTGCCGCTTGTCAGCGTCGTCTATGTGTGCTGGATAATTTTAATTTTGGATTTTTGCGGCCACCGCCCAACTTGATGCAGTGACAACTCCCTTTGTCAGAAACTATTTACATATTCGTAAAATTGTATTCGTTTCGCCGGTTTTTAAGAGCCTTTGCTGTGGCCACTGTGTAGTCAAAATATACATACTTTTGCCACTTTGCAGGCGCTGAAGTTCCGGCAAGTGGAGCCAAGTGGCGCAGGCTCAAGTCAAATTCATAAATCCTGGCCGGCACTGCTCCACCACCTCACCGAAGGGCGGGGAACTTACAAAGCTGCTTAGGTGGCAAATACCGCAAGTCGTCTGATTCCCAACCTTTGCATCTTCAAATATGCACAGAGAGACTGCAAAACAAGACACTCGACAAATATATAGTCGCTAAGGTACTTATCGCAACCATTTAGATGTCAACCGAGCAGCTGGGAGGTCACTTTGTACCCTTGCAGGCTTATTAAAAGTATGAAATATTGAAGGGGACTTTGTGTTTATATATATATATTCAAAGCAAGTTTAGCGTAGTTTCAATGACTTAAAAGCTCTATTTGTAGGTTTGGCATATGAAATATTGAGGGAAAAGCCCTTAAAACCAGTTTAAAGCTAATTCAGCATATTTCTTAATCAGCTTAGTCAGCTATTTGCAAATCTGTATTACATATTTTGACCGAAAGTACTTTACTCATTATTTAAAGCTACTATAAAGAAACATGGGTCATATTTTATAATCTAAACAAATTGGATTACGGAAGCGTGAATAAAAGACCTTAAAGTAATTAAGTATCAGAGCAATTGAAAAATACATTTTGATCAATACTAAGCTTTCAGCTTCATTTCAATTTTGTTTAATTAATTACGAACTGATAAATGCAATATTGCCTTGATAATTAAATTTCTGGCTTATTTCACGTTGGTAAATTAATTATGATTCAAATAAGATTACACAAATTAGGATCAATATATTTATTGCACCAGCGTCTGGCCGCAAATGACTACCTTTGATGGCCGATGAGTGTGTCTTAATTTGGCAGGCGGCACTGCATCCTTCTAATGGCCGAATGAGGCGATTCCGGTGATTCAGTGCCTCATCCATTCTCGTTGTTTTCGGCCATGAAGGCGTACGTGCGTGTGCTGACCTTGTTTGATTTAAGGTTGTGGCTCCACCCATTTCAGCTTCCATTCCCTTTCCATTCCTTGGCCATTGAGTGATGGCGCCTGTTGAGCTCGCTTGTTGTCCTTATTTTGGTCCTTGCCATCGCCGTCGCTGATTTGGCAGAACGATTTTACGATACTTTCGCTTTTATGGCCTTCCATTCGCCTGCTAACTTATTTACGATGGGTTCTCTCTACTCTTCGAGGGGCCAACCTGCTCCAAATCACTGTAGCCTTGGTCCTGGGATAATAACTGTCACACGAACTGGCATCTCAAGTACTGAGCCCTCATAATTAAGGTTAATTTCGTTTCCATCGATATTGACGTGGCTTCTGGGTGAAGCGCTCAATAATGTTGGAAGATGACTCTTATTTCGGAGATGCAAAAACCAGAAAATTTACTTTCCTTACGACCTCATTTCAGTTGCAGATTTTGTTACAGGTTATAACCTGACTTTCGTTTCGGAAGTTTAACCATATTTTATGTGGATACTTATTCTTAAGATGGAGTCATTGCGAAATTTAAATGCCAGTACTTATTCTGTCCTTATACAAGTCCTCAGACATAAGTATTTGGTAAATACAAGTATATACAAAGTAATAGATCTAACCCGATTTATTTGATTATTAATTGTTTTGTTTTCAAAATAGGCAACGTGACGTATACGTAATATTCTGGAATAAATCTTGTGAATTTGTTATAATTCAGCTTTGACCCCGCTAATCGGACCAACCCAAATGCTAGATGCACTAAATCTTTTCCCCGGAAGATGACAGGCCTTTGGCAGTGGCCCAGTGTCACAGGCTCCGAGCAAGTAGCCCCAGATCCACAAGAACCACCACTAGAACCACCAGCAACTGGGAAATTGGGTCGCGCCATACAGGCGACTAAAAGCAGCTGAAACATTTGTGTTTTCAGCTTTGGCACATGCAGTTTCAAGGTTTTCCCCGGAGAACAAAAATAAAGAGAGTGAAAGCGGGGCTGCCTTGGCTGGCATTTTTCTAATTTTCTAGTTGAACATTTTTTATGCATATTTTTTTTTTAGTGCCACTGTCGCCGCTTCCTTTGGCAAATAAAGGATTTGGCTTATGCGCGCTCTATTTGTGGCCACTTTCCTTGGCTCACATTGCTGAACAAACCGCCGCCATTTCCCCACCCCCTGCAGACCGCATTAAATAATGCAGTGAGTGGGCGGGACGGAAGGGGGTGTGGCGAATGAAAAATGGAAATTGTTGCTGATAAAATCACAGAGCTATCAGCAGAAGAAGCAGCACCAGCAGCAGCAGAAGCTGTTGCCGCATTGCAGCCGCAGTGGCAGCCAAGCCACCCACTTTTGCCCAGCCAGCCAGCCACCACCCACTATCCCAACCACCCACAACCTGCCACACGACATCCTTGCTGGCTGTCATCATTGCAAATGTTGCAGCGACAAAATTATGCCTGCATGTGTGTCCGGGTATGTGGAGCATCCCATGTTGGCAGAGGCAGAGGCTGAGGCTGAGCGGAAGCCCCACAGGGATTGAACCTAAAATGTCAGAGGCATCAACGTGATCTGGATAATGCGGTGGTTGCGCCTGCCACACCCCCACCCCCAATCCCAGCCCCCTTTAAGCCAACAAATTGCAGTGGATTCGTGTAACCACCCAACTAACATTCCACCCAATCCACCCAACCGCCTTGGAGTGTCGCAAACTAAGCAATGATTGGCCTTAACTATCGACATGTGATGCCAGCGCATATTTACATATGTGTAAGGATGTGTGGCGACATCGGATTCCTTAAACGTTACTTAACCGGGATGCAGCTCCAGGGATGTGGCATGTAATCGATAGGGGAATACACCAATGGGTTCTCCCTTGGCCAATTTAAAGCGAGTTTGACAAGACATTACCAAAATTAAAGTTAGTAAACTTTACTGAAAGGTGTATTTTCGTTATTTTTCAATATTTATTATGGAATATTTTACTTCCTTTAAAATATTTTTGAATAGAGATAAGATTACACATGATAGCATTTGACATGCTGAATGTCATTTGTATATATACAATTAAAGAAAAAAATATTGTACTATTCTACATATTATTTAAACAAACTTTGAGACTTTTTATCCATTAAAAAAACTCAATATATTATGCTAATCACGGAAATTTAATGCTATAAAGCCTCGTAATTAAATGAAAGCAAATTTTTCAGCTCAGTATACACTGAATATTAGGCTGTTAAGGTTTTTTGTGTGTACGTTAGCAAATGATTCCGTAATGAAGGTATGCAAATATATGAGTATGCACACTGATGGCCTGGATAGTATCTTGTCCCATCTGGGAGAAATTAAATATACATTACCCGCCCCTTGTAAACACACCGGTGTTTCCGATGGTTAAACAAACGAAACAAAAATCTATAAATAAATATTTATATTTCTGTGGGCGGCATTTTTTGTTATTGATAGATAGAGGTAGAATCTGATTTGCACACTAGGCTGCAAGAGAATCGATGACTTTTATTTGATTACGTAAATGGAGAAGCAACATCACTTAATTCACTTAGCATATATGCGCATTTGCATACATATCGTTCTGCCATGAGTGATTCTAATTTGAATTGCCTGTTTCACAGTTCACTTCGTAATAATTCATTCTACTGTGCACCCACATCCATTTGCACATATATGTCCTCGAACGTATGCACATAATTACAGCTCCTGCACTTGCCTCCCCACTTCTATCCTGCATCCTCCTCCCAGGAGTCCGATACACATGTACAAGTGGCAACCTCAGACTGCGTTCCTGCCACAATTTAATTGTTCACACGGCGTTGGCCGACTCACTCACGTGATTAGCCATTTCCAGGCGAATCAATAAACTGATGGTGCACTAATGCACTCGGGGAAAAGTCTTTTAAAGTCTAAACTTTGGCAGAAATTAGAATGTGAATTTGAAAGATATTTATTGATCATGAGAACTAGAAACCATAGTTTTGAATTTTGCTAACGTTTCATGAACACGAATAAAGCAAAGCTACAAAAAAGTTGTTTCATGACTATCACAAATTATCAATCATAGGCTTGCATTTACTTGTTCCTAAGATTTCTTCTCAGTGCACCCGCATAGAACGTCATGAGTATAAAATCCTCTGAAACAGATTCGCTTTAGCTCTTCGATTTGCATATGCAAATGAGCAATATCGCTAATAAAAATGTGTGGCACGTATCGCACCCACAGGCGGGCTTTATATATTCGCTCAAGGCCGATCCCAGTGCCCCTTCCTCCAGGACATGCAGGTATTGGCTTGTTTACAGGATTAAAGGGGTGGGAAGTAATCTGGGGACTCACCTTGGGCGTGGCCACGGCGTGGGCTCCATCGTAGACCAGCAGGTGATCGTTGCAGTCGAGCTGCAGCATGTCGAAGCGGAGCATGAAGCGCTGCAGGACCGAGTGCGTCTGGAAGGTGATGATGCAGTCCAGGTTCCGCTCGTTCTGCGACCAGAGCACGGCTCCGTCGATTTTCCGGTACAGCTGCTGCAGGAAGTGGTTCTTGCACAGCGACTGCATGTAATCTGCAAACGGAAATAAGAAATTTTTAATTTTCACTTTTCAAACTTCTAAAGAGTTTTAAAGTTATATAGAATAAAGTTAAAGTTTGTAGAAAAAACTTATAAGCATAAAAGCAACAATTAAGTATCCTTTAAGACCCATATATACAGCCTGGTTTTTCATATGTGCTGTCAAATAATTTATTTATGTTTTAATGGTATAAATACAAATGTGGTAATTTCATACACATGACCAGTTCTTTTTTATCCCAACCCTTAAGTGCTTGAGTAAGTAAAAGCAATAAAAACTCGTCTGAGAAATCAGAAATAAAATGGGTCCTTTTTGGCACCAACAACTTTTACTCCAAACAAAAATGAAAATCCTTAGGCTTTCTATTAGTTGTGGCAATAACTACAACGATTCCTCTTGACTTCTTCTTTATTTGTTTAATTTTGTGACATCTTCAAGTCGTTAAAAAGAAGCCCGCAAAGCGTCGTTTTTCTATATATTTTTTAATGTTTCCCTAGTATTTCCCACATGTAGGATGAATTCGACAGTTCCACCTACGCACCCCACCAAAACTGCCTCAAAAAAGTATGCGGACGTCTCCGCTGGCAACTTCCTTTGGCTTAATGGCATTGCGGCGTCTCGTGCGCTGCGCCGGAAAATGTGCACTTAAATTTTAATGGAAGGATGAAAAATTCATTTACGCTTCGCTTCGCGTATTACTTGCACATGTTTCCGTGCTGACTAGTTGCGTTTATTATGCCTTTCCAGACTGCAGTTTGGCAACTGGATGCGGTGGATTTGCATAATGCCTGATCACAAATTCAACGCACACGTTAATACCTAATATTCTCGTACGCCGAGCAAGGAATGTGTTTTCTAAAATGTAAGACTAAGTTTAAAGTTAACCAATCAGTTGGTTTATAAAATTGTATTTTTCTCTAATAAATTTTTTATGCTACTATAAAAGACCAGGTTTGGATTTAAATTGATATTTGCTAGACTTTATGTAAATACAAAGTTATCTAATTCACATTTTTTTAATTTGATTATGTAAGTATATGGAATGGGTTCATCATTTATATAAAGAAAAACGGCTTACTATACTTCTCACTCCGTATATATTTTCTAAAAGAACTTTTTAATAGTTGGACATTTTAAGTGCTTAGTTTGAATGGTCCAAGGAGACAGTTTCAGTGCTGAACTTTTAATTTGCCCGGCTCAATCAAAACGACCTCAACGACCACGAGCTTCGGAAAGTGGAAGTCGAAGCCAGCTGCAGACAAGCGGCAATGCGAAAATAATATCGCATTATTTAAGCAACTTTTAATTAGTTTGATGGCGCAAACTATGGCGCTTAAGTGCCAAATGCATTAACATGAAACGAGAGCCATTTCGAGGAGAGGAGCTGCTCCGCCAGCTGGCCAGTGGACATCGTCGCCATCGACAACGTGGCATGCAAATGAAGCAAGGACTCCTCTCATCCTACATTCCAAACCATAAAAGCGACGAAGGATTCGGGGCGGGTTTTTAATGAAACACAATAATGTGTGTGAAGCATGGTAGAGGGTTGCGGGGATTGGGGGGGTGTTGAGGCAATGGGCGAGTTTAAGTGGGGCACCCCCTAAGCTTACGTGCGCCTGATTTCAGGCAATTTCCTGCCTAGCAACCGCTTCCGCTCCCGCCGCCGCACTAATTCAATTTCGCCCCCAATAAAACGCACACGAAAAGATGACGCCGCATCCTGGCAAGCGGAGATGTGGAGCAGGACACGGGGGTGGGGCAGGTGCAGGATCAGGAGCAGGAGCACGCCCAAGGAATTTACTACAAATTCGTTTTACGCCACAGCACAGGAGGCGGCACAGGATGATGGCAAAAAGAGCCATCATGTGAGCTCCTGGCTCCCTGCAAATGCCTCATTTTCGGTCACAAATGTTGTCCTCGCCGCGTTGCCAACTTCAAAATTGAATTCACAATTTGGATTGAATTGCTGACAGACTTGGCTGCCCTTTGTTTTAGACCCTATTGCGCTATGCACAGAGAAAAATTGGGGTAGGAATACTCAGATCATAAAAAAGATAGCATACTTTTTGGAGAGCTACTATACGGAATTCTTGGTAAATTCAACCCATAATATTTATAGCTTTTCAACATTTTTTATATAAAATCGAATACCAATATAATTTTTTATTATATCTTATATACTGAAATTTAAAATATGATATGTTTGTATATTATTCTGTGTGTATTTTGGCCAAAAAAGGTTACAACTGCCTGACTAGGTAGACAGTGTTTCCTGCTTTATATGTAATTGCCAATTTCGTTATACATTTCGCTTTGATCTCCGGCAAAGCAAATAGCAGACTGTAGCAAAGAGCCGAGCAGGGCGCAAAAATGGGAGGTGGAAAAGGGGGCGTATTCCCGCCCCTCCTTTGCCACCTGCACAAATTGGCCGCAAGCCACTTGGTGAGTAATTTTCCGTGGCCTTTCAGGCAGTGGAAATTTTTGGAGGCAGCTTTTCCGCTGGCTTCTGTACTTTGCCCAACTTTCAACATTCTAGTGAGTAAACAATCCACAGAAAAATAATTCACGAGTCATGACCTTAACGAGGCATTAACAGATTAGCGTTAAGTAATGGTTCACAATCATGATACCAACAAAATATGACCGTAACATAGCGGCCAGTTTATTTTATGGTTGGCCAATAGCGTTTTACATTACGGTTTGTAGATAAAGAATAGTTATAATTGAATAACACCTTATATAATGTAATTGTTTCTTAAGAAAAAAACTTTTTGAAAAAGATGTGAAAGTATTGCTTTGCTTAATATAATATGTTCTCCTCATTTAGATTTTAAAAAAATAAAAGAGCAATGCCAGGTTGATAAAAATCACTAGGGCTTTCCGGTACATGATATACAAATGCAATCTATCGAATCCGACTTAAAACCACCAGATAAATCTGTGGTCCGTCTTATAGTTTTAAAAAATTACACTACTTTTGGGTGGAATTCAGTTGGAAGAGATTCCCGCAGCACTCCTGAATATGTATATCAGAAGTTATGTTATCGGATCTCCTCGTCCTGATGAATTCACTGGCAGCTGCTACTGGCTGAATAATTTCACTCAGCTGGGAGTGGAACATCGACAGCGACAAATGGGGCAGCTCAGTTCGGCGCAGATCCATGTGCATCTGAATCCGCATCCGTATCTACATCTGCATCATGCCATATGCCAACTGGTGGCAAAGGGGGTGAAGTGAGAAATAGAAATAGAATTTCTGCACAATTTGCCACTGAGACACGAGGGATGAGAATGGAGATGAGGATGAGGTACCCAGGGCTAAAGGAAATGAACCGGCAGAGACAATTGTAAAATATCAATTACGTTGTGTGGAGTGAAAATGGAGCGCAAAGTGCTTGGTTGCCGCTTCCGTTATCATTGGCTCCTAGGCGGCCAGAAATCCCTCAATCATTTCTGGACAGGATTGCGAGGATTGGAGCAGCGTGGAGTGGAGTAGAGTGGCGTGGAGTTGGCTGTGTTTACCCTCATGTACGTATCGGGATTATCGTGCATCTGCGCTGAGCCCCCGGGGAAGCAGATATACCGAGATAGATGGGGGGCGGAAGCATTCAGAAATTCAGAAGGAGTGGTTGTGGGAGTGGCTGTTGGGCAAAGGACAAGAACAAGAGCAAATCGTGGCTGCCTTCGGGCTGTCGGGTTGTCTGTGTGAAGTGAAAGACAAACGAAAGCCGCGCAGGACGTTGAAACCCATGTGACACTCATGGCGGCCCCGGGATGGAGTCCATTCCCATCCAACAGATACATTTTCTATAAATTAAGGCATTTCTGACACAAATGTTGGCAGCTTCAGGGAAAACAATTCCATTTGCAGAGCAGGCGGCATCGCGGATCCGTTGGCTGAAATTGCATCATGCTTCAAGTTCAGCTTTTTCATGAGCCATCCGCCTGCACTTAGACAAACATAGAGCTAATAAAAATGTAATCTTAACTTCTTAATTTAATTTAAGTGTATTTTAGTTTAGGTTATTTCTTTTTTCCTGCAAATGTTAAACTTTCCTGTCATAATAATAATATAATACAATTCATATAATATTTATTTCTTATTCTAAGGACAATATCAAGAAAAATATATTTTGTATGTATTTAGAAATGTTAAAAGTATTTGTACTATTTGTGCAATTTTTTTGTCAGTGCCCTCGCTAGAGATATTCACACATAAGTATGTTTATCTTCAATTTGTTTATGCATTCGCAGGGAAAAAGGAGGAAAATAAATGGAGGAGCAGCAGAACACAGATAACGACGAGGAAAGGAAAAGAACGGGGAAAACCACTCGTTTCTGGAATGAGAATTCGGACTGGGGGCAGGGCTTAGTTTTGATGGCCGGGCAGCAAAAACACAGGAAAATGGCATTTTTGAAATTAGGGATAATGCCGGGCTTAAATCCTGAGAGTGTCCCACATCAAAAGGGAGATGGCACAGAAAAAAAAAAGCTAAATCTGGAACGGCGTGCTCATGAAAATATCAAATCCAAAACTGACTGGGCCTCATCTGCCACTCAAAGCCACTTTTTCAGTTAATGGCCGGGATAACTTAGTCGGAATGCCATTTGCTAAGTCTGAGCCACAGCCAAAAGGATTAAAATTGGCATAATTAATTTGGAAGCTTTGTTTCTTGCGTTATTAATCGACTAATAATGCCACAAGATCTGGTTTCCAGGAGTTGGGAGTGTTTTTATGTTGCCATTTGAGGAACCCCCTCCAAGTGTCTCCTATCGTCTACTTATCATGATGGTTGAAATCGCTATATTGCCAAAGGCAATTCGCAAACAATCTACAAACGTCCAAGTTCTTGGTCGTCACCATAACTCGCCGCACTTCGAAATCGCATTGGTAATGGCCCTCGGAGGAGGAGAAGCTATCCAGCAGCTTAATGCTTCCGTTCTGGGATGGTAAAAGGGATGCCGGAAGTGTTTGGTGGTCCTAAATGCGTTTTGGCCCGAACTCCAAGTGCAGTTTTTTCTCCATTCGCCTCCCAGGACACTAGATGTCTTCGTTGGCTCCGGCTGGAAGATGATGTTTACTCTGATTTCTAACTTTGCCCTGCTTCTACTTTCGTGGGACTCAGTCACACGCACGGGCCGACCTTCGCAAATAAAGAAAAGCTTAGCTACACTGGAATAAATGTCTACTTCAAATAAAGTAATCCATAAATGTTGATAATAAATAGGGGATTTTTAATAATTATAATGTTATGTCTTGCCTTGTAAAAAGTTGTATTACTATAAAAGTACTTCCATTTCATATGATACAATTTATATCATAAGTTTGTTTATGCCAGGTATAATTTGGATTTTTATATTTGATATTGAACACTTTTCACCCATACTTGATACCTAAACCATATTTTATATATAATACAATAAAATCCTTTTCTACATGTGTAGCTCTGTGTTATTTTCTTCGAGTCATCGCCAGTGTCGACACCCTAAAAGCATTGACAAATATAGAATAAAACTAGAAGTCTCCCAGGTGGGAATTATTATATTCGTTGACAAAGGTAAACAAGTGAGTCCCAACCAAAGCATTTCGCAAGGGATATTTCCTGGGAAAATCACTGAGCATTGCAAATACGCTGGGAGGTATATTGCAACTGCAAAGGGTGGACTTCGATAAGTTTATTTGATGAATTTAACTTTGTGCCAAATTGTGATTAGAGAAAGTTTCAAAGATGCTTTAGCAAATATTTCGCTGACGACGGAAAAGTTTGGTTTGGAAAAACCAAATATACGAGGAGAACTTCAATATTTATTGACTTTTCATATTTAAGTTGGTAGTTCGATAAAGTAGTTAGATAAATCAGTTAAGACTTTTTCGGGCATAGGAACCACATTTAGATGAATTTGAAAAGTTGTTTAGCTACTATTTAAGTAGTTAGTTATTAACTTTTTAGTACATTTTAGTTACTACTACTCTGAAGTTATATAATTGTATGAGGTTTAAAAGTAAACAAAATGGGAACAAGTTAAAACTTGAACAATGCTGCGAATACTTTATATTACGTATACGCTCCGTTACTACAAACTATAGGCTTGTCAACCATTCCTAATAAATCGAAATCTCTTAAGAAACAGCCTGCAATAACTTCAAGATTTTAATTTATTCTAGTTAATCAAGGGGTTTATTTAATTAGCCCGCTCTTGGAGATTCTCCTTGAACCCAGCCAGCGGGCTAAAGCCCATTTAAGGGCTTATACTTAGCATTTCCTGCAGCCCCGGTTGCCCAGACATTGGGATGCAAATTTAATGTAAATATTTTAAACTAATTTTCAGTGATTATGCAAAACCACAAATAAATCTGCAGCAATGGAATAACCGAGGATGGCCACCGTGGCAAGGCTGGGTGGATGTAGCAAGTGGATGTGGATGCCACAAGGAGCAGTGGCAACAATGGCTGGCAACGGTAACCAAACCGCAACCGGGGCAAGCTTAGTGCGTGCCCCAAAGCGAGGAGGATTGGACGAAAGTTTGTAGTGGGCGGGGTCAGGGGGTCAAAGTTGCCTTTGCTGCTCGGTGCTCGGTGCTTGGTGCTCAGTGCTCGGTGCTGTGGCAAAAACTTTAGCCCGAAATCTGGTTGGTTTTCGATCATCCCCACCCTGCGGCGCCCCCCCTTTTTTCACTCCGGATGTGCCCGGCAACTTGGCTGCAACAAAATAATTTCGCTGGCTCGTTTGTCAAACTAATGGCAGGAATTTGAGCAATTTAAGCAACAAAGGTTAAACAATGAATTTCCTCAGTTTCGATATTGAATTTTACTGGCCCCCGAATGACCCTCGGCGTCCGTGTGAAGTCATCGCCCTCACAACTATACACTGAAAATCGCATCAATCTTTATTAAAACATCTTAAAAGGACAGCAGTGTCGTTTCAGGCATCTGAATAAATACAATGTATTGAAACTAAAAGGATTTTGATAAAATTAAGAAACAAATGAAGAAATGAAGTGGTGAACATAAAAACATCATGAATACTTAATAAGGATTCCAAGAAAGTAAAACTTTAAAACAGTTTTTTAGTGGAAGCATTAAATTGTTTATATTTTTAACCCATCTTTCTGTGTTTTTAGATCAAAATTAACTTTTATGCTTGAAATCTGTTTGGCTTTAAAAATATAATACAAACTAAACTTTTTAAAGGCAAATGTTTATAAGTAACTGAATAAATAAATAAAATAACATTATAAAATACTACTAAATATTACAAAATGCTTATAAAACTTTACACTTTTCCTCGATTCATTCTACTGAATGGTATTTGAAACCTATCACTTTGTGTTCCTATAACTTTGTGTTCCTTTTTTAAAATCTTCATGGATGATAGAAATTTGTTTTGTGTGCATTGTCCTACGACCTAGGCTCCGTTCAGTTGACTAAGCCGGAGCTGCTGGCTCCGACAGCTGGTGCCGGACTCACACGCTCCATTAGCGCCACCGAATTTCGATGGCATCTTGGAGGCATTGCGATGGCCACAAGGAGCCGCAGATGACGCCCCTGGACTTTTGTCGCCGCTGTTGCCGCTTTAATGAAATAATTGAAGTAAATGCCTTTCGCCTGGACGACTCCGTCCATCCAGCTCATCCGTCGAAGGCGTTTGCATAATGAGCATAATCTCCATTCAGACACTGGATTTGCCGCCTCCTTTGGACCCCAGGATGTCCGTCCAGCCATTCACGTGGCCCATCGAGCTCCGTTCACCGCCGGCGGTTTGTCAAAGTAATTGGGCAATTTGCGTGGCGCAATGGACAGGCTTTCAGTTCAAGTTCCGCGGGCATTTATGTCAGGCCGCAATTATGACAGGTCGTATTAGCTCGTAATTACCCAATGATTGTAATTCTGCCACGCGAACTACTTAGTCTACTCATCAGTCATGATTTGGCAGTGCAGTCGTGTTGGGCTCTGATCGAATAAATTGATCAGATGTGGCCAAGTTGATACAATGCTAATTTCTTTCATTTTCCCAACAGACTCCTATTTCGCTGTTTGTCAATTGTAATTGTGATTAATGGTGGACTTCCATACGTGTTTCAATGTAAACTAATTTTATTCATGAAAAGCGTTTCAATCGTTTGTTACCCAAACTTTAAAGAAGATGTTGATATGCAGTAACACGGAAAAGAAAATTATTGCGAAAATTTTTAGCTTTTAAACTGAGCTCGCAAATAGTATATAAATAGACGGATCCTAATAGACAATCCTACTGATCAAGATAAACATACTTTATAGGGTCCTTTACTGCATTACAATCTTCTACCAATATATACTCATTATATAATATAATATTAAAAATCTGGTAAAACCAAACCAAAAAAACTACTTTTCTCATTTGAAACTATTGGCTTACATAGCACATAACAATTAACTAAAAGGTTCACCTATATGTGTAATGATATCAGAATATCATGTCCACTTACTCTTAATTACTGTTAATTGTAGGCCATTTATCAACCAAAACCTGCTTCAGAACTATTTTCAAGTGACAATGACTTTTATTTTAGTAACTCCCCGTGGATAGGCGACACCAGGATGAAGATCCTGCAGGATATTCGAGCTATAGCATGGCCCTCGCAGATCTGCGCCCTGCTGCCATTTTATAGTGGAAATGAGGAGGAGAGTTTCCGATTTGGGGTACTTGGTCGCTGGTACGGACGCTTAGTGGCCCTGATTATACTGATTACTTCCCTATTCTTCGGTGAGGACGTACTTTTCGCATCCAGTGAGTACAGATTGGTGGCCAGTAAACAGGGTGACACCGAGGAAATCAATCGCACCATCGAGACGCTTCTCTGCATCTGCAGCTACACGATGATGGTTTTGTCCAGTGTGATGAATGCATCCAGGCACTTTCGAACTTTGCGGGATGTTGCCAAAATCGATGAGTATCTGGTGGTCAGTGGTTTCCGGGAGAAATACAACTGCCGGAATCTGGGAATCCTGGTCACCTCAGCGGCATTTGGAGTACTTGCGGTGGCCTTCTACTACATCCACTTTCGGAGTGGCATTGGTTCTAAAAACCAGGTGATCCTGCTCCTGGTTTACTCCTTGCAGTTACTCTACTCCACTGTATTTGCTATATATCTACGTTCCATACTCAAGAGTTTAGCGCAACGGATTGGTTTCCTTAACCAACGACTAGATGAATTTTGCCTTCAGGAAATTGGAAATGTGGGAAACTGGCGGGAACTCAGTAATCTCATAGAAGTGCTCTGCAAATTCCGCTACATCACCGAGAATATTAACTCCGAGGTTGGAGTGGCATTGCTATTCTACTTCGGATTCTCTTTCTACACGGTGACAAATCAGAGTTATTTGGCCTTTGCCACTCTGACAGCCAGTTCGTTGAGTTTGAAAAAAGATGTGGATGATACCATGGGTTTGTCCTGTGCCTGGGTGTTGGCCGAAGTTATCACCATGGCCATGATCTGCAGCGCATGTGATTGCCTGGCTTCCGAGACGAACAGTACGGCCCAAATCCTTTCAAGGGTCTACGGAAAAAGTAAGCAGTTCCAGAACCTCATCGACAAGTTCCTCACCAAGAGCATCAAGCAGGATCTGGAGTTCACCGCCTACGGATTCTTCTCTATCGACAACTCTACGCTTTTTAAGATATTCTCTGCGGTCACCACTTATTTGGTAATCCTCATTCAGTTTAAGCAGTTGGAGGACTCCAAGGTGGATGAAATTAACCAGGCTTAAGAAGAGTTTTTTTACTCCCTAAATCTTAAATATTACTAACAAGTGAAACATTATGTTAAGTAATGTTTTGTGCTTCACTAACATCCTTTGATTTTTAAAGACATAATAAAACTAATATATGCACTATAATTATGATACTGACATCTTATATAAGTGTTATTAAATTAAGTAAAAAATTGGTTTTCTTTTTATCGGTTGCCTACACTCAATATTTAGTTCCGCAGTACTTACACTATAATTTGTCTGGGAGTTACGTGATAAAAATCAATAAGATGCTGGGAGCTGCAGTGTTTTGGAATGCTACTCTTTTGAAAGTTGGCTGGAGCAAACAAACATGACAATGCGTAGAGCTCATCAAATCATGCTGTCGAGAGTCCTGTGGAGAACGCAGTGGGTAGTCGGTGCCAGAGGGCAAAGGGCATGCCACGTGCAACTTAAACGCATCATTAAACTTTTGTCACTTTTCAGAATGTGGCAACCTCAGACCAGAGGCACTCGAGCGTGCAGCCAAGATGAAGTGCCAAACTAATGAAGGAACTATGGGAAAACTGGGGGGGAGAACCATTGCCACAGGCAAACGGCCACAAACAGGAGCTGGCGAAAAGGACATCCCTGAAATGGGCCAGACGATAAGATTCACCGAAGTCTGCCCGTCTCTCGTTCTTTTCCCCTCCATTTCATGGCAATAATCAAGCGAATTGTCGCTTGTCAAAGTGTTTGAATAGTCAAAAGTTTCAGAATTTATATTGCACATTTTTTCCGTGGCACAATTCTTTGATAACTCTGACTTCGCAAGTCAAATATTAATAAAATCAATGCGATTTATAAGAAATTGTTTCTGGCAAATGAGTCCTTTTAAAAGTTTTGTTTATTGTAAGTTAAGTAACCTAATTTTAAACGTCACAGTAATTTTCAACTTATAAAGCTTAAAAGGCATTTTATATTCTTTTTTCGAAGCCTTTTCTAGTGTTTAACTAAGATGTATATAATGAGATTAATACAACTTTAATCCACTTTAGTTTTTTTTTAGTGTCTCTCGATAGCATTTTAATTAGTTTAATGGCATCTACAGTTTTCAATGTTATTTTTCCCATTTACTTAGTAAAGAAATGGACTACTGAACGAATCTTTTGAAATAAAATGGAACTTTCCTGCTACATTTCCTTACTCTATTTTTTCTGATTGAACAAACTTTGGCAGTTGCGCTTGCAAAAGGCAGTTTAACTATGTCCGCGTTTCAACTTTTCATTAAGAACTTGTCAAGGAGCTCTCAACTTGTCATACAGCCATCGAAGGGCTACTCAATTCCAGGACTATATCATTATGGCCAGTCCGGGTAGAGAAGGTAAGTCCAGATGAGCCCCCTGGTTATCCCATGTTCGAAGGAAAATGCCCGCGGGGCTTTTGTTTATTTTAGCCCTCACAAATTGTTAATTAAATTTTGCACTGCCCTTCGCCTTCTCATTGCTCGTTCTTATCTGGCCTATAAAGGGGGCTTAAATATTTTTCGAAAATCATTTTTCCCTTTATTAATTCCATTTTTGCTGGTGCTGCGAAACAAAGCGAAAACTTTTTGCATAGTTTTGCCAGCGAGTTTAGCTCCACCGTTAGTTTATTACGCCATTGTTGGTGCTGTGCATCTTTTCTTTAGTTTTTTTTTTATTATTTTACTTTATTTTATTATTGTTGTTTACTTATTTCGGTGCTATTGTCTAGGCGCTTCTTGTAATATTTTTCTTTCAGCCACCGGCCACGCCCACCGCTCCGCCCCTGCTGGAATCTTAGCTCTGGAAGATAATTTCGACGCTTTGTTTTGCGGGCGCGTGGATTCTCTTCTGTGCAACGCCTAAGTGGATCACGCGCACACAAACTTGGCTAAGAATACAGGATACAGGACACAGATACATATACATGTATAAATATATACTTGTGTAAGTATATCCTTGCCCGAGAAAACGCGGCCAATACAAAGCCCATCAGGACGACACGAAAGAGGTTTGGGACTCGCAGTGGATTTTTCTTGAATAGAATACAATTTTCTGTGCATTTGATTACAAAAGGGATTCATGTGCTTAACTGAAGGCACAATGCCCGGAATGTTCAACTCATTTTATGCCCCTTTGTGGCCCGATTCGTACACTTTCCCTCTTTCCTCGTTTCCTCCAGGATTTGCAGGATTCATCAATGCAGTACTCAAGCCTTCAGTGTTTGGCTTTAAGGTTTCCCAAATTAATGAAAGAATGTTTTGGCATCTATACATTAAACGAATTGTTTTTGACAAGGCAACCAAATAAAATGGATCACAATTAAATTATAATATTGTCGGGAATTTAAAAATGGAAAACATTGTCTTTCAGATATTTCTTTAATTTATTTTCTCTTAGTATCTCATTGAGTGGCTTAACAAAATTTCTTCAATGTTTGACAATATATTATATTAATAGTTCTTAAAGTACATGGTTGAAGTTCACAGCCAACAAGAAAATTTAAAATGTAGTGTTTAAAACCTAACAAGTTTATTTTATGCAAAAAAACACACATTAATCAAATGTCACTATCGCAAATAAATTAGTTTTCCAATGAGTTTACTCGAAATAAAATGAATAAATAAATACTGATTGGTTGACAAAAAGTAAGCCTTTTAAAGCCAATTAAAAATGGGGTAAAGTTTGGAAATTCCCCAAATTCAATTTGTCAAACCCAATTTGAGCAATTGACAGAATGTTTTTTTGTGGGAATACATAAATTAAATTTTGCTGGGGTTAGTGGAACAGGACACGGGCACCCACTCACATATGTATTGCATTTATCGAGCGATTCGGTATAATAAGCGATTACCTACTCCGAATCCAGCAGCAGAGCGGAAATATTGATAAATGATCCGCCCCTGTTCGTGGACAATTTCACAAAACCAATTCGCATCGAAAGAATTCATTGTTCGGTGTTTTCGGTGCCCAGATGGGGGTAGAAATAAGTGGGGTTTTCGGATCGGGAGGGGCCTTTTTGGCAATGACACCATGCCGCGGGATGCCAACGCATCAATACTCGATTTGGCATCGCTTCCTCGCGAAATCCGCCACCCAATTCCCAGCTTCACCTCCCTAATTTCGCCCCAAGTTGCGAACTACAAATGGAATTTATTATGCGTTGCCTGATTTCTATCCGCTGGCTGCAATTTATCTTCCATAAACATTTATCTGCGCATTTGACTGTGACCTGTCCCGCTCTCCAGGGATCACTAAGCAGCTGAGTCATCGCCACTCACCAAAGATTTATTATTAGTAGGGTCGGGGATTGCAAACAACCCCCAATATAATAAAAAAAGCTTTAAAATCATTTTAAAGCATTTAAAAAGCCCAAAGAATACTATTATTTAGAAGTAATAATAAAAACTAGGACTTAGAATACAGGTTTGAAATTGCTGGGATAAATTATTTAGAGTCAATTTAAATTTGCATGGGTTGCAAATCGCCGGGCAAAGACAAAATCTTCAAGTTGTCACTCTTTAATCTAATTCACTTAATCAACTAAATAAGCGTTATATTTTGAAGCGATACCCTAAAAAATTGCTTAAGTTTATACAAATTAAATAGCATTAAGGAATTTAAGTCAAATAATGACACTCACAATTAATCAAGATATGCCAGACAATTATTTTCTCAGAGAAAAGAAAGCGCCACCAGATGATTGCTGCGGCTTGTTACAAATCTCATTTCGTATGCGCAAGGATTTGAGGAAAATTAAAATTTATTGCCCATGGAAAGTCCCTGTTCCCCTCCCCCCTGCCCTTGCCCCTTCCCTTGCCCCTGCCCTTGCCCCTGCCTCTTTTCCCATAGCCCTTTTTCCTTTGTGAACTCAACCGTTGACGTGGGAAGACCGCATTGGGCTCCTTGGCTGAAACTCATTTTGGAATATTTGTATGTGGGGCGGGCTAAGGGTATATGTAGATGCCGCAGTGGACCAGTTGGTCCCACTGCCATTCCCATCTGAATCTCCTCCTGCTCCTAAGCCTCAAGTCCAAATCCATTCATTCATATTTATGCCACACAAAGAGCAAAAGTTTTATGCCACTTCTCCGTCCGCGTCGACAGTTGTTTTTCTCACAAATTTATTGGCAGTCGGCCATCAGCTTCTGTTTGAGTTGGAGTCCGGGGGGAAAATGGTTGGAGTTGGAGTGGGATCCCCGGCAACGTGACATATTTTTAAAATTGTATAATGTTCGCATTATTGCAAAGAATCGCACAACTCGACCGGAGGGGTATGATGAAGAAAAGCGTGCGAGCTGTCAGTATCCCCTGTCAAAACATACGCATTTCCGCCATTATAGAAGAAAACCCAATAAAATGTTCACATTAAAAGTGAACAAAAATCTATTAAAATCTTTTCAAAAGTTTCCTTAGAAATGAAGAAAAAAACGTATCTATCTACTTCTCAAATTTCCGACAAAGCAGAATTCTTAATAAATATTTCGCTTTTTCAATCAATATACAAAAATCGAAAAAAATATCTTTCATATTCGGTTGATTATCAAATGATGAGCAATATGCATTTCATAATTTAATTCCAACTTAATTATTATATATAACTTAAGTTTAATTGACGAAAATATGCATGCTCAATACAATAAAATTGAGCTCTATCAAATTATCAAAACGTGAGACTCTTTTATTAAATTTAATTAAGCACCGAAAGGTATTTTCTTATGAGTAAATATATTATACGTTTTAGCTTTAATCATATAAATTAAATAGTTCTCATTTTCATCAAAAGGATCATTAAGCACATTGCTAATTTAACTAAATTGAACGCAATCCAATTATCAAAATGCGAGACACTAAGTAATACACTTGTAAATATATGGTTATGTAATTACGAGCAAATGCCACACACATTTTTGGAAATGGGGAGTTAACAAGCATGTGAAAGCAGATTTCCGGTTCTGTGACAGTCGCAAAGTTTTCTCACACAAAGTAATTATGAAAACCACTTGCAAATGCCTCTGAAAACCCCCCCAAAAACCTTAGGTATATATTTACTTATGTAAGTAACCGTTTGCAAGTGTTTTGCCAGAATAGAATTTGAGTGAGACCCAACAAGTTTTTGGCCCAAAACTCTGCTGCTCGTGCGAGTCATTATAAGTTACGCTAATCAAGTTGAACGTGCGACCGCATTCAGCAGGGGGGAGCGGGGGTGGGTGGTTTGAGGTGCGGTAAAAGGATGTTGGAGTAAGTGGGCGTGGCCAGCAGGCGGATGCCTGGCAGACGACACCGAAGTGGCTCCTTCGAGAGCTGAAGAAAGGAAATGACAATTCAAATTAAAGACACAAGTCCAGAAGGTTTTTTTTTTGGGGGGGAGTGGGTGGAGAAAAGACAGGGAAAAGAGGCTGGATGGAAAGTGGGGCTGGCAAGACCACGCCCACCACTCGCATTGCCACTTAACATGAAATTAATTATGAAACTTTTGTGCAAAATTTTGTTGAACGAGTTGAAAAGTCTTCAATGCGGCTCGACAGCGGAATAAGTAGGGGGTAAAAGGAGTTTGGAAGGGGAGGAAGAAAAAAAAAAGGGGGAAACGGCAGGCAGTAAGTACGTGGCCGGTAAAAAAGTTAACGCGCCCCAGCGATGAGCATGGGAAATTAAGTACACGCCACGTGGGCCACAAGTCTGCCGGGGACAGGCGACGAGGGGTGCGCCTGCGGTTCGCGTTTGTGTCTGAGTTCGAGTTTGAGTCTGAGTCTGGGTGTGTGACCACAGCAAATAAGGAGCAGCAGAGGAGCAGGAGCAGGATCAGGAGGACCAGGGCCAGGACCAAGACCAGGAGCACAAGCACAAGCAGCGGGGACAGAAGCAACAGCGAGTGCAACTAAGCGTCGCCCGGAAATGAGCAAGAAAAACGAAATCAGAGGAGGGCACAGTAGTACGAGGTGGAAAATTTAAATCAAGTATGAAAACAGGGTATTAAAAAAATATTCAGTTCAAAATAAAAATTGTTGTATTTGATTCTAAACGTTTTCCCTCTTTCACTAGTTATTTAAATATGTAGCATTTTAAAAATATATATTATTTGATTTTTGCCTTCAGAATATTAATTTCTTATTGATCTAATCAATTCTTAACCAATCACCCTGAACAATATTATTAACATAAGAATCCTTTTCATTACTTTATTAAAAATCTTAATTCCTGCTTTACCTTCTTAATAAATCCTAATAAACCTATAAATAAAAATTCAAACTCAGTTCCTTATTCATTAAATTTCTTCCATCCTAGAAATACTCAAATATGATATTTTAAAAATATGAATCTGCTTCAATTTTTCTGAATTAGGTTGTTTTAGTGACTCAAAAAGCAAATGCCAGTTAGCATCGACACTCGTCAACCGACTCTTTTTCCGCGGAGGCTGCAATTAGGCTGCACAGCATTCACCGCGAAAAAAGGGCGGGAAATGTAGAGGAAAAGGCAGGCAGCCGTGTCAGCAGCAAACCGGAAACAGGCCCAAATAAGTATGCAGCGAACTTTTTCTGCGCCCTCGACTAGCAAAGTTTTGCTGCTACTCCGCCTCCGAATCCTCGAACCCACTTTCCCGCAAAGGAGGCGGCGCCCCCAATTGCTGGCATGTAAGTTGTTTTACTTCAAATTTTAATTATGATTTAATGCTAAAATACGGAAATAATTTGCGCCAACAACTTTCGTCGCCGGAACGCAAACTGCACGAGAACGGAGTACACCGCCCGCGTAATTCCATTTCATGGGTCGGCAATTGCGGTCGCCGGTCTCTATTTAGCCGTATCGGGAAACCATATACATACGGGCACGGTTCCGCTCTCCCCAACCAGTTTATAATCGGACTATTTCCGACACTAGGCTTGTTAAGTAGAAATTACTTTCTTGAAGGCACGGGAAATGTGCAAGCACTATAACTTTAAAGTATAAGTGTTTATTGGGCCAGTTAAGATCATGGCAAAGCAGACCAAGACTAACCATTCGAAACTCCGGACACAAAAACACAATATATAACTCGATCGATTTTCCAGTTTACGGATTAAGACATGTCCTTGCTGCATCTCCAGCTAAACCAACAGCAGCGCAAAGTTGCCGACTCGGTGATCATCAGTATGTGCCGCGGGGACTATGCGGCATCCCTGCGGATGATAGAAGCCTCCAGGAAGATGGGTCAGCCACTGCCGCCTCTTCAGGAGCGCATCCTGCGAATGATATTGCTGCGCCTGCTGAGTCCGCGTGCTGCGGAGCAATATCGTCTGCGGATTACCAAGAACGGACTGGACACCAGCATGCTCTTCATGGAGGAAATACCCTTCGGGATGTTGGGCAAGGTCTACGAACAGGCCGTGACGCTTAGCTTCGAGAGGTTCCACAAACACCTGGTTTACATGCAGCTGGTGGAACACACGATCATGCAACACAAGCTGACGTTCCAAAATCACTGCGTGATGCTGAAACTGGTGCTGCAGGAGATCGACGATGTGCATTCTGCCGAAGGGATCACCCTGGAAATGGCCTTCATTCATCTACTGGTCATCTCCTCCCTCATGATCCTGGCTTATATCTTTTTTAAAGGCCACAAAACCAGCTACAACTACACACTGCCTTTCCTGTCATCTATTATAGAGAGCTTGTTTCATCATGTTTCTAAATTTTAAAATATTTTATTTTAAGTGTGTTTAAGAAAACAAGTGGTGGGAATATTATAATAAAATATAATAAAGTTCTACATTGGGTAATCTTGCGTAAGAGGAATTTTTCTTTTGAACAAAATTCTTTATACAATACAGGCGTTTATCCCAAATAAATGCCTTCGCACGTGCTTTTGTACACATGTAAATACTACTGTGTGCACGTTGACATTGCATCGTAAAAATGTATTTATTTGTTGTTTATTCGCCACATAAACAATATGCGGAAAGTGAATGAATTACCACAAAGCTTTGCCACACAATGTTATGTGTATATATGCATTTGCGTGAGTGCGTGGTGTTCATATGTTTATAGTTTGAGGATTTCCATTTTTTCGGATTTTTTCCGTTCGACAACATTTAAATGCACTTTTATTACATTTGCTCAAACAAATTTTTATTGTCGGGCGAAGGAAATCGCACAAAAACATAAAACTAAGCTGTTGACAGATTTTATTGTACAAGACGAGCCAAGTTTATTGAGGGTGGAAAATGTTCACTTCATATATACAATGTACATAAATATATGTGTTCTCGTAAAATGCCACATTATTTCCCAACATGTCAATATGTTTGTATTTACATAGACAGCTAATATTGAAATATGCAAAATTGTTTACATGAAAAACATTTTAAGAAATCGAATATAAAAATATTTGCTTAACTTATTTCATTTCGATATGGGAAGTTACGTTGGTTTTAAATTAAATATAAATATATGTTTTGGTTATTCTGTATTTAATGTCTAGATATTCTAAAAAGTAATTAATTTGTACCTGTCTTGTGTTTATTTGTTGTAGTTTTCTGACTTAAAGCGTATAAGTTCGAAACAAAAGTTAAAGTATATTGATTTGTACACAACCCTCTTAATTCCAAAAAATGATTTATTAAAAAATTCCAATATCTGAAGGCATTTGTTTAAAACTCATAAACGTTAACACAAATACACAAGACTCTCTTAAATTTAAAAAAAATTTAATTTTGAAAAAAATTTAATTATCAGAATATAGTATATACCTTTAAATATAAATACTATGTTATCCAGTTTATTTATCGGAATAGCAATTAAAATGTAAAATGAAAACAAATCTGGAAGTTCTTAGTTTATTTTAAGTTTAATCTTGCAATATATATTTTAAGAACATAGGAGATTCCTTAAACTTTTAATGAACCATATCTACTGTACTACAAAATATTTTCTTCAAAAGGGCGTACTCACAGTGTTTACTCTTCTCGGCGGCCACCTGGCTGCTTGGTGTCTGGGCGAGAATGGCGAAGAGTCCGACGAGGATTAGCAGCCACTGGGGAATGCCCGACCCCGAACTGGTCCTTGGGGCCAGGGTCCCTGACCGCCGCATCGTCTCTCCATCATCTGCCGCTCGGCGGGGGGCGGGGGAGCGGGAGCGGTAGGGGCAGTGGGTGGGCGAGGACAAGGACGAGGGGCCGAGGTCGGTGGGTGGCCCCGGCCCACAGGATGTGGGCATCAACAGCATTGCCGCCGCTTCGGTGGCTCAATTTTCGCGGCTTTCGCTGCTGCTTTTCTTTCGGACTGCCTAAAAAGTTGGCTTTGCTTTTGTTCGCTCGCGCTGATTTCTTGTCGCGTTTGTCATTCTCCGGCAATTAGAAGCTTTCATTTATGAATTTTCCTTCCCCCGAATGTGTCGCCTCATTGGAGATTAACGGGTTGTGCCAGCGTTCCAATTACGCTCTGCAAACAAAAAGTGCATTTAGTCAGAAAAAATGGTATTTAATGGCTGACAAAAATTGCCAAAGCAATTGGCAACAGCTTGCGGCAAGCTGACGGGAATGGATAATAGTGACTGAAATTAATTTTCAGCTGCACTGAATGTTTCTGTATTTTCATTTGTTGGATAAGCTGTAGGGTAGTAATTTCTTATAAAATTCATCTTAAACAATTGAAGAAGTATTGCTTGAAATTTAAATATTATTGCTTATGATTTCAAAACAATTTACCTAAACCAATGATTATTTCCTTAGCTATTTAACCAGGAAAATGTAATTCATATCTTAATATTTCTTTACAGAAGAAAAAAACGAGTTATTTATGGAATCTCCATTCCCCATTTTAAAATGTTACAATTTGAGTATATTTATTCTCTTCCTTTCAGCTTAATCCCATATCGCAATGCCCACTGGATTGGGTCAATATTTGGATGCGTGAAGACATCTCATAAATCGAGGCAATCAATGCATAAATTTTGCCACTGGGAATGCAGGCGCAATTCACACTTAAGGGTGCATGCAAAGTGAAATATTACGCATACGCAGTGTGGATCGGTTTATCATGGCAGCGCAGGCCATGAATACATTCTCGCCCCATGCAAATGTGTGTGTGTGGGTGTGTATTAAAAAGTAATGAGCATCAACTGCACAACCAGGCTGGCAGTAAGGAGCTGGATTTGATATACAAGTACTGCCCAGCTGCTCCACTTTTATCCTTATCCACAGGGGAATAAAAAAAATAGTCGAAACGCCATGGGGCCTCGGTTGCACGTTTATCACACTTAGAAATCGTCGCCAGCTGCTCCACATAAAGCGAAATAATAATGAGAAATCAGAAGCAGGCTGCAAACAAAAAATGCAACATATATATCACGGGCACACACATCTATGTGTATACCTACTCGTACATATATAAGTATTGGACTGAAAATAGGACCCAGGAACCGAAATGGGGGGACATGGCCAGTGACCGTGTCACACACATTCTGGCATGCCTGACATCCAGCCAACGTTCCAATTTCGTGTTTAATTAAATCTGATTATAGCTTTTCACTTTGTCCTCTTTTGTGAGCCACTTTTTCTGCTCCGGGCATCTCCTCCCGAGTGTCTTTGTGTTCGGACAGGTACCAGGATAAATTTAATTTCTATAAATTCCAGTCCCCAAGATAAAAAGAAGCTTGGATTTTTCCTATTAGCAAGTTAAGTAATACTTATGTATTTATTAAGATAGAACCAAGATTTTCTCTTTTTTAAACATTAAACGCAAGCGTAGAAAAAACTGTTTTTTAGTAGCAGTCTTTTAAGGCTAAAAGTGAATCTACGGAACTTTTAGGGATGTAATGGAACCAAAATGTTTTACTAAACACTAAACAATTAAACACAAGCAACAAAATGTTGGGTAAGGAATACAGCAATTAATAAAAGACGCAACCGAGGAAATCCAGCTACAGCTATTCGTTTTTCAGGATAAACACACACACGTCTGTGACCTAATATTCACACTTGCACACAAGTCCGCAATTAAAAGGAGGTGTATACAACACAGGGAGCATTGGATGTGCCTGGCGAACATGTATTTCCATGGCTGCTATTTTTTTGTTATTGTTCATGGCCACCATGGCAACCAATTTTCTGGGCAGTTGAGAAAATCGCTTTTGAAAGGACATTGGAGGATACATTTTGGCTGTTAGCGACGACCAATTTCGTGTGCTTTTTCCAGCGAAGAGAAATAAAAGTTTACGCTTTGATTGCCCTCTAATTTAGAAATTCGGAAAATACAAATCAAAGCGAATAATTTTGACTTGGCTGAATGGAAGTTGGCTATCGCTCTACGTGCCATAGTGAAAATGTGTTGAAAATTTGAGGGAAAATGGAAGTGGCGGAACTGGGAAGCCGCATAAATTGCCAGCACTACCGTTTTCCACACAAAGAAGGCTTGGCTGTAACGCAACAAAAGCGGCTTTAGTAGCTCCCTGGAAACATGGCCAGCAGTCACAGGAACAACAGCCACTGAAACTATGGCCAAAATGGCCAACACAACGTAACTGTGAAGAAAAATTAGGCGACATACAATTAATGGCCCTGTGGGGTTTCATCGTGAAATCGCTTTGGAACTCACATTCGTGAAGAATATTTTTTTGTTTTTTCTATATTTTCTTTTGTTTGATTTTAATGCCCCAGTGCGCCCTAACATTTACTATATTCTATGGAGTTTCACTAGGATGGAGAAAACAAAAGGCTTTGAATTAAGTGATAATGAGAAAAAACACCGAAGTTGGAATTTGCTGTCAGGTCCATTAGTAAGACAGTCAGTCAGGCATGGTGCTGGATCTTAATGCAAATTTGTTAAATGCGATTTACCATGAGCTTTAATACTTTATTAAAACATTTGGCATGCAATTAAAAGAAAACATATTTCTTACATAAGGGTGGTAAAGCTTTCAGCTCCACTTTTATCCAATACCGTTTTGTACATATCTCCCGAAATGATTTTTGATTGTAATTGAAATCCTACTTATATTATTTTCTTATAAAGCAGTTCCTAAAAGGGTAATACCATTATTAATGCTGCTGTACACAGCTTCTTTTAGTGATTTTTGAATAAAACCGATCAGACTTTTGCATACAGTACATTATAAATATTTATATAGAATGAGCGACATAAAATCCTTTTCGCTTCGCACCTGAACTATTTGGAACAGCGCGTTGAAAGCAAACAAAAAAGGCTCACTTTGGCTTTCAGTAAATAAGGCAAGGAAAACATTGGCAGTAAGGGCGGTAAAAGCAATGGAAACAATGGCCAAAAGGGGGAGTTTCGAAGGGATGCCCTTTGTTGTCCTCGGGTTGAAATCGTGTGGGGGAACAGTCACCGACACCTCGGCAACATACACAATGCAAATGTATTAACTGCAGGACGTTATAAACAAAAGAAATTACGTTATGGCGGCAGAGTGTTTTATGTTGGCAACACTTCGCCCACAAATGCGAACGGATTTCGCATTTTTTTCTTTGCTCGCCTACACTAAAAAAATTGTACTGTTACAATAATAATATTTCTTTATAAATAAACAATAATTACATTAAGAGCAACCATTTTATTCATTCAAATAGTTTTTGAAAGTAAAAATAAATTATATTTTTAATTTGAACTATTAATTTCCGGATTTTTAAAAAATAATTATTTTATTTTTAGTTTTAAATAAAGTTATTTTAACCGAAAATTGTAGTTACACGAATATTATATTGGGAAAAGATAAATTTTGATTACAAACATTAAAACTTGTATGTTGTTACGCCGAATATCGTACAAAAATTGTAACTTTGTAACCCTGATACAAAATGTTTATCAAACTGATAGGGCTTTCATTTTTCTTAGTGCACGCATGTTTGCCAACCGCTTTTGCCCTTCCGTCCGTCCCTGTCCGCCAGTGTCCGTCCACATCCGCGTCCGCCTCCGCGTCCGTATTTGTGTCCGCCAGTCTCCGTCCATGTCTGACTCACGTCTGCACGGGGCATGTCTATTTGTCTGCTGAAAACGGAACCGAGCTGCCAACAGCGACTGCAACAACAGCAACAGCAACAGAAACACGTCACTATATGAAAGTGCAGTCGTGCTCCACGGCGAATGAGTAATTTCAGTGGCAAGAAGCGGGAGTGGGTTTTTGGGAGGGCCAAGGAGAAGGCCGCATTGTTTTGGCCATCGCTTTCGCTTAGCTCTTTTGTGCGGAACACGTTTGCGTGTATTTTTGAAGTCATTTTCTGCAGCATTTAGTCCTTTTATGGGTTTCCATGATGTGTCTACACGATCTTTTTGCAATAGTTTCTGCATTTAAATTCAACTTTGTAAAAAAAAGAGAGTCTATAGGGTCTCTTTGCTCAATCAGCGTATTTAACTTTGCAAACATAAATATTTGAAAGTATTTTTCAAGTAATGTTCTGCTGTATAAAGCTCTTTTAAGGGTTACCCATCTACAAGATGGTATAATCAATAAGTTGTAGGATTATTTAAGTACGTAAACTAAAATTTATTTAATTATTTATGGCTGCTATTGGTACTTTTAAGGTTTTACCATGATGATAATATCGATTTATAATAGTCTCTTGCACTTAAAATTTACTTTATTTATTTTTTGCAGCAGAAAGTTGCTTCGGCGGTTTTCAGAGGAACTTTATAAATAACCACCCGCATTCATGGAGTGTTAACAAAACCCTTCGCCTTGCCACTCATGATAGCCATTTCCTTAAGCTGCAAAAGTGCCAAATCATGAGATTGTGCTGCCATGGCGATTGCGATGACAAACCGTGAAAGTGGCGGACTATGGAGATGGAAGATGGGGCTGAAGACGTGGCTTAGTTGGACGGGTGTTGACAAGAAACCCTAACGAGTGACAGCTGAGACAATCCCAAGACGCAAAAAGCAGCCACAATGATGAGACTAGCAATCGGAAGAGCCGAACTACGAAAAAATCAAAGTCCTCGATTTGCCTTTTGGCCAAATCCCACCGACAGATTAATGGCGAGGGCGAGCCCGGGGCGAAAACCAAGACCACATCCAAGTCCAGACAAGAAACCGCAATCGCAATCAAATTTATTTATTTATTTTTATGTTTAGCCGTTGGCAGTTTTCCCGTTTGTGCCCAGCGCAGCACATAAGCTGACAGCCCCATCAACTTGTTTTCCTTATCGCTCGGGAACGGCGGCTTCCAGGGGTTGGTTCGAAAGGGTCGAGGTCAGGCTAATGATTAATACGACTGGCTGGTCCAGCCACTCCGATTGTTATCTCACTTTGCGTTTCAACTTAGTTATCTGGGAATTCTTATTTACTCGCAAAAAATATGAATAACCAGTTTAAACTGAAAAATATTGATTTTATCAAAGAATGTCTATAATTTTATTGATGAATGTTTGGATTTTTTTGTCAGAATACCAATTTCAAGGGTTGGTATTTAATCAGATACAACTTAGAGCTATAATTTTACAAAGTTTATATTTGTATTAAATTTTTGTATGGGGAATTAGAAATCTTTAAAGGTAGCTATCCTCCAAATCAGATTTATTATGTTTGTGGTACAAGTTATGGAAGCTCGACTGCTTTTATATGGGTCCCTCGAGTGGTGGCAGGGATTACGCTTTGCGGTGAGAACTACTGGGCTTTATGGAGTGCGGACACAAATAAATCACCTGCCGGGGAGCCCCAGCTAAGACCTGGTCGAACAAAAAATATAAATTAGAAAATCCAAAACGGCGGGCAGAGAGAGAGAGAGGGGGGAAAGTGGGGAAAGCAACAGAATAATCCTCCATTACCACACTTCCTGACCTGACCCTGGCATGTGCGAGTGTGTGTGTGTGCGCGATGCTTGGCACTACTTTCACACATTCGCCTGCTGTTATAGTATGTACTCTTGTACACGCACACATATATATGCCAGGGATATGCGTGAAGGACCTTCGCCATCGACCACACCACTCCGCGCCCGTGCGTGCGAGCGAGACAACAGCCTTAACAGAAGTCCTTGTGCACTCGCAGGAGAGAAGGAATGCTCTCCCGAAAGGAGAGAATACTACTCGTTCGTAGTACTCGTAGTCGGGGGCGTAAAATGTGTAAAACTCAACTTGACGTCTCCGTTTTGCGGCTCTCTGATGAATGAGATTAACCGGCGAGCCAAAATCCACCCCCTTTTCGGGACCTCGCGACAAATGAGTGCAAATGACCTCAACGCAGGGAATACTGGAGCAGCAACCCCCGATCCTGTTCCTATTCCCGTTACCGTTACAGTTACCGTTCCCGCTTTTCTGGCCCTTTAAAAGCGGTGCCTTTCAGCAGTACTCGTTCATTTTTGGCTTTTTTACGACACTGTAACTGAATTTATTATGCACTTGGCTCTTGTTGTTTATTGATAATTCCATCAAATTCCAGGCTGCCGCCCTTTCTTGATTAGTCGTATGTTTTTGTATACCATACTACATAAAACTACTCACACAATCAATTTCGATCACTCAAGTTTGCACGAATGCACTTGTTGTTTTGCAAAAGTTTCAGCGGCTATTTTTAACAACAAGCTTTATACATTGTTGTATTGTATATTGAATATTAAGTTTTAGTTTCGATAGTATATTTTACACAGTTGCGGGTTGGCACAGCGCGACGAAAAGCTTCTCACTCAACGTTTCAACTGCGACTGTTACTCGTCCGCTTTAAATGGTGATTGCTTTGGCGTCTCGCCCTAAGCTTTTACCTCAAAACACTCGCTGTTGAAAGTTAACAGTAACAGCAGTAAGCGGGTGGACAGCCCCGCTGTTAAGCTTATCGATTGCCAAGCCGTGTGCGAGCGAGATGGCTAGACAGCTCCACTGAGACTCCAAAAAAAGGGTGGACAGCTTGCTCTTTGACTTAGCAAAGGAAAAAGTTGTTTGTAAGTTTAATTATCACTACCAATTCACCGTTTAACACAAAGTTCAAACTTTCCGTTTTATTTGTTTATATTTTAAAAGCGCACGATGCACATCTATTTCAAACGAATCATTGTGGCAACCGGAGCGGAGCGGTGTTGAAGGCAAACTGAAGCCGGCGCCTTTGGTGGTAGAAAAAAACCTGCCACCAATAATCAACCACCCCTGCGGCACACTCTTTCGCTCTCTCAGCACACACTGCGAAACTCCCCCTATTTTTCTCTCTCTCACTCCACTTGACTGCTTCCCTCTGCTTAGTTATTCGATCTTAGGCAGAGTTCTCTGTACTTAAATTTGGCGCCCTATAAGGACAACATTCTAAATGTGCTTAAATATAATATGTTTCTTTTACGAAATAATTATTATCTGCAAAACAAGTTCCCGTTTTAACTGCTAAATAAAATTTGAGAGGACCTTTATTACACGAAATTTTTTGCGTAATGTGGGACTTGATAAAATCCATCAAATTGAAGGACAATTCTTACTTAATCATTGAATTAAATTTTAATCTAAAAAAAATCCTATAAATATCTAAGAAAAGTAAGACAGTTAGAGAGATCTACTCCGTAAAACTTTTTGAAGCTGAACCATTTGTATTTGGCGCCCTGGTAGGGACATCTTAGTTAGCACAAAACACCACACTATATACATACATACATATTGCATGGGCCTGCTCAGATTTACTTTATTGGATGTGCAGTCCTACTTTTCAAACGCTTGCTTAAGAGCCGCTGAAAAATGGGTGGGTGGTGTCGTGAGCTCTTATCAGATGGCAAGTGTAACATGAGACTTGTGCGTCTGATGTCTGGACTTGCCTTGGAATCAAATCGATTTCGAGGTAGCACCACCCCCAAAGTCTGCTATCGATGAGTTGGCGCGCAAAAGGAGCCGTGTCCTGTAATTTGTCGCCGCACGACAGTGACGCAAAGTGCCTGTCAGTCTGCCACGGCCACCCACAAAAGGTCCCTCCCCCTGATTCCTGGACAATTTAATTATACCCGGAGACGGAGCGTAGACGGAGTCGGCTTTAATGTAACCGGAGCTAGAACGCTCCCTACTTTCCGACGCAGTCGAGCCTAAGCGCCTACGTCAGAAACACAAGGAACATGCGTTTATCTCGTAATTAAATTTAAATGGGATAACTTTGTGGTCGGGCCTCACTTCCGCGGCACAAAGAAATTAGCGTCCGTCTGGTCTTTGCCACGCGAAAAAACACCACGAAAGCTGGCTTGAATTATAATGGACAGGCGGCTTGACTTTTAATCGCTTATCTGACTTTTTCTGAAATTTTGGTCCGACTCCCAGTTGTGACAGCTCAGTTATTTTTACGCGATGTAAAGAAGATACTCGTTTTCTTTTAATGAAAATAATTTCGAAGTGAATTGTATATTTAAGCAATTATTCTCTTAAAATTCGTTCGCTTTATTCGCGAATTAACTGAGCCGGTTTTATTTCACTATAACTTATTTTAAGATCCCGTTTGGTGCTAATATTAATGGAGACTGAATGTAGTTTATATTTGATTTGTAAGTACTTTATTTGCTATATAAATCCTAGTCAAATCGAGTAATTGTACTCTAAAAGTGGCTAGGTCGTATTAGAGTCTGCTTGTAACTTATGTGTCAGTAACCACTCTAAAATATAATGATTATGTTTACTATTACCCAATATATATTTATATGTATTAACCCATTCACCATATTTCTATAACTAGATTAAAGATCGTGTCATATCCCTATGTTTAAAAAGTTCAAAAGCTCATTTAGTTTACTTCACCTTAACCAGTCGCTGATCAACACAACTCTGACTTCGAATGTCGAACCAATTTCCTGGACTGCAGTAATGCAAAATTGCCTTTCCCTTAAGGCACACGTAATATTTATTGTGTTGTTTGACATCACCGAATCTTGTATCCTCTTTCACCTTGCTGCAATCCGGGACTCCTTCGGCCAATAATGCTACATGAATACTCGACTTGGCCTCTTCAACCGAGCATTGAGCCAGACTGGGGTAATTACATGAGTTTGATTTGTTGTCGAAGTGCAGGCCTCTTGGGCACTGTCGAGATATTGGACGACCGTTAGCACAAACAAAGAACCCACTGCATGACGTTGGATCTCTAATATAACCACCGTTTGGCACCGATTTGCAGTCAGGAGTAAACTCAGTATTCGGCGGTTTCTTTGTAACAGAATCTAGGACTTCTTCAAATGAACAATCCACTAAGCTGGGGAAATTGCATACCTTCCTCTTAATGTCGAAGTTCAAATTTCTAGGACAGTTTCCGGGAATCGGCTTACCATTCAGACATACATAATATTTGTTGCATGATAGGCGGTTCCTAATATATACTCCATTTGGCAAATTGCTGCAATCAGGTAATTCTTCTTGGTCTAAGTTTGTGGTCGTTTCAGTTGAAGGCTCTAAAGTTGACGAGCTGTCTACATTGCCCTGGGTGGAACCATCTGGAGTTGGGACGCTGGCGCTCGTTGTTGAATCTGTGAACGGGTTTTCGGAACTGGCACTGCCTTCAGAATTTGTACTTCTCGATGGGGGTTCCGTTGTCAAGGGATTTTTGGAGCTGAAAGTATTTTCCGTCGACGAGTGTGGTAGAGATGTGGGTTCTGTGGTTAAAGGATTTTCAGAGCTGGAGATATCTCCTTCTGTTGAACTCTGTGGAGATGGTTTCGTGGAGATACCACTTTCGGACCCATTGCTTCCAGGTTCATCGTCTTTCTCTGTAGTAAGTTCTGAGTCTTTTAAAGTTGTTGATGTCTCTGGATTTTTTGTGAAACTTTGTGTGGATGAAATCGTGGTGCGAGGAGTTGTACTTTCTGATGTAGGTTCTGTGGTCAAAGGATTCTGAGAACTGGATATACTCTTCTCTGTTGTGCTTTGTAGATATTGCTCTGTGGAAATATCGTTTTCCAACCCACTGTTTCCGGAGTCACCGTTTTTCTCTGTGGTATTTTCTGGAATCCTTGTGGAAACCTCTGGATTTGGAACGGTTGTCTTAACGTTTGCCAATCGCTGATCGACACAACTCTGACTTCGAATGTCGAACCAATTTCCTGGACTGCAGTAATGCAAAGTTGCGTTTCCCTTAAGGCAGACGTAATATTTATTATGTTGCTTGACGTCACCGAATCTTGTATCCTCTTTCACTTTGCTACAATCTGGTATTTCTTCGGCTACTAATGCTTTATGAATACTCAACTGGGACTCTTCAACAGAGCATTGAACCAGACTGGGGTAATTACAGAAATTGGATTTGATGTCGAAGTGTAGACCTCTGGGGCACTGTCGAGATATTGGACGACCGTTAGCACAAACAAAGAACCCACTGCATGACGATGGATCTCTAATATAAGCACCGTTTGGCTCAGATTTGCAGTCAGGAGTAAACTCAGTAATCGGTGGTTTCTTTGTGACAGATTCTAGGACTTCTTCAGAAGAACAATCCACTAAACTGGGGAAATTGCAGACCTTCCTTTTAATGTCAAAATTCAAATCTCTAGGACAATTTCCAGGAATCGGCTTACCATTCAGACATACATAATATTTGTTGCATGATAGACGGTTTCTAATAAATACTCCATTTGGCAAATTACTGCAATCAGTTTTTTCTTCTTGATATTTAGTAGTTGTTTCAGTTGAGGGCTCTTGAGTTGATGAGCTATCTATATTGCCCTGGGTGGAACTATCTGGAGTTGTTGAATCTGCGGATGGATCTTCGGAACTGGCACTGTTTCCAGAATTTGTACTTTTCGATGGAGGTTCCGTGTTACATGGAGTTGTAATAGCAGTTGGAGTTTCGGAAGTAATATTATTTTTTTTAGTAGTAGTTTCTGACGTGGTCAATGGATTTTCAGAACTTGATATATTTTCCTCTGTTGAGCTTTGTGAAGATGGTGTTGTGGTGCTGCTTTCAGAACCACTGGTTCCGTCTGTCTCTGTTGAACCTGGTAAAGTCACAGTGGTTGACGAAATGTCTGGAATCTTTGTAGAACTGTGTGTAGATAAAACAGTGGTACATGGAGTCGTACTTGTGGATGGCTTTTCGGAACTTACGATATTACCGTTGGTGGTAGTTTCCGATGTGGTATCTGTGGTTAAGGGATTCTCAGAACTGGAAATATTTCCCTCTGTCGAAGTTTGAGGAGATGGAGATGGAGTCTCCGTAGAAATACTGCCATTGTTTCCAGAATTATCGTCTTTCTCGGTGGTACCTGGCGAAGATTCTGTGGTTGAAGAAATTTCAGGAATCCCGGTGGACCCTCCCGGAGTCGGATCTGTGGTCCCCGGAGTTGAAGCAGTCGATGGCTTTTCGGAACTAGAGATGTTCTCTTCAGTTGTGCTTTCTGATGTATTTGTGACTAATGGATTCTCAGAACTGGAACTATTTTCCTCTGTTGAGCTTTGTGGAGATGGTTCTGTTGAGCTCTGTGTGCTTTCGGACCCATTGTTTCCGGAATTATCGTCTTTCTCTGTAGTACTTTTAGAAGATTCGGTGGTTGATGAATTTTCCGGAATCTTTGTGGAGCTTTCTGTAGATGAAATCGTGGTACATGTAGTCGTACTTGTATCGGGCTTTGAAGAACTGACGACATTCTGTTCAGTTGTAGTTTCTGATGTAGACACTGTGCTTAAGGGATTTTCTGAGCTGGAAATATTCTCCTCTGTCGAGCTTTGTGGAGATGGCTCTGTGGAGATACCGGTTGCTGACCCATTGTTTCCAGAATCATCATCTTTCTCGGTGGTACGTGGTGAAGGTTCTGTAGTTGAAGAATTTTCTGGAATGCCTGTGGTCCCCGGAGTTGAAGCAGTCGAGGGCTTTTCGGAACTAGATATATTCCCTTCAGTTGTACTTTCCGATGTACTTTCTGTAGTTAATGGATTCTCAGAACTAGATATATTCTCCTCAGTTGAGCTTTGTGGAGATGATTCTGTTGTTCCGTCTGTAGTACTTGGTGAAGATTCTGTGGTTGTTGAATTTTCTGGTATTCTTGTGGAGCTTTGTGTAGATAAAACTGTGGTACATGGAGTTGTACTTGTAATTGGTTTTGTAGAGCTGGCGACATCCGCATTAGTTGTAGTTTCTGATGTAGACTCTGTACTTAAGGGGTTCTCAGAACTGCGAATGTTCTCCTCTGTCGAGCTTTGTGGAGATGGCTCTGTGGAGATGCCGGTTTCTGACCCACTGTTTCCGGAATCATCGTCTTTATCTGTGGTTCCTGGTGAAGGTTCTAGTGTTGAAGAATTTTCTGGAATCTCTGTGGAGCCTCCTGGAGTTGGAGTTGTGATATTCTCTTCTGTGGTCAACGGGTTCTCGGAACTGGAATCTGTTGAGCTCTGTGGAGATGGCTCCGTAGAACTACCGCTCTCGGACCCATTGTTTCCGGAATTATCATCTTTCTCGGTAGTAGTAGGTGTGGACTCTGAGGTTGAAGAAGTCTGTTGTATATTGGTGGAACTTTGTGTAGATGGAACCGTTGTGCATGGAGTCGTACTTGTGGATGGCTTTTCGGAATTTGTGATATTCTCTTCGGTGGTATTTTCTGATGTCGGTTCTGTGGTCAAGGGATTCTCGGAGCTGGAAATATTTTCTGTTGTCGAGCTTTGTGGAGATGGCTCTGTAGAAATACCGCTTTCCGATCCACTATTTCCGGAATCATCATCTTTCTCTGTGGTACCTGGTAAGGGCTCTGAGGTTGATGAAGAGTCTGGAATTTTTGTAGAGCTTTGTGTAGATAAAATCGTGGTGCATGGAGTCGTACTTGTGGATGGTATTTCGGTCGAAGACTTTGTAATGTCTACGAAGTCATCATCTTTCTCATTGGTGCCTGGCGTTGGATCTGTGGCTGTCGGGTTTTCAGAGCTTGAAATATTTGTCTCAGTTGAGGTTTTAGGTGAAGAATTAGAGGACGGTGGAGGTGAAGGTGTCAAATGTGAGCTTTCGGAGCTGTCGCTTTTGTTGGCGTCATTGTCAGTGGTACCTATTGAAGGTTCTAGGGTCGATAAATTTTCAGAGCTTGTGCTTTCCACTGATGGTTCTGTGGACGACGGGATTTCAGAGCTTAAACTACTTTCTTGGGTGGAACTTTCTGATTCAGATTCTGTTGAAGATGACACCTCTGAGGATCCTATTGATGATTCTGTGGACGAAACGCTTTCAGTGGTTGAACTACTTTCCTGAGGGGAACTTTCTGATGCCGGTTCTGTTGGGGATGCATCCTCCGTCCAGTTTATTGATGATTCTGTGGACAAAGGTTTTTCAGAACTTAAGCTACTTTCTTGGGTGGAACTTTCTGGTGTTGAGGATTCTGTTGAGGATGACTCCTCTGAGGGTAAAAAAGATTCAGTGCTTGAGCTACTTTCCTGTGTGGTGCTTTCTGATGTGGGATCTGTTGAGGATAAATCCTCCGTCGCATCTGATGATGATTCTGTGTTCAAAGGGCTTTCAGGGCTTGAACTACTTTCTTGGGTGGAACTTTCTGGCTCAGATTTTGTTGAGGGACTTTCCGAACTCGAACCGATATCTGTTGATGATTCTGTTGACAAAGGACTTTCCGAGCTTAAGATTATATCTGTGGACAAGGGATTTTCCGAGCTCGATCTATTTTCTTGCGTGGAACTTTCTGGATTTGATTCAGTTGAAGATTCTAAATTTTCTGAGCTTGAACTACTTTCTTGCGTTGAACTTTCGGGTTCAGGTACTGTTGAGGGTGCTTCAGAACTAGAACTGCTTTCTTGCGTTGAACTTTCTGGAGCAGAAGTTGAATCTTCTGACTCGCTTGTTGTTGATTCTGTGGATGATTCCTGTATAGAACTTTCTGGTAAAGATTCAGTTGTGGAAGAAGAATCTCCCTCAGTTGAGGAACTTTCCGAACTCGAATTAATCTCATTGGATGAATCTGTAGACAACGGACTTTCCGAGCTTGATTCGATCTTTTCTTGGGCACCTTCAGTGGTACTTTCTTCTGACGCGCTTGTTGGAGATTCTGTGGACGAGGGACTTTCAGTGCTCGAGGCACTTTCCTTGGTTGAACTTTCATTCGCTTCAGTTGTAGTTTCTGGAGATGATTCAGTTGAGGATAGACTCTCTGAACTAGAAATATTTGGTTCTGTAGAACTATCATCTGACGATTCAGTAGAGGATGGGGCCTCCGACGGTTCCTCAGGTACTCCAGAAGACGAATTAGGATCTTCTGAGCTAGATATGCTACTCTCAGTAGAAGTGGCCAGAGAATCGTCTGAGGAGCTGGGGCTGTCTTGAATATCTCCAGCACCATTTAAGAATTGCAGGTGAGCTATTGGGCTGGGCTTTGGTGGTGGAGGAGTCGAATCGTGGGAACTGCCCCAGAGACTTGCAAAGAAATTAAAGTTTCCAAAGATGTTGAATATAACTGGTCTGTCCACTTTCACATTTTGCTTGATGCTGATTTCCGTTTTAGCTTCCTTTTCGTTTCTAAGTCCGGAAAGGTTTGTATTGTTTGCAACCAAACACACTTGCGTTTGACCATCAAAGCGATATCCATTCTCGCAACTGTGTTTTATCTGACCAAGAAAACCCAGGCAGAGAAAATACGAACTGGGATCTTCAGGATCGACTGCTCTAGATCCAAACGATAGTCCTGCGCAGGAATCCTTTGCAAGGACCTGCGGAAGAATCCAAAGAAAAGCCCATAGGACTTTAGCTGAAAAAAATTAAGTGATTAAATATCCGTTTCATTAAATAGTTTCTGCATTACTTACCAGCTTGCATTTTAAAAGCACATTGAAAAAATGCTAGGGGGCAGAGCCAATTTCTCTCTTTTTATACTTTACAGTTCCGCTGGAAAACAAGTAACTAATCTCAAGTGGAATGTGTAAAGAAAATTGTAAAGTACAAGTATTTTAAATAAATTAAACACAAACCAAAACAGAATGGTTGTTTTGTCTTACATATTTCCCATAATGGAATCGGAAATAGCTCGCTCAATAAGGCGTATATATTCAAAACAAACTTAGAAGTTGCAACTTCTTTCTTGTACTACTTTCTTAGAAAAAAACTATTATTAAATGCCTCGGCGGGTTTGGTTTCAACGGAATTTCTTACTTATGCCTAATTTAAATGTTCCTTAATAGAGTTTCTGAATATAAAAAATAAGTTATAACGCCCCAAAAAATTAAGCAACCAACAAAATTCGTTAAAAATTTAAACAATGATAGGTGATAAATAATTTTTAGCCGCAGTTTACCTTACCCCATAACTTCTGATGTTTGATGACTTTGCACGCCCTGTATAATATTCTAATAGGGTAAAGAAAATAAAAATATCAAATTTTAAAGATAAATACAAATATCACAAAGCACCATTACTTCCAAGATTATGATTAGCGATTGTATTGTCTCTGGAAAGCTCTTGCATCCGCATTTTTAATCTTTATAATCTGCAGCCATAATGGGGCTGTCAGCAAGCCCTTATCACGATTCACCTTGCGTGGACGGCAATGTCGACCGTTGGAGACCTGCGGGCGATAGTGTAACGGCTGGTGAAGTCCACCTCTTGCCCCTTGGGGGTGGAACCACCCATCAACCCACCTGTCACCCAACCCCAACCACCCCGTCCATGGTCCCTCGGCCGACGAACATTTCCGATTAGTTGTTCAGATAAGGAACCGTCTCAGCACTTATCGTACCCGTATTCTTGCAATGATTACTCAAAACCCCGGGGCACTTGCTGTTGTTGTTTTTAAGGGGCGGGGCAGGTGGGCGTTATTACTATTTTTAGACTGATAGAAAGCTTTTGGCGGGAAGCTCCATACTCCACCATCTAATAGTGTTTTGGCCCGCACTCTTATCGTAACTTGTGTGGCTTCGAATGTACCTAGTTGAGGAAAATCCCATGTTGGATTTTGTTACCTCTGGTATTCGAGCCAATAAGTTCGGCCACGAATTCGCATTTTATCTTTTGCATTTTTATTATTTTTGATTTTTGTTTTTTCGTTTTTTTTTTATTTATTTTTGAATTACCTGCACCATTTTTTCGGCCAGTGCACGGGGTCACCTGCACCCACTAAAATTGCCGGTAATTTGCCATGTCCGCACGTTCGCTGGCACTGATATCAGCGAATTTTGATAGTCCCTCTAAGAAGTCTAGTTGCTTAACTTGGCCCACCAACAAAAATGCATACAGTCATGTTAATTTTGATTTAAGTGGCCTTAAGAACCTCCTATGATTAGGTCTTGCTTGTTTTTTGAGACACCTGATCTATTTCCTTACGATACCCAAGAATAATAATGAGTAATTATTTGTTGTGGCTAACTGAATTTTCTTATTAGTAGCACAAAGTCTTTTTTTAGAAACCTCTATTTCATTACAATAAATTTGTAATCAAATCATATTGCTAATTTTATTAAATAAGATATCCACTTTAATATAAATCTCATTCGATGAAACTAAGCCGATTTGTCAAATAAAATACATTTAAACAATAAACACTTTCTTCATTTGGTACTCATAAATATGAAATATAAAATCAAAGCCCATTTTATTTAATGCACATCTTAATTTCTTTCAACCCCGTATTCGCTCTAAATAACTTATAGTGGTTCTGTTTAATTGCGTGTCATGCTTAACCCACATTGTTAGCCAGCCAAGAAAAATCTTTACAGATTTAGCAAGAAAATCAAGTTGAATTTGCATATAGTGGAAAATGCTGCAATGGATTAGAGTGGTCTCGAAACTACACTTTTCGTGCTCGGCAGACCAGTGTCTCCTTGCATATTGCATTTGGGCCAGTGAGCCGAGCACTTGCTCATCCGTTAGCTAACGAGACCATTCCAAACACGATAACGATCAGGAAAACTGCACATATCAAGTTGGCGGCTATGGGGTTATTCCCAAAGACAACCCCCAACCCTCAGGAGGGTCTTCACTTGCAGTTGCATTCCATATAATCAGCTGGCTATCACCTTAGCACCGATAAGCGCCTGCGAAAGGGTTGCCTGTCAACAGATTAAAAACGACTCAAAATTGAGTTGAGACTGGGTCAAAAACAAAATAAATTCGGGTTTAATTAAGGGGAGGTCGTAATTAGAATACTAGTTGCTCATCTCCACAGAGTCCATCGTTCGGTACTGCTCCCTCTGCAAACGATTGCCATAGGTGCGCGACACCAGATTCCAGGCGTCCATGAAGCGGTCCATGCACTGCGAGATGCAACGCTGCTCGGTGTTGTCCAAGGATTTGCCCGGTTTCTGGATGCACTTCTTGAAGCACTTCTCCGTCATCTTCGAGAGCATCTCCTGGGCATTGGCCAGTGCGATCTGCTGCTTCACCTGGCTCATCAGCTCCCCCTTCTCCATGTTGGCAGCCGCCATTTCGGACATTTACTTGATGAACAATTTTAAATTCTAAACTCCTCAAAACTGAACGCTTTAAGTTGACCCCTTTGTCTTAATCTGAACACCGGATTCGGACAGAACAAACATAGCATACTATGTTCTAGAAATAGAAAATATAATATCAGTTTTCGGTGAAAACACAGCTTAAAAATCAAACAGCATTAGGTTTATTAATTTGTTATGCTAATATATTTGTGCCAAAAATGATTATTACATCAGATTAAAAATTTTACAATTCGTCAGGACTTACAGAAAAATGTTAATTTTGTTCTTAGACTTATAATTTTTTTATAAAAACATTAGATACATTACAGATTTATCAGGCAGATGTAGCTTTTAAATGATGTTTTTTTTTATAAAAATATAATCTGTAGATTGCTGTGTATGCTCTTATTCATATTTGTCAATATTCGTTTAATTTGTTAAGACACTTTTAGTACTTGTTCTCTCTGATAGTTATTTACTATTATCTTTGTAAATTTGTTGTAAGTAGTTAGGAGTTAAGTTAAGACCCAAACATAGACGCTTGCCAAAGGTGCAATCTTATTGACATATTGAAAGCAGGTGAGTAAAGAGTAAACATTTTTTTTTGATTTTCCGATTTTGTATGTGCGTAATGCAGTTTCTGCTCCATACCAAAATACACATAGAAATTTAAAATTTGTATTTAATTTTTAATTTTTTTGTAAAATTTTAAAATAACATTTTTCTGTGCAATTTAATTTAATTTTTAGTGTCAAATAGAATTTGAATAATAAACTGAATTAAAGTACTTGAAGTATATGGGTTTTCTATAATCTCTAATAGCTCTATTGCGAAAATAGATTTTAAGCCATAATACTGAAATTTAATTTAACTACTCCAAAAGAACATTTACCTACAACAGAATGTTTCGAACTAACAACTACCAATATAATCAATTTTCTGAATTCCCAAAGTGCCATTAAAACTTTATTTATTGATTTTAAATATTATCTAATTAAAAATTTAAAAAAAAGCAGGAAACAGGTGCAAAAGTTAAACTTTAGAGTTTATAATTTAAATGTTCAAAGAATTTGTTGTGTGGTAGTTATAAAATATTTACATCTGAGGCACATATTGAAAGAAATAACACTTCTCTACTGTCAGTTAAGTTATATATAATTTTTGTATATGGAATGTACAATCACTTCGAGTAAGTAAGTATTATTGCGATCAAGAGAAGACAGGCACAAACATATATTAGTATTGCATAATCCTAGGCCTGATTGTCGGTAGGCAGAGTGTTCCAAGTGGTTCAGAGCGCCTCTCTCGGATCTGGTCAGTTCCTGGGCACCGATCCCAGGCGATGCCAATCGCAGAGCTCCTGCCGCAGATCGTGCTTCGATAAATCCAACTCGAACCCTCCGAGCAGCTCGTTTTCCTGCAGCGTGTCGTGTGACCAGACGGTGACCTGCAGACGGCGTTCTTGAATAATATTTAGGGGCATGCGGTACTCCAACTGTAAAGAACCATTTTAATCCATAAGCTATTTTTATGTTCCCGAAATATTTAGACAACTACTCACCGTTTCCATGAAACTAGGCACACAGGTCTTTCGCACCACTTTGGTCTTGCGTTTGGTCTCCTTTTTGGGATCTGGTTTTAGGTAGCACTTAACATACGTGTTGGGCTCCTGACCGCCCTGAAGCATAGGCAGCCCTTTGGCGTGGTGTATCTGCAATACACATATGCCCCATTAAGCTTTTTATCTTAAATACATAATCTAGTTCCACTCACCATCACAGTAAGTGAGCCGCGTTGATATTGCAGCGATAGTCGAATTTGGCCAATCTCGTTGGGATTATCCCGCGACGGTTGTCGCTTCACCTCTGCAGAAGCAATATATTATGATCTCAATTCAATGAATAATTTTATTTATTGGATCTTACCCTTTATCTTCGGCATCCCCAATTTCGCCTCCTGCTGATCGCGCAGCAACGGATGGAAGAATGTATACACAAGCTCGGAATGAGCTATTTCCTCAGACGCATCAAACAGCGATTTCAAAAATCTCTGTATAAGAGGTAGTCGTTTTTCTGCTACAGATTTGATATTGGAACGCCCCACATGCACGCCAGCCGGTAGACTAAAATGTTTTAATGTATTCAAAATAATTAGAAAATATTTATTAATGATAATTTTCGACTATTAAAAAAAAACTTTTCAAATAATCAAAATAAAATAATATTAAATATAGGTTATTTGTTTATTAAGCCTATTAATAGCTAGATTTATTGGCAGTAGGAAAACATGTTATCATTAAGTAAACAACATTTTAAATAATGATAATATTCACAAACCAAGATATCCTAAAAAGAAACATTTTGGTTTGTTTTGTTATTCGTTATAAAACCTATTAATTGTATTTTTTTTACTGATATAGCAATTAGATCAGCAATCCAAAAGACAGTTCCTCTTATAATAGTTTATTTAATGATAATGAAAGATAATTGAGTGTAAACAATATCAGCTTGTCCACAATTACATGGAGGTTATTATCGCCTAAGATATGGCTCAGCAGCTTTTAATAACCAAGCCATTGAGAACCCATTATTTTTCATGGTGTTTATATAGTCAGTGGTTTGTCAAGGTGCGTTGACAAATCATGGTACAAATTCGCGATTACTTATCAGTGCTGGCAAAGCGTCTCCCCCGAAGTCCATGGCTCTGAGGTAACACCGCTAATAGCTGATAAATCGGCGACTGAGGCAGACTGATTTCACCGAATCGGAGAACCGGAGAGCCCGAGAGCAGATACAATAACTATAGAGTGGGTGAAAGAAGAGTGGCGAAGGCCCGAGTAAACGATATCGGGCCGAATCACTCCGATAAGCGGCGACCGCTCTGCCAAAAGCGGTAGCGCCAACGTCAGCGCTCAATCAGTCGACGAGCGAGCTGGGAAGCGGAGCCGAGAGCGGTTCGATTAGCGACGTGGTGAAGTTTCATTATATTTTTGGCCAAAACAAAGGGGGACTGCGAAACCATAGACTTGAGCCAGAATGCTAAGCCAACAGATTTGCTGGTGAGACAAGAAGACATGGGCCAGCTAAAGAATGTGGGCCAAGGTAGGTGGTCATTTTGGTTCCTCCTTGATCTTTAAACACCTAGTAATCCTCCCCAGGTCAGCAGGCCTTCGTGGGCCCAATGCTCGCCTCGGCCATGCTGCTCATGGGTCTCGTTTTCGCCCTGCTGGGGATCAAACTCTTTGGCTTCCGGCGGCGGCTGACTTTCGATCGGTCTCAGGTGCAACAGCAAAATCAGCAACAGCCACAACAGCCGCCACGTTACGCAGCTTTCGAGTCTCAGGTGCGTATGCAAATCAGAAGAACTTAACAGCCGATGCACGCAGTTAATAAAGGTTAATGTGATACTGACACCACCACTCGGGTGTACCCATACCAATATTCATATGCACATACATACGAATACAGATCCAGCGACGAGTGGTTCTGATAAGACAGGGCAAATACGAATACAAACACTCACAGGTGTTGTGACTATATCATTTTAGAGAGTGTGTAAGTTGAAAAGATAGCGATGGGGGCGTGAGGATTGCAAATCGTTCTTGAATTCGGCTTTCACTTATTTAAGTCTGGGCTAGAATTGGGTTCTTCATTTAAATTCTTCGGTGTGTATACCATAAACTTAAGGCAAAGTAACACAAAATCCATAAAATGTTGAGAAATGACCAGAATTTTAAATATTATTAAAAGTAACTGTTCTATTGTGCACTCAATAATAAGGCTTTACAAACATTTTGATTAGTTCTGCAATAAACTACATTTGAAAGAGAACATTGAGAAATCAAAATATTTATTAAATATGTTTCTAAGAAAACAGGTTAATTAAGAAGGCTGAAATGCTTATCGAAATCATAATTTCACAGACAGCTCATAACGAAAGGTAAAATCGCACCTTATCGCATGGACGTGTTTTGGTATTCGTCTGAGTTGGCGTGTCTGTGGTCATGTGTAACACCTTTGCATTTACACTAGTGACGCATCCCAGTGATCAGGCCAACCAGCTGAATTCACAGCTGATGGGCAGCAAGCTAATATAATTCAGAATATCGCAATACCCTAAAATGCAATTTCTGTAATTCTCCAGGTTAACGGCACCGATACTGCTGTCCATGGAGTGTTCCGACGTCGCAATCTCGAGGAATTCGAAAGCCCATGGCCATCGGCATCAACAGCGACAGGTGAAGATAGCAAACAGAAATCATTCAATAGAAACAATTTACCTGAAGTTGAAATTCTCTAACTTGAACACTTCCACAAACATTTTGGGATCAACTTTTAAATAATTGCAGATCGAAAAAGTTTTATAAACATTCTAAATTGAGAATTTGAGAATTTCCACTACCTTTCCATTTAGCACCTATATTATTAACCGGATTCTACTTCTCTCACAGGAAACAACTATATCACCGGTAGTGTTCCAAACCTGCAATTATATGGCGCCAGTCCCAGGGAGGCGAGAAACGTGGATGAATCCAAAGTCTCCTATCGAGATAAATCAAAGGCTCTGCGTCGTCACCGACTGGATGTGCACAGTGAACAATATGAATGCTTCACCGCTCCACCCACCCGACAGCCTCCTTCTCCTCCAGGTCAGTCCGATGTCCCTGTGGAATCTGCTACTGGAAATTGTCCAGCTAAGATACTGGAATCCCTGCCTACTTCGTCAGCTCAACCCACAACTGAAGCTCCATCCACACGAAAGACCTCGCCTCCAACCACTGCATCAAGCCTGCCTGCAGCTCAAGAGCCTCCTAGCGAACTGGGCATGCCGAATTTCGATCACTTTGCTGAGAAATACGAGCTTTTCAGTGTAAAACCTACGACAGAGGTCACAAGGCCAACGCAGCTGAGAAACAAAGACAGTGGTCGTTATGTAATGTTCGAGCGAGTTGATGATGTGCCAGAAATTCTCACTCCCGAGGATCACGTTCCTGAGCCACTGACTCCTGACGACGGCTTGGGAGGAGCTCTATCAGTTACAGCGGTAGTGCACCGAGGAGCCATACCCAAGGAAGAACCAGAACAGAGACCGACGCCCCAAGGATCAAGTGATCCCTTCGAGAAGCCAAGCAATGCAGACTCGGCTTTCGTCGTGGAAATTATAGCAGGCAGTCCGGAAACAGAAGCTACTCCAAGAACAAAGCCCACTGTCCAAAGTGGACTTTTTGATGGCCTGGAGTTACCTCAAGGTGAACAAGACAGCGATTTCGTCCGTATACGTTCCTCATTTGTGATGAACGAGGCGGATATCCTGGATTTGGATGCGCTGCAGCTGCCGGCGGCCAGTAGTCCACCAGGATTTGGCAAGGGCATCGACGAGGATTGGGAGAACTTCGAGAACCTCGACACAGTGCCGGCAGTGCCAGAACCCAACTGGTCTCTGCATCCAAATAGCGTGGAGCAATTGCCCACTGTTGAGACGACCCTGAATGAGGCTACTCTTAGATTGGACAACGTGGAACAGGTTGAGGGTTTGTTCCATCGGCTAGAGCTCATGGAACCTGGATTAGATATCTTTGAACCTGAACCGCCAGCTCCTATTTTGAATCCACCACCATACGATCCTGGTCTGCCTTATCTACCCGATTACGAATCACTGATGCAGTTGGAAAATACAAAGAGTGGTCAGAACCTGCCCAATTACACAGAGGTAATGGAACAAAGGTCAAAGAAGTCCAATTTTGTAAGTAGCATAGAGGATCTTTATGCAGATCTTGAAAAAAATGAGGTAGAGATTGCGGGATCTCCAGCTAACCAGAGCAACGGCATCCACAATTTCGAGGAGTTGTGCCAGGAATTGGCTGTGGTGGTGCCATCCCAACGGCAGGCTCCTCAGCCAGCACCGAGATCCACAAAATCAGCCACCTTAAATGTTCGCGGTGATGCTCCTCCCCTGGCCTGCTATCAACCTGAAGAGCTGCCCAGCTCCAGTTCCAGTGATACCGATGGGGAGGATGGAGCTCGATCAGCTCCAGAACCTGCCAGGCGTGATCCAAAATCACTGAAAGTCCGCTTTGATGTGGATAACTTGCAGTACTACCAGTCCGCCGAAGTGGTAACCTCAAGTGGAGAGTCTGAAGAGGATGAGCCACTGCCTCAACCCACGCCCATGCAGCGCTCCATCATTTTCGAACCGAGGGATAATGGAGTTCCCAGCCTTTTCGGATCCCAAGTCTCCCAGGAGGACAGTGATGACGATGACGGCTTTGGACGCGCCATTAGCCAACATCGCTCCATGACGGCGGCACTGAGGAAAAACGCTGTGAGGATTGATAGCGATGCCTAATCCGAAGACCGCCAGCTGCCGCACCTCCTGACTTCCTTAGCAAATACAGTATTTTATGTGTTAATTTTGGCCTAATGGCTATGACCTATTTATGTACATACATTTCGCTGATAAGTTGCCATATCATGTTGTCTATATATCATAATAAATCAAATTATTGCAGGAAAGCAATTGAAGATAAAGAAAAATGAATATTTTAAATACATTTCTGGGAAGAATTCCCCAGGAAGAAGTGAATCAACCCGAACAACAATGAAATTCTGAAGTAGAATTTTTGACATTATTGATTAACCGGGGACATAAGTCAGTAAGTGGAAAGCAAAATTGATACCGCACGGTATCAATAAAACTTATAAAATGTGTTAAACATCTACCTGCACTCCGATTGACAGTAAAATATAAAAATAATATTATATCTCAAACTTACCTGTGCAGTTTGACCAGGGGAAAGTGTATGCATAACTTCTGATGAAACTCGGTGAATTCGCGGTATGATCGGAACAAGTGGGTTGGATCTGGCTGTCCATGTCGCGTCACTTCCAGAATGTACATATAGAACTTTTCCATGCTGTAGTGCTTCTGGAAGCAGACCACCTTTACAATCTTCAGGCGACCATCCTGCTGCATTCTAAAGTGAAAAATATATTTGTAGATGAAATGTTATATTTTGAGGAATATAAAACTTACGTATATTTCCTTGGCACAAACGAGAGCAGCTCTCCGGTTCCCTCATCGGCGGTGAATCGCATCTGAGCCAGATTGTGCAGGAAGAAGTTAAACTGCGTGAACCAGCTTTTGAGCGAAGATTGGATCATCTTGGCAAAGGTGGCAGCCGCCTCGGGATTTGATTGTGAAGGCAGCAGGGCACGTCGTACGTATTGTACAGCATTCGAGTTAACTCCCGGCATCCCTGCGGTAGCCATGTGGGCCAAAGTGTGCAGCAGCAGATCAGCATTCTTCCGCACAATGTTGAAGGCCCGACAACAAAGGTCCACAAAATAGTGGAAGTCCGTGGACGGCTTATCTCCGCCATTAATGACATATGCCATATCGGAAGTTAGGACAAATGGGGTGCGATCTCTTTATAAGTGAAAGATTAAATATTAATAATAAATTAGGATCACTTGTTATTTATTACAAAACTACCATACCTCTTAAAGTTGCCAAACATTTGGGCATCGCCGAGGAACTTGCCAAAGTCAATATGGAACAAGTGTCCCGAAGTCTTTAACATGATGTTGTCATTGTGCCGATCGCAGATGCCCAGGACATATGTGGCTACGCTATATCCTGCACAGGATAACGTAAAGTTTCGCACTGCACTCTGGTACTCCAACGGACTGGGGTTCTGCTTGCCCAACCACTCGGCAATTGGGCGGTCTTTAAAGGAACCCGTGAGCCCGCATTCCACTTGGATTTTTCGCAACGTTTCGGCCTCGTTGACCAGCTCAATCATTCCACTCTTATATCCCGTGGGAACACAATTAAAGGTGACCATTTTCAGGTCTAAGCGTTCGGCCAACCACATTTTGTTCATAATTCGAATAAGTTGTATAGTCAACTGATCCTGCTGTAAGTCATCCCCGCACTGAGAAAGATATATTTTCTTTAGATCACTTTCAATTTTTTTTTACTGGGTACTAAACTCACCTTAAAGATAGCTGGTAAGGACTCGGCATCCGGTCCCACGAAGTTGATTTTCAGCGGCAACGTGTTTGAGTTAAAGTAGCTGCAATTGCGCACACTCACTCCAGTTACCTCCAGTTCAGGTCCCAAAGGAAGACAAGTGGGCTTCTCCAGAAGATCCTGATGCACTTCGTCCATTCCAGCTGCCAAACTCTTTTGGCGCATCGACTCTTTAGCCTCTTTGACAGACTCCGCTATAGTAGTAAGTTTCTGTAAGATATAATGTATATAGTTTTTTATGTACTGTGTACTGTGTGCTTCAAGAAGTTGAATGATATATATATCTTCTTACCTGACACATGCGATGCTGGTACATGAACCGCTGCAGCATCTTCTCGCCACAGATGGCCATCAGAGCACGCAGCATCATTTTGTTCCTACGGTAGTAGCGTGCCTGGGTAACCTGCGACTCGTCGTACTCCTGGTCCACCATGGCGGCTCCGATGGAATTGTGCGGATCATCTGGCAGACTGTGCACCAACAGCCAGTACATGTGGTGGGCGAAGCGTGGCGACTCCAAGCACTTGGACAGCAGAAATCGGGCCATTGCCGATCCTTCATATGTGTCATGTTTCAGACTTTGCACCAATTGCGGCAGGAAGTCCACCAGCTGGTCGTTGGGCATCCTTGAGATCCACTCCACGGCCTTTTCGCGAACTTTGGCGTCAGGATAGCGGGGCAACAGTAGCTCCAGCGATTGCAGTGGCGACAGCGGTGCCCAAGAGTGAAGCAAGGCATGCAAATCGATCAGATTGGCATAATCCCAACTGTGGGCGGCATGCAGTACTTTTGGCAGGGCATTTGGATAGTTCTGCAAGTACAGACGTTTCTCCCAGAACACCTCACGTCGTTCTGTGGCGCCGCTGTAACCGAGCTCAGCTGTGTCCAGTAGCTCCTCTTGCAGATTGGCATCCAGGGAGGCAAAGTCATAGCTGGGGAGGAAAAGAAAATTTTAATAGACCTCAATAATTTCTTTTAGATCCAACACTTACTGTGGTGCAGGTTTGGGTATCTCTTGGTGCTCTGGGAACTCAATGCGGCCTCCATACGATGGCACCTCAATGCTAAGAACAGGGCAAAAGTCGGGATGCGGATGACAGCCACGCGCCGGAGCTGGGCCCAACATCTTATCCGTGGTTGGGGGCCACAAGGACAGCAAGTAGGGGCCGCATATCATTACTCGCTTGAAGTCGAACAGCTGGATGGAGCACCAACCCAACTCGGTGGTCACTTGACGCCTCTCCCCATTCTGTTCCGCATTGGGTTCGCCTTCACTGGCCGCCTGTTTGCCGTACAGCACAAAAGTTATACGGGCTTCCCTAGGCAAAGTGCAGATGGGATGCTGATCAAAGGTCAGCCAGGCGCTAAAGTTCAGACGAGGGAAAAGGCCACCACTGGTATCGTTGGAGCAGGTCAGCACATTTGGCTTGGACAGCAGGCGCGTTCCATAAACTATCTGGACACAAAGAGAATAATCGTCGTACTTCCAGTTTGGCGGCGGTCTATGTAGACAGCTAATGCAGACCACAATTGGTTTGGACACGCAGGAGATGGGTATGGGAGCTGTAAATGAATAGTTGATTCGATTAATAAAATAAATTGCATATTAACTTAGATTAAAGGGGCAATGGTGAAGTTCTAAGCGACTTAGCTATAATAACTGGCTTAAGATTACTTACTTGTTGAGTAATCTGGTGTCCTCACGGAGAATGCCACCCGGAAGACATTTGCATAGAGCTCAACCAGCTCTTGCACGGCGTCGCGCAACTCATTGCACTTGACCTTGATCTGCTCTAGCATCGAGCGTGGACGGAGGACGACTTGAGCATAGTCACCGTTATCACTGACAATCTCCGGATTGCTGGCCCCCGTCGATAACTTCTTTTGCTCCACCTCGCAGATGCGTTTCAGATCGGTGACACATCGTGCAATTTCCATCGTATCGATGGAGCCAAGAAGGGCGCAAATGGCCTTTACAGCCTGCACCACACCGGAGCAGCTCACCACACTTCGTCCGGGTACTCCGTCTGCCGCCGATTCCAGCTTGTCGATCTCCATCTCGAGTGTCTCGATGAGTATCATCATGGCTTCGTAGGTCACAGTCGGCACCACCTCGTTGGGCACCAGCTGCTCCGGCAGTAGACCCGAATCGTGCTCATCATCCCGCTCGGTTCGTGCGATCGCCTGCATGTTCGCCGTCGTACTAAGGCACAAGCCCAGGTGCACATCCTTTTCCAACTGGAAGCTGTTGTGCACGCACTCTAACTGGCTAAGTTTCGAGGTAGGTGCTAACCACTCCAGGAGACCAATGGGCTGTGGATGGAAATAACATTTATTATTAGATAAGCAGTATTATTAAATATTGTCCAAAACTTTGCACTTCTTCAATGACAACATTGAATATTAAAATTAAAAGGGGAATCTTTTTTTAATTATTAGCTTTATAATAAGAAAATTAAGCTGCATTTGATTTGGCCAAATTTTTTCCTACATTCATTCTGAAAATATACCAACCTTAACCACATAATCTGTGACGCTGCCCTTGACCTGACCCTCCAACGAGGCCAACGCTTGGGCCACCACCTGTGCCACGACCGAGTCAACTATTGGATGAGATTAAAGCATTAGAACGGTCTCCACGTAATTTCAAATCACACTTACTATCACAGGTGAACGTAACAGGCATTCCATACCCTTTCACCTGTTCCTTGGCCATTGAAGAAGCCAGAACGTGTGATTGAAGGGTGTTCAGAGCCGGATGCACGATTATTTTGATGCTTGTGTCCATCATGTAGTGGTAATTGAACTCGGCAGCAACCACATGGCCCACATTGGTGGGCGCATCGTCGTGCGGATAGCGTGCCCTGACCTCCTTAACCATGTGGTAAAACTCCAGTAGTTCGGGATCGTCCGTGCGCTGCTCGCTGATTACCTCGTACAGACGCTTAAAGGTTTTCCGTCGATCCAGCACTATATTTGCCGGAATGCTGGAGGTGTAGCTGTCTGTCAACAGAGTAGGCTGATGGGGTTTCGAAGCAGGAACGGGTGCCTGGTTGGAATCGTAGAGCTGCTGGTTCCTTGGCGGCAACGGTGGAGGCGGGGTTCCTGATCCATTCTCGGAAAGCTTTAAACTCTCCTCCTGTTGCGCATCACCGCGATGTGATGAAGATGTTGATGGTTGCGTTAGAAATTCTTGCCGCCATCCGAACAGACCCACAGTCGGACTCACAGTGGCCGCACTTTTGTCCCACCTGTTGACCGCCTCGTACATGGGATCTGAATATTGGGTGCCTCCATCGCCGCTGTACAGGAAGTCAAAGGGATCGTATTCCGCATAGTAAGAGGTGCTGTCGGAGGCGCTGTCGTTTCCTGCAAGTAGCGAGTGCATGATCAGTTCCGGTTCAAATCTAGTTTCCAGACCCCAGTCCGAATATCGCCAGCAGTTATGCAAATATGCTCGAGACCTGAGGCCTACTACGGCGAGAGTCCGGGCACATCACATCGTGTGTCCAAAAATAAAAGAGACGGCCCAAAAGCCCAATCAGAGCGATGTGGTTGGGGGCAGACTAGAGTTTACACCACTGGCAAAGCGAGAACGCTTCGCAAATCTACGCTAACAAATCCGACGGACAGCGAGGCGGCTGCCATCGCTAATAACTAATTGTGATTGCTGTCAAACGTCGCCCACGCTGCATCAGTACAGTGGAACATAGACTATATATGGTTATATGTCTTTACAAAAAATGTGGATTCAAAATACAGGAGATCTACCTCTTGACAAAATTATACAAAATATTGTTTTGACATTTTAAATCCAAACTTGATCAAAAAAATGAAATCCTTCAAAATAATTACAGATACATGAAAATCTTTTAAAAGCTACATAAACCGAACCTTACCCACAAGTTGGATTAACTCTTACAAACTCTTTTCAGAATAATCTAGACATGGAGCATAAGTAAATGCAAGGCTTACAATTTAAAACTTCATTTTTATTAATTTGGTTTAACAATAGGAAGCGGACCAACAACCGATTATCCACTGTATCTATGAGTGTATTTTTAAATCGCTTTGTTTATATTCGTTCTCAATCTGTCGTCTCTAGTTCCCTTACATCTGTTCATTTACCACTAAAGGGCAACATTGGCTAAAGACCTTGCAATTTTGAGAACCATTTCAAGGTCCATCTGTTAACAATCATTCGGAAATGCATTTTAAAACTTTGAGGACTCTGGAAATGTATTAATTTATAAGTAATTTCCCAAAAGTGAAACAACTTAAATGTAATTAAAACCGTGAAGTCAAAATACACCCATTAAAAGGTTAGTTTCTTCCCCAAAACTCCTATGAATGTAATTAATAAATACATACATATGCTCAAAAAGCTTTTAAATTTTATGTCTAGGATCAATTATTATTTAGTAAAGCGTGAGCATGCATATTAAAATCTGCTATGCGGGAGTTAAAATCAAGCAGCAATAAAACAACAACAGCCTGTAATTTGTTAAAGAAATTGTTTATTTGTTCTCTCACAATAATACACGACAGAATTAAACATATGTATGTATTTATTTTTGTATATTTCGGTATTAATGGATATATGTAGCAGCAAATCACAATGTGTTCAATTCGTAATACATGGTTATAAAAAAGAATAAGCAAAATCCTCTTATTTGATCTCTTCTCATCCAAATGATAGGCGTTAAATTCTTTTCAATTTTGTAAAGTTCAGTACTGTTTGATCGTTATACGCGCAGTAATATAAAAATGTTCAAGATCAATTTCAAAAAGTATGCACTATTGTTAAATGATATTTTGGACATCGATTCATTAGCTGTCTTCAAAATTGTTCCGGTGAAAGCGGAAGGCACAGATTTCGTTTTGGGGGCACATATATATTATACATTAGTATTTTTTGTGTAAGTAGGTGGTTCTAAATACGTGCTGCTATAGACACTAATTGGTCTCTGCCTCCGAAACGAACCAAACCGACCCGAAACCCTTTAGATGGTGTAGTTGTTGTGTTTGTAAGGTAGTTGCTTTTTGCAGTTTTGGTAGTAGTAGTAGTACTGATAGTAGTAGAGGACTTGTAATTTAAATGGATTACTTTTTCGACACTGCAATATAGAGAAACGAAAACATTCAGTTTAATTCTTAACTAAAGACGATCAACGGCATGCTACTTGGATGTGTAAGGACAATTTTCAATTATGCTACAGAGATATAGCCTATATAAACCTCTAACGGGGTCGAATAGTATTTGGTTAATAAGCAAAATATAGTTTAAATAATAATGTTAGTAATTAGTTACAACCCATTTGGCCTATCAAAATGTTCAGCGATTTCCCTTAAAAATGCAATACAAACTTCTTTACCATATCTTAGATATAAAGTGGAAATAAGTAAAAATTGAAGAATGAAATCTTATCAGAGGAATGTAATTATGCCAATTTGGTTTATTTGCAGCAAAAACAGTTCTGTGGCAAAAAATCGCACTAAACGAGCTTCAGACTATATTTCAAAATTTGTTTAAGGGTGCGAAAAGGCTATGGGTATCTTGACGTGGTTCCGGGAGCTACACGTTAACTACAACATTGTGGTTGCTTACCAGTATTGTCGTTTAGCAGGGGATCGAATGCCTCCAGCACACTCACACGAGAGCTAAAAAAAAATACATACTTAAAACAGAAACAGAAAAGAGCTAAGTGATACATACTAATCCTCCTGATTGAGGTCTATCAAATCGTTTCCCCTGCGTGGCCCAGACGGATTGTTGCCAGTGTGGCCACTAGAGCTGACACTCGCAGTCGAGGGTACTTGGCGGCGAGTCTGGAATGCAACTCCATTGGCCTCCACCGAGGAGGAGGGAACGGAATGATTGGACGGATGGCTGTGATGAATCGTTGGCGGTGGTGGATGAGTTGGTTGCGATTGGGGTCGCCGCAAATCCATGTGTGTGTAAGCACCTCCAAAGCCATATCCCTGTGCAGGATAATGCGGCGGCATAAAAGCAGCCGATCCGGGGACTATGGGCGCTGTGTAAGGCGTTACCACTGCTCCCGGGTAATACAAATAGGCGTTGGGCTGCGGCACCGGGGCCACGGCCATTTGAGCGGGCATGCTGTATAGCCGCTGTAGCTCCTCGTTGTTCAGGGGCCTCTGTTGTTGGGGTTGGAAAGGAACCAACTGCAGGTCACCGTAAGCTCCCGCTCCTGCTCCGGCTCCTCCTCCTGCCACCATGCCATACGGTGGTGGTTGGACCGGAACCGTCTGTTGCTGCTGAGGAGGATAGCCGTAATGAGCCGGAGCCGATGCCGCTGCCCCTAGTCCCATGGGCACGAGAGCCGACTGCGGATTGGTTGGTTGCATTCGCTGCAAATCCTCGATCAGTTTGCCAAAGGGGGTACTACTCTCCGGCTGCTTACTGGTGGGACTTGCGAAGCAGATCAGGTCGTTATCCGACCCCTGAGCCGGCGGCGTACGCGATCGTTCCACATTTCCCAAATTGATAGCCGCCTGATGCACTTCCGAGTGCCGTCGCGCCTGATTAATGCTCTGACTACGCTGCGCCGACTGGTAATCCCGGCCAGCTAGAGAGCTGCTCTGCGGATAGCCAGAGCCGTACTTCTTATTCCTCCGATAATCGTCGAGTGCATGCTGCTCCAGACTCAAAGCGGTCGCCTTGGCCAGGTCATCCTGGAACTGCTTGTCGTAGTCGATCTGCGCCTGGTTTGACATTATCCCCTCTGAAGCGTCCGTTCCGTTGAACTGCGAATAGCGACCAGAACAGAAAGTTAGCTATTTTCAAATTTTGTTTCAATTTTTTCAGTATTTCCCCTTGCAATGCTTATTTGTTATTCTCTGGGTGAACAAAGGCGGTTGCTTTTTCGGCCTGCTTATCTGTGCGATAGCAAACAGGCGCCGATAAAAGCGATTACGCCGTGTATATGACAGTGGTATGAGTTCTTGGGCGAAAAGCAGGTGAGGAACAATTCGATGGGCGACACTTTATGGAAAGATTGGTAAGGCACTACCAATAGTTTTTTTTAGAGAACCGGCAATCGGTAATGGGCAATCACAGGCGGGAACCGATGATTTAGTAAGCAGGCAAAAACAGATAGTTCCACAAGTTTAACTTATATTTTTAAACTCTGCTAAATTGCACGATTGATAACAGCAATTTAGATTATGTACTTTAAATTGTTGAAAATTGTTAGCCACAGTAATAATTGTATTTAATTTGATTGAAAGTGAAGAAAAACAGATACTTAAGAAACAATTTTAAATGCAGACATTTGGTTTAAATTTGCTAATACAACATAAACGTTTTCAAATTAACTTTTCGTCTACAATAGAGTAAACTTGTTTATGAATAACTTTACAAGATATGGACATAAGTACGAATATATATATGATCAAACTGTTTAAATACTTATTTGACCAGAAAGACGAACAACGTTTTGTTGGGGAAGTATGATAAGTACCAAACAAACAATTTCCTATTCGGTACAGATATGAACGAATTATTGTGGATTCTAGTGTTTACATACATAAGTATACAAATGTATATAAACAAAGTAAGCGCTCCAAATTTGTGATTGTGATACAGCCGAATTGCGCAAAATACCGCAATTCAGCCCGCAATTGTAAATAAATAAATACAAACAATAACGGGGGCATCAATTTGCGTGAATGAATGCTGTTAGTTCATTGTATATAAAAAAGTCTGATTGTTGCAGAAACAGCTGTTCAACATAAACACACCCACAAAAGGCATGAGTGTGTGTACGTGTGACGCAAAAAGAGGAAGGAGAAGATAACAAATTGCGAACCGGCGAGGGAGAGTAAAATACATAGGCAGAGAGAGCGAAAGAGAGGAACATTTACCGCTAAGGTTAAGGTAAATCAATAGATTGCAAACAATATAAGTTAATTATTCATAAACAGCAATCAACTTAATTGATTGTCAATTTATTCGAGATCGAAGAGAGTTGAATGTTTAAACATTGAATTTCGGCAGAAGGGCGACCGCAAATGATAATGGAGATTGTCATTAATATGCAGACTCGTATTCCTCTTTGTGATTCTCATTCGCATATTTGCCAACTTACACGCTTATTGAGGTGTCACCTCCACTGGTTTTTTTCGGATCCGTTTTTAAATTGCTCAATGTGCTGGGGTTTTGTTACGAATTCAGTCCACCCGGTAAAACAATTTCTTTTAACTTATTTTCTTAGCTTGGAAGTTATAATTAGGCTTTAAACTTTCCGAATGCTTTATTTTTTTCGAACGGAAGGTGAATCTCCTCCTACACACCTACACCCACACACACATGCGGGACTAACACGAACAATCATAAACACACACACGGTCAAAAAACAGTGAAAAAACACGCAATATACACTACGCCAAAATAATGATTATTTGGTTTTATTATAGACTATGTTCTTGCACTATCACATACTATTACTATTTACATATTTTTAGAGTTACATCAAAAATTAAGAACACTTCGCACACGAATAACACGAAATCAAGCAAAACGGAATGCAACAAGCAATAGAGCTGGAAGTAATGCCGATATATATTGAATTGTATCGTTGATAAACAGAGGCAATCGGTTTGAGTCTTAGATAAAAGAGCAAGATATTTAAAATATTTCAAACAAGAAAGAAAAGCTAACTTCGGGCGGAGCCGAAGTTGATATACCCTTGCAGAATATTCTGTAAATTATATCCTCCAAAATTATTTATATGATGCATTCTTAATACTCATAAAAAATCCCAACTTCCTAACTTTAAAAACAACAAAGTTATGTCATTTCCAATCGTTCAGTTATATGGCAGCTATAGGATATAGTCGGCCGATCCTTATGAAATTTGGTAGGTCGGATTGATTGGCCAAATATAAAACCCATAGATAATCCCAACTTCCTAACTTTACAAACACCAAAGTTATGGCATTTCCGATCAATCAGTTATATGGCAGCTATAGGATATAGTCGTCCGATCCTTATGAAATTTGGTAAGTCAGACTGATTAGCCAAAAATAAAACCCATAGAACTTCCTAACTTGCTAACTTGAAAAACACCAAAGTTATGTCATTTCCGATCGTTCAGTTATATGGCAGCTATATGATATAGTGGCCCGATCCGGCTCGTTCCGACTTATATACTACCTGCAATAGAAAGACAACTTTTGGGAAAGTTTCAAGCAGATAGCTTTAAAACTGAGGGACTAGTTTGCGTAGAAACGGACGGACGGACAGACGGACGGACAGACGGACATGGCTTGATCGACTCTCCTGGTGATGCTGATCAAGAATATATATACTTTATAGGGTCGGATATGTCTCCTTCACTGAGTTGCAAACTTTTGACTGAAATTATAATACCCTCTGCAAGGGTATAACAAGAAAGGAAAGCTAACTTCGGGCGGAGCCGAAGTTGATATACCCTTGCAGAATACTCTGTAAATTATATTCTCCAAAATTATTCATATGATGCATTCTTAATACTCATAAAAAATCCCAACTTCCTAACTTTAAAAACAACAAAGTTATGGCATTTCCAATCGTTCAGTTATAAGGCAGCTATAGGATATAGTCGGCCGATCCCTATGAAATTTGGTAGGTCGGATTGATTGGCCAAAAATAAAACCCATAGAAAATCCCAACTTCCTAACTTTACAAACACCAAAGTTATGGCATTTCCGATCAATCAGTTATATGGCAGCTATAGGATATAGTCGGCCGATCCTTATAAAATTTGGTACGTCAAATTGATTGGACAAATGTAAAATCCATAGAAAATCCCAACTTTCTAACTTTACAAACACCAAAGTTGTGGCATTTCCGATCGTTCAGTTATATGGCAGCTATAGGATATAGTCGGCTGATCCTTATAAAATTTGGTATGTAAAATTGATTGGCCAAATGTAAAACCCATAGAAAATCCCAACTTCCTAACTTTAAAAACACCAAAGTTATGGCATTTCCGATCGTTCAGTTATATGGCAGCTATAGGATATAGTCGGCCGATCCCGGCCGTTCCGACTTATATACTGCGTGCAAAGGAAAGAAGGGTGTGTGCAAAGTTTCAATTCGATATCTTTAAAACTGAGAGACTAGTTCGCGTAGAAACAGACAGACGGACAGACAGACGGACAGACGGACAGACGGACAGACGGACATGGCTATATCAACTCAGGAGGTGATCCTGATCAAGAATATATATACTTTATATGGTCGGAGATGTCTCCTTCACTGCGTTGCACACTTTTGACCAAAATTATAATACCCTCTGCAAGGGTATAAAAATAATACAGATTGGTTGTTTTTCCATAGGTTATTTTATCCCTAAAAAATCATTTAAAGGACCAAATTAATTCATTTTTATTTAAAACTATCTATAAGAGCTTATCGATTAAGTTTTCAATATCTATCCCAATCCTTCAAAAATGCCCAAAGCGGTTAAAAATCAAAGCGAATTTTACCGAAAGTTTGATCCTTATTTTATTTATCAACATTTTTGAAGCATGAAAAATGTATAAAAAGCAAATAAGATTAGCGAAAGCTTTTCAATTGACGCTCCCCAATAGGTTTCTATTTATAGTCGGCCAAAAATGCGTCATCCAGGTTGATGTTCCTGCCGTGATCCATGGCCACCTTGGAGTCATCGTCCAGTCCACCGGCCAATCCATAGTCGGGATCATCCAGAGAACTGCTAGGTGGGGCATTATACATCCTGCGGTAGGAAGCCTCGATGTTCTCGTCCAGCATTCGCTCCACAATGTCACTCTGAACCTGTCCTGGTTCTTGGGCGGACATTTTGAGCAGGAGCTCCGCATTGCTGGGCGGCATTTGGGGCAGTGGGAGATCGGTGGTAGTGGTGGTCAGAGGATTACCCCTCCGTGAGGCGAGTTCGGCAGACTCCGCACCCATTTTGCAGAGGGCGCACCTGCTGCGTAAAATCTGTTTCTTTAGATTAACCAGGGCGATGCGATCCTGCGCCAAGAGCATTCGTTCCTGGGCCAGCTGGGCCTCCTTCTCGCCAAGATCTTGGGCCCGCTTGCCCATTATCTTGAGCTTGGCCTGGAGCAGCTGGTCTGCCTCGCGAGCCTTGTGCTCCGCCATGTGGGTGCGACTGGTGGCCAGGCGATAGGCACCGGTGGCCTGGCCCAGTTCGTCCTCCTTGAGATTCAGGGCGTTCTCTTTGTCTAGAAGGAGGCGCTTCCGCTGCTCCACTTCGCGCTGCAGCTTGTGACAGCGATCCCGCTCCTCATCCGCCCGCCGAATGGCTTCGCGGGCCACCTGCAGTTGGGCCTCCAGCTCGCGGCGATCCTTGTCCTGGTCGCCGTGCTCGTGCAGCTGCTGCTTCAGTTCCATTTGCTGGCGTTCCACGGCCAGTTGATTGCGCTCCTGCTGGAGATCGTGGTGCAGTCGTTCCGTCTCCGCCAGCTGGAGGGACTTAAGGTCCTCCACACGCTTCTCATCCCGCTTCATCTGCTCGCGATGAAAGTCCTTCTCGCGCTCGAAAGCCTTGCGCTCCGCCTCCAAGCTGGACATCCGCTGGCGCAGCTGCCAGTTCTCCTCGGCGGAGTCCTTGGACAGGCGGCCCAGTTGCATCTCCAAAGTGCTCACCAGCTCCATGAGGCGGCGCTTCTCCTCGTCGGCCGTCTCCTCGTCGATCTTCAAACGCCTCTCCTGGTCGGCCAGTCGACGTTCCCGCGCCTCCAACTGTCGTTCCTTTTCCTGGCTGCCGGTCATTCCGTCACGAAGCTCCTGAAGATTGCTAGAGGCCAAGCGAAGGGTCTCCAGATAGTTACCATGATCTTGCACCGCCGAGAACTCCAGCATTTTTGCCTGCCGAATCCCCTCGAGGTCCAGCTCATGGGACTGCCGCAGTTTACGGACCTCATCCTCGTGATCCTGCCGCAAGTTGGAGATCTGCTCCACGTAGTCCTCCTTCTGCTTCTCCAGTTTGTCGGTGTAGTACTGCCGCAGTTCGGTGTTCTCCAGTTTGAGGCGATCCTCTACGGCGGACAGGTGCTCCTCCAGTACCTTTATTTGCTTTCTAGAAAGGATTAAAAATATTATTATAGCGCTGAGCCGAACTTACAGAAAATATAAATAAAAATAAACTAATTTACTTAACTCTATGAACTTTTCAATTCAAAGAACATACAAATTTTAAAATGAACACTATCTGGTTTTGTAAATTTAGGTTTTTTGCACAATTTTTTTTTAATTAAGAGCAAGGTTTCATTTAAATTCTATGCCAAGGATTTTTATATTTGAAAATTACTTTGAAAAATAACAAGTCTGCTTCTTAACAGAAAATTCACTGGTACTAACTTATACGAGGTATCGATCATTTCGATCTCCTGCTCGTAGTTGACCTTCATGTTGGCCACCAGCTCGTCCAGTCGCTGTTTCTCTAGCAGATTCCGCTTGGCCTCTATTTCGAGCAGGAGCAAGTGCTCCTGTTCCTGGCTGGCGGCTGCCTTGACGGGCTCCTTCGACTCCGGATCCGGTTTCTCCACGGGTGCGGATACAGGTGGCACTTCTTGGACATGAACAGGTTGCGACATCATCAGCTGGATGTGCATGTTGATCCGCTCCTGCTGCCCCTTGATGTGCTCCTCCATTTGCTGCTGGCGTTGTAATTGCTGCTGGATTAAGGCCTGGAACTTGCGATCCTGGTTCTCCTGGCGCCGCTGCATCTCCAGCAAAGTCCTCTCCTGGTTCTTCATTTGCGCGGCAATCACCAGCTGCGCCTCCTGTTGCTGCAGGGCATTGAATTTGTGATTGCTCTCCAGATTGAGATTGCTCAGCATCAGGATGTTCTGGGTGGAGGCAGTGACGCCGGATGGAGCGGGAACAGCGGGTATGGCGGGTTCCGGCTCCATTTCGTTCTCATCGGAGTCGGGAATGCGCAGGATCTCGGCTGTATTCTTAGGAGGAGCATCACTGGAAACCTGCTTTTTGGGGGTTTGTGGCTTAGGAGTGGTGGGTCGCTGATCCTGCTCCTGCTCCAGACCCAGCCAATCAGCGGTGGTTCCCCGCTTCCTGGAAACGGGCGTAGACATTCCCGAAACGGTGGCGTTCGTATCCCTGCCAAAGAGTCCCAAGGGATCGGCATTAATGGTGGCCGATTGAGCCGAGCTTCTTCTGCCCGTCGAGGTTTTGGGTCTCGCCTGCGAGTTTTCCGTGGTAGTGTCTGTGGATTGGCGGGACATCGATGGCTTGGCCGTGGCAGGACGCTTGCCGGCATCACCTGCCAGGATCTCATCAAAGATGTTCTTCTTGGGCTCCACATTGCTGGGCAATAGATCGTCGAAGAGGCTCCTCTTGGCTCCACCACTTTTGGGTCGCTTGGGATCAAAGCCCAGATCATCATCCTCGGCGAGATCATCATCCAGTGAGATCGAGGGCTTCTGCTTCACAATCCTTGGCGTGCTGGTGGCATTGGGCTTGCTCCTTGCTCCTGGCCCTTGACCTTGCACATCCGCTTCGGTCTCCTCCTGAATTCCGAACAAATCCTCCAGTTTTCCCTTCGGTTTCGTCAATTTCGGCGGTTTTTTGTGCCCTCCTCCCGCTGGAGTGTCGAAAAAGTTGTCATTATCCAGGCTATTATCGCTGAGTAGTTCCGCCAGTGGATCGTCGTTGAAATTCATCTTAAAAACAATCAAAACTCTCAATTGAAAAGGATTAAGTAAAAGACTATAAAAATGAAAACAAAACGGTTGCCTAGTAACGTATTTGAAAAGTCAACAACAGAAGGTTATCGAATGAATGCTAGGTGAAATTCGTATTCAAAAATGCAACCACCACCAGCATTTATATAGAGAATATTAAATGTAACGTTTTTACAAAGCTCCCCTGAGTATCTTAACTTTGGCACGTTTTAAATGGTTTTAATGTTTTTTTTTTTAATTTAATTAATTTTACTTAGTACTTGTCATCAAAGTTTTATATAGAGTATGTTTAAACTAAAATAAAGTCTTAATATTTCTTTTTACTTTTAAAAATAATTTTTGCCGTTACTCATTTTTTATGTTCAAGGATCTCTTAGATCCTTTTTTAGTATTTTATCATAAAGTATTTCTCAAAGTTTGATGGTATATTTTCTAATCGAGGCTTCGGTCACACTACCACTATAGTTTGTTTATAATTTTGTTAGAGAAATGAGCAACATTTACATCCAGGAACCCCCCACATCCGGAAAGGTCCTTCTGAAGACCACCGTGGGCGACATAGACATTGAGCTATGGGCGCGGGAGTGTCCTAAAGCATGCCGAAACTTTGTGCAACTGTGCCTGGAAGGCTATTACAAGAACACCGAGTTCCACCGACTTGTCAAGGGATTTATTGTCCAGGGAGGCGATCCGAATGGCGACGGCACCGGCGGAGAGTCCATCTATGGGCAGCCTTTCAAGGATGAGTTCCACTCCCGTCTGCGGTACACCCGGCGTGGCCTCGTGGGAATGGCCAATTCCGGAAAGGATGACAACGCCTCGCAGTTCTTCTTCACATTTGCAGAAACGCCGGAGTTACAAAACAAGAACACTCTGTTCGGCAAGATCACCGGCGACACCATCTACAACATGCTCAAGCTGGAGGAGGGCATTGTGGACCATCAGGAGCGACCCCTACACGCCCATCGCATTGTTTCCACAGAGGTCCTCAGCAATCCCTTCGATGATATCGTACCTCGCATATTAGCCAAGCCTTCCACCAAGAGCAAAAAGAGCAAGAAGGAACGGCAAGGAGTCAAGTAAGATATGCGTTCTAGATCACAGGAATATTTAGTGGTAACCCCAAGTTTTCAGGTTACATACCCATTAGTTTTCTCTATTATAGCTATAGGGTAAAACCTACTTTCCCTTCAATATCTTGTAATATAAGAGTAAATACTCTATGAAAACTTTGTGTTATACTATTTAGTAATACTACTAAAATCAATTTGATTAACCGAAACCGTGACCAAAGTTCCGTTCTCTCTCTATTCTCAACCGTGACAAAAATTTGTTCGATTTATGTTGATATTAAATTTCTTAGTAATCAAAAACCTCTGAAAACATTGAACAGGAACTTCGGCCTGCTCTCCTTTGGCGAAGAAGCCGAGGGCGATGAGGAGGAGACCAATGTTTATGTTAAACAGAACGCCGGAAAAGCTAAATCCCTGCATGACGTCACTGATGATCCAAAACTGAGCAAGGAACCCATTCGTGTGCCCAAAGTAGAAAAGACCGAAAGCGAGGAGCACTTATCCGACGATTACATTGAGGATAGTGTTAAGGATAAACATTCCACTGCCAGCTCAGATCTCGTCAAAATGAAACTGTCCAAGAGTGCAAAAAGTCGGCCAGACAAGAAAGTTAAGCCCGTAGAGGAAAAGACTGATTCGGAGGACGAAGAGGATGTTCTAATGACGCGAGAGAAAGAACAAAGTCGGAAGGTCTCAGAGGAAAAGTAAGATAAAACTAAACAGAATAATTAGTGATAACTGATTTAAGTTCTGCTTTTTAGATCAAAGATCCGTGAAGAAATTGCCTCACTCAAAAAGCAATATCAAATGGATAAGCAAAGCAAGGATAAACTAGTCTCAAATGGACAGGACAAAGCCGCCAAATCATCCGATATTAAGGGAGCTGGCGAAAACCATTACATCAACGATTTTATTGAGTCGAAGGAGAAGTACACGGCAAAAACCAAGCTTCAACCCAAAGGACAGTCAAGGTTGGCAAAATGTTCTTTTAAAATTGGCATTGAATATTATGAACCTTTTTTTAACTTTATCAGGGAGGCGTTTACTTTGAGCTTACTCTCCAAATTCCGCACCAAACTGGACAACCTAAAGCAAAAGTCAACACCGGAAGATTGCGAACCAGAACCCAAAGAACTGGACGACCGATCTGTGGAACAGGAAATAATAGGCGACGACTGGCTTTCGCACACCTTGAACTTTAACAGCTCCGCTCCCGTTTTGGCTAAAGATGCCAATAAAAAGGGTGACGATTGGTACGACGCCTACGATCCACGAAATCCCCTGAATAAACGCAAGCGAGGAGAAACTGGTTCTAGCAAATCAAAGTCCAGTAAACGCGATTTGTAAAAAAATAAAGAAAATAGTTGTTTTAACAAGTCCAAATTATGGGAAATAACGCATTAAACGCATTCTAAATAAAAACATTTAACAACGTTAAAAGTATTGATTTTTGTGGTATATTATCCTGTTATCTTTTTATTATCCCATACGTGGTTAACGCCCCTGCCAAATATTCATATATTTTTTAAATTGCGCGCGTACTTATTGGGAGTACCATATTTTGTTGTTTTACCTTCAGATGGTTCGCCTGTATTTGGTACAGAAGGTCTGGTACCACCTGGTCACACTGACCATTCGAGCCAAACTCTGTTAACCGCAGCTGAGACAAAAAAGCGAATTCAAGGTGAAGTAATTGGCTTCAAAATAACAGGTAATGATAGTTGATTGCCGAATCGTTTCGCCCAACTGCTCAAGTGGCCGAAAAACTTGAGGAGATGCGTGCAAAACGGGCGCAGAAGTGCCAAATTCAGACGGTTGCGTCAGGAGGGAATTATTGATTTTATTCGTCATTTGTTTTCCGTCGCCACAGCTACTCGACTTTTGAGGGGGAGCGGCCTGAGTCACCACACAATAGAGCACGATAATCACGGAACCAAGGAACGCACGGATCTCCGGAGATGAGTGCCAAGACCAGGAGACCTGGAACCGGCGGCAGCCAGACGCCCAATGAATGCGTCCAAGTGGTGGTCAGATGCAGGCCCATGAGCAACAGGGAACGCTCGGAGGGATCCCCGGAGGTAGTCAATGTGTATCCAAACAGGGGCGTTGTGGAGCTCCAGAACGTGGTGGATGCTAACAAGGAGCAGCGCAAGGTCTTCACATACGATGCCGCCTACGATGCATGTGCCTCGCAGACAACGCTCTACCACGAGGTGGTCTTTCCCCTGGTCAGTTCCGTGCTAGAGGGATTCAACGGCTGCATCTTTGCCTACGGACAAACGGGCACCGGCAAAACCTTCACCATGGAGGGCGTACGTGGGAATGACGACCTGATGGGGATCATACCGCGCACTTTCGAACAGATCTGGCTGCACATCAATCGCACCGAGAACTTTCAGTTTCTGGTGGACGTGTCCTATCTAGAGATCTACATGGAGGAGCTGCGAGATCTCCTGAAGCCGAACTCTAAGCATCTGGAGGTTCGGGAACGGGGATCGGGCGTATATGTGCCCAATTTGCATGCAATTAACTGCAAGAGCGTGGACGACATGATCCGAGTGATGCAGGTGGGCAACAAGAATCGCACTGTAGGATTCACTAACATGAACGAGCACAGTTCAAGGTGAGTAGAGCGGAAACAGGCCTATGCCATTGGTCTGTTTGCAAGCATTTTTCCAAACTATTAAATCCTATTGCAGATCCCACGCCATTTTCATGATCAAGATCGAGATGTGCGACACGGAGACGAACACCATCAAGGTGGGTAAGCTGAATCTAATCGATCTGGCGGGCAGCGAGCGGCAGTCCAAGACGGGTGCTTCGGCGGAGCGTCTGAAGGAGGCCAGCAAAATCAACCTGGCGCTCTCCTCGCTGGGCAACGTAATCTCCGCCTTGGCGGAGAGTTCACCCCACGTTCCGTACCGTGACTCCAAGCTGACCCGATTGCTGCAGGATTCGCTGGGTGGTAATTCGAAGACCATTATGATTGCCAACATTGGACCCTCGAACTACAACTACAACGAGACGCTGACCACCCTGCGTTACGCTTCGCGGGCCAAGTCCATCCAGAATCAACCGATCAAGAACGAGGATCCGCAGGATGCCAAGCTAAAGGAGTACCAAGCCGAAATTGAGCGGCTTAAGCGGTTAATAGCACCTCAACAGCAACAGCGCACCGAGAAACAGGTCACAGTGAAGAAGCAGCGCATCAAGAAACCCAAAAAGGACCCCGTATCCAAAGAAATGTCTGACTCTCTGCAGGTTTCCACCATTGAGCAGCCTGAAGAGGAGAGCGATGGCGAGGGAGCAGAGTCCGAGTCGGATAAGGAAAATGAGGCCGAGGTGGCCAAGTCCAACGAGGAACTGGAACGCGAGCGTGTGGAGAACACAAAACTGGCGGCCAAACTGGCCGAACTAGAAGGCCAATTGGTGCGCGGTGGCAAGAACCTGTTGGACACCTACAGCGAGCGCCAGATTGAACTGGAAAAGAAGCTGGTGGAAATCGCGGAGCGCAAGAAGCGCGAAATCGAAATCCAGCAGCAGCTGGAGCTGCAAGAGGAGACCACGCTGGAGATACGCGAACGAAACGTCTCCCTCGAGCAGGAAGTAGAGCTGAAGAAGCGCAAGCTTTCGAAATGCTATGCCAAGTATTTGGCTCTGCAGCAGGAGCTCAACGACTGCAAGTCCGACCACAACCAGGACCTTAGGGAACTGGAGATGGCTCAGAACGAGCTGGTAAAGGAGCTGAAGCGCCAGCTGCTGATCATCGACAACTTTGTGCCCATCGAGGTAAAGCAGCGTCTGTACACGCAGGCCAAGTACGACGAGGAGCAGGAGGAGTGGAAGTTCTCATCGATGTCGTTGCCCACACCTCCTGGCGGCGATGGCAAGTTCAGTAGCAAGCGTCCGGTATCGCATCCGCAGCGCAGGAGGCCCACCTCCGAGTATGCCCTGCAGGAGGCCAAGTCGAATGCGCCCAGCTCTCTGCGTTTCAAGAGCGAGAACATCGTGAACTACGAGCTGGAGATGCCCTGCCGCACCACCCAGGAGTATCGTACGCCCAAGGTGTCTGCCTCTCTGCAGGCGGTGCTCGCCCAAGCTATGCAAACGGGCTGCGATGATATCGACATAGTGGACTCACACACAAATTCACTGCGGAGCCGGCTAGAGAACATTATCAATGCGAACGCCAATGGTGGAGCTGGTCCTGGGGCTGGCACCGCGGTGGGCAGCTCCATTCCCAATGTCCGCAACATTAAGTCGAGCCGAGGGCTACCGAGCGCGGCCTCCAATCTCGACTCCAATCGCCGTCCACCCACGGGCCGTCTGCCGGCCAAGAAGCCGGCTTCGGCGTATCCCAAAGCCCGCGGACTGGTCAACAAATAATCACAAACGACTCGAATCGAATTGAGTTGCATCTAACCATTGCAACATGCAAACACAACACTAACCAAAGTATTCATAGTCATCGCAATATGTACACCTCAGTACTGATAGCCCAATCTACTCACATTTCGCGCTTGTAAAAGTTTCCTTTTGGTTTGAGCCAACTCAAATCTCTGGCATTTTAACTATTCAGACGTCTTCAGATCTGAACCATTGATTCCATTTTTAGTTAATGCCGCATGTTTGAAGAGATTCGGCCAGCCGACCCCACACTTTCCTTAATTGTTTTTACGTTTATTTGTTACTCGACTCGAATTATTTGTTATTGATTTTTTAGTGCATATGTATGTTTGTGCTCGGTTAAGTTGGCGCGTGCATTTACTTTTATCGTGCAATCTAAGCTTAAGTTCAACCCAACTGCAACAGTCTCTTATTTACTTAGTAAATGATCTTTAGTTAATCCTATAAACCAAATAAAGCAACTCCATAAACGAAATGTGGTTTAATGATTAAAAGGTATGGTGGTTTTTCGAATACAACAACAAGAATGCAATTAAGTATGAAAACAAGAAGGGAAGCTTCGGAAAGTCGAAGTTTTTAAACCCTGTTCCAAAAATAATATTCTTTAAAACGAAACTAATAACAATACAAACTAAGATGAAAATACAGATTTTTAGAGAATTAAACCACAATCATTTAGAAACATGCTACTTTGAAATAAAATGTCTGTAAGAAAAGTTATGGGCTCAGAAGTGCAGGTTTTGGACCACTTTTCTGCAAAGCCGTTTTTCGAAAATTTGAAAAGGGGTAACATCATTAAAATTACGGAAAATCGACCCCAAAATACAAAACAAACTGAAAACACAGATTTTTAGAGAATTAAACCACAATCATTTAGAAGTATGTCACTTTGAAATCGGATGTCTGTAAGAAAAGTTATGGGCTTTGAAGTTCATAATAATAATAACTTTTTTTAGGCCTACCAATAGCAACCCAGTTCGCTTTCAATGATATGTATTTATCTGCTGATATATCCCTTAAGACAACAAGTTCAATTTTTATTTTTAACTATTAATAGTTCATGATCCAATTTCAAAGAATTCGACTCTTTTGAAAACCGGTTGAAATCAAAGGAGTATATATAAATGCAGCTGTTTATTGTAAATGCAAAACTGGAGTTTTTACAAATTGACAAATATTTTTAAGAAAATCTCTCAACATTCATTAACATAAATGCAATATTCAATACTGTTTACTACTGGATAACTTTCAGAGAGCGACCGACTTCAATAAATGCATCAATAGCCCGATCGATTTCGGCTTCAGTGTGAGCAGCGGAGATTTGAACGCGGATGCGGGCCTTTCCCTGAGGAACCACTGGGTAGCTAAATCCGATGACATAGATGCCACGGGCTAAAGGAAAAATTGAATTCAAATAAAGTGTAGCTCAAAAAAAAAAAAAAAAAAAGAGCTTTCAACTTACTCAGCATCTCATCGGCAAACTTGGAGGCGAGACGAGCATCGCCCAGCATCACGGGGCAGATGGGATGGTTCTCGCCGGCAATGGTGAATCCCGCCTTGGTCATGGCCAATCGGAACCGCTGGGTGTTGCTCTGAACCCGCTGGGTGAGCTCACTGGACTGGAGGAGCATGTCCATGACCTTTAGGCCAACTCCCACAACCGCTGGCGGCAGTGTGTTGGAGAACAGATACGGCCTGGACTTCTGGCGCAGGAAAGAGATAAGCTCGGCCGGACCAGTGGTGTATCCGCCGGAAGCTCCACCCAGAGCCTTGCCCAGCGTTGAGTTGATGATATCGACCTCACCCATGACATTGTCGTACTCCTCGGTTCCACGTCCGGTGGCGCCAAAGAAGCCCGTGGCATGGCACTCATCCACAAACACCAGGGCATTGTACTTCTTGGCCAGATCAACGATGCGGGCCAGAGGTGCAATGTTTCCATCCATGGAGAATACACCATCGGTGGCGATTAGTTTAAGACGAGCATCGCTGGCCTTCAACTGATCCTCCAAGTCCTTCAAATCCCGGTGCTTGTAGCGCTGCTTCTTGGCCTTGCACAAGCGAATGCCATCGATGATCGAGGCGTGGTTCAGTTCATCGGAGAAAACTGCATCCTCCGGAGTGAGAATGGCCTCAAAGATTCCCGCATTGGCGTCAAAGCAGGAGGCATACAAGATGGTATCCTCACGCCCATGGAACTGGGCTATCTTCTTCTCCAGTTCCTTGTGTATATCCTGAGTGCCACAAATAAAACGCACTGAGCTTAGTCCTGCTCCATATTGCTCCAGCAGCTTCTGGCTGTGCTCCACAATCTCCGGATTGTTCTGGTGGTCAAGTGAACTTCTCAATCAAAATTAATAGACTCACATCCAATTTACTTACCGCCAGTCCGAGGTAGTTGTTGGCGCAAAAGTTGAGAATCTTTTTATCACTACCTTGAACGGTGATCTGGGTGCTCTGCGACGATGTGATGATTCGTTCTGCCTTGAAGGTGCCCGCTTCCTTAATCCCGGCCAGCTGGGTGCCCAAGATCTCCCGCAGCTGGGACTGAGCCGCAGCGCTGTAATGACGTCCTCCTACTGGGGATAAACAATTATATAATAAATTATTTAACTTTCTCTATAACACAAATCAAGAAACTGGTAAAAATACAAAAATATCAACCAAAATGTTTCAGCTCTATACACTTTTTTACTTTTAAAACATTTATTTTTAATATAAAAGCATTTTCTAAGGTCTACCAACATTTTAAAAGCTTTTCAAACCCATTTTATGTCAATCATCTCTTTTATTATTTGCATTTAGAGAAATTTTTGGGTATAGCCGCCCCATAAAAGAATCTACATGTATTATACAGAACGATTATATTTTTAACCAATTACAGCACTTATAGGGGTTTGTCCTCATAACATTTTGTACAAATTTATTAATATTATTTAAAAATTCAGTTAGTAGCTAGGCACAAATAATTTTATATTTTCACATAATGAAATGTCTTAAATAAAATTCGCAAGCGAAAAACGACTTCTGAACCATATTGAACAATTCCTGTATATTATTTGGGGACACGAGTTATGTATTTATGGCTCACCCTTGCGGAAGAGCAACATTTTTGAGAAAATTGACATAGTGTCGGTGGTTTATCGTTATTTTCCGACTCGCGAATATATATTTTCCAACTGGCTGGTGTCCAGATTCCGTCGGCGACCAGCTCTTGACTAAATGACGACTAGTAGACTGACATGGGAACAAGTCTCCCTAGTTGGGGGCTCGCTCTGCCAGCGACAACAAAGCAGCTGATTTTTGTTTTTATAAATAGTATGTATGCCTATGTATATCTATGCAAGTTCAACCTCACTAATAAATACATACCGGCTGGCGTTCGTTTTCACTAAATTGATTTAATTTGTGTTCACTCTCGTTGTCATGGAGGCATATTTACATAGGATACACATGACGAGATAGTTAGATGCAAAATGTATCTGCTTATCTGCCGGTGCCGAATTAATATTCGTGCGTATGCAAATTGCTCCCAAGGTCATTGTCTATTAGGCTTTGCTTTCATTTTAATTGAATCTAATTTCAATAACTATAAATTGTGTGCCATTCTGATAACACAAAATGCAACTATCACTTGTATTATTTTTTTAATTCCCTTTTTATTTATTTGTAATATTAGAATTTTATCTGTATCTGAAAATGATAATTTTTTTAAATAAATATCTAAGATACTGGATATATAAAAATATATATAAAATAAATGTTGTTTAGTCAAATAATTAGAAAACGGGTTTTCAAAATTAAAAAATATCAAACAATGTTACTTTGTTGCTAATTGATAGTTATAAAAGTGATATCAAAAGTTATAAAATAGAAATTATGTAGGATAAAATACAAAAACACAAAAAATTGAAAGGAATTCAGGTTCTACCGAGATTTGAACTCGGATCGCTGGATTCAAAGTCCAGAGTGCTAACCATTACACCATAGAACCTCTTAAATTTGGCTGTCCAAAATAGCAAATAAAAATTAGTATTGTGCTAAGAAATTGAAACTCGTTCTTTAATTGCCTATAGCTAGAAGATTAAGATTGAAAAACTGCTGTTATCAGTTGTGTTCGGTCGGTGGGGGTTAAGGTCAATGTAGTTAGACCGAAAAGTCACAAATGCATTGATGGACGGGTTATTTGAATATTCAACCAACTATAAATCGTCAGCTTAAACATCTTTTCTTTTAAATTCTAAGCCACAACAGAATACTCAATATTTTGAGATTTATTTCTCCGATGTATTATAATATAATATGTATTATTTACAACGGCAAAAACAGCTATATTAGCTGGATTAGTAATGATGATTTTAAGGAAAAATATTATTTTTGGGAGAAACCAGGTCCAAGCTGAAATGAAAATCGATAAAAGGGACAACCAGAAGCAACCTAAATATCTCAATTCACATATAAAGTGCAATCCACCAAAAGAAATTATGTTCCACAGCTCTTCACAGTGCCACTATCGTAGACGCCCACTTTTTGGCAGTATAAAATCCCAGTTCCAAGTCGGTATGGTACCAGTTTCCGTGGATATCGCCTGTCGTGTGGTTCAAATCGTTTTCCAACCTTCGAAAAATTAAAAGTTTAATTATTTTCAAAAAATACTTAATTAATTGTGAACTATTATTGTGAATTGTGTTTAAAAAATGAGAAAAAATGCTCTTAAAGCTACTTAAACTTCCATTTGTGTTGGTGTTGTGCTTGCAAATAGTATCCGTGAAAGGATCTAGGTATAATGTGGAGCAGCGTGCCCAGCTTGTGAGACAGTCGAACGATAACCTGCTCCTCGAGGCAGCAAAGGATCAGAATGTGACCCTGCGATTGATGGGCGAGTCGGCCACCGTGACGATCAACGATGTGGACCTGCTGAAGTTTCTCCGACGCCGCCAACGGATCATAGCCGATCGCCAGGCATTAGCTCGAAGGGAACCCCTCTCGATAGACGCCTTCAGGGATCAGATTCGGGATACGGAGCGCAAAATGAAACAGATACAGCAAAGGGTCCTAAATGCGAAAAACTCCACGCGAAGGGGTAGACTCAATCAACGCATCCTGCGCCGCCAACTGCAACGTGTGGAACTCGTCTCTAAATTATTGGACACCCTCTATCGGAATCTGTACATGGACGAGTGCGTTTCCAGTCCGTGCCAGAACGGCGGAACCTGCCACGACGCCTACAACGGCTTCCAGTGCGAGTGTACATCCAGTTGGCAAGTGAGTAAGAGGGGGCGTCTCTGGGAGAGATTGGGGGCGTTTTTCCAAAGTCCCAACATTATTTTATACCAGATACCTACCCTTAAAGTATCAAATAATATTGGGAACTTGAAATAAAATAAAAATTTGTGTTTAAATTAAGTACATAATATGTTGGAAAAGTTTAATCCAAAAACATTAAAACGATATTTAATAATCCAAAAAATTAAAAAGTCAAAATACCTGGGAGCCAATTGTATTCTTGCAGTGCAGAGTGATCAATTTTAGAAACCTTGCCAATCGTATCTATAATTTATACAAACTCACCCATTAATTTTCGGTATGACAGAAAGTGTATTAAGGCTTCGGCTGGCCAAAATTAGCTTCCGTTCTGAAGCAGAGCTAAACACATACATATGTCTTTTTTAGTTTAGTGATAACGACGTTCTGGCAAAGCGCATTAAATCGGAACAAACAAAATGCAATGATTATCAAAGAATCTTTTTTTATTTAATAGTTTTGTAATAACAAAATGTACTTTTAACTGACAGAAAGAACCAAATTACAGATGCCAAACACAAATTCAGTGTTGCGAAATTACATAAAAAATAGTACAGTCAATAGGTTTCGAAAAGTACTTAATGCTTTTTGTACAAAAAAAAATATAAACAAATACATAAATAATGTAATTTAATAACATTAAATGCAATAATATTAAACAAATTTTTTAAGAAAACTGTTTTAAGTAATTCTGAAAGATTTTGTGAGGTAAAATATTTTCTTATCGCGCCCATGTGAATGATATACAGCTTTTTGGTAGTGCTGATTTAAATTCAAATTAATTGAGTTTATTTCAGGGGGATACTTGCACGGAGGATGTTAATGAGTGCGCCACCTTGGCAGGAACGGATCTGGCCGGCTGTCTAAACAATGGCCAGTGCATAAACACTCCCGGCAGCTATCGGTAAGTAAGATAGTGTATCCGGCAGGATTAAACCAATTAATTCGGCTCCCCATTCCAGATGCGTTTGTCGAAATGGTTTCTCTGGCAGCCACTGCCGCCTCCGGAGCAATTCCTGCATTGGCAGTGGATCACGGGAACTCTGCGGCGAGCACGGCACCTGCATCCAAGCGGGCAATTCCGTCGGCTATGTGTGCATCTGCGATCAGGGATGGACGTGGGCAGATGCCAACATGACCTCCGCCAGTCCCAGTGCCTGCACCCGGGATGTGGACGAGTGCGAGCCGCGCGTGAATCCCTGCCACGATGTGTGCATCAATCTGCCGGGCAGCTTTCGCTGCGGACCCTGTCCTCCGGGATACACTGGCGATGGCCGCTTCTGTCGGGACATAGACGAATGTGCCGGCGAGGACAACGGCGGCTGTAGCCTGCAGCCGAGGGTGGCTTGCACCAACACGGAGGGATCGCATCGCTGTGGCCGCTGTCCACCGGGTTGGACTGGCGACGGACGCACATGCAAGGCCGCCGACTCCAATTCCTGTAACGACGAGAGTATCTGCCATCCGCTGGCCAAGTGCGAGTACCTCTCCGACACGGTGGTGTGCACCTGTCCGCTGGGCAGCTTTGGACATGGCTACGGCGCCGATGGTTGCACCACGGACTCCAACCGGCTGCCCTGCGAACAGCATCCCTGCCAGAACAATGGTACCTGCGTGCAGAATGGTAGGGGAACCACCTGCATATGTCAGCCTGGTTATCTGGGCGCTGTGTGCAACTCGTCGGATGCCTGTCATCCAAGTCCCTGCCTAAATGGCGGAACCTGTCGGCTGTTGCCGAATAATAAGTACCAGTGCTCCTGCAGACAAGGCTACACCGGCACCTCCTGCTCCCATCGGCGATTCTTTTGTGGAGCAACAATCCGCGGGCCTTCAGGCCAACTTCATTACCCACCCATAGCCGATGAACACTATCAGGCGAATGAGCGCTGTCCGTTTATCATACGCACATTACAGAATATGGTGCTAAATGTGACCTTCACCAAGTTTAATCTGCAGGACAGCACCGACTGCAGCGACGACTTCTTGCAGCTCAACGATGGCCAATCCCTAGCATCGCGCATAATTGGCCGGTTCTGTGGCTCACGTTTGCCCCTACAAAACGGTAGTGTGATTTCCAGCCAGGAGCAGGTCTTTTTCTGGTTCCGATCCGACAACGAGACGCAGGGAGAAGGATTCGAGCTGACATGGAACTCTTTGCCGTTCGCCTGCGGCGAAACCATTAACCTTACAATGACGCAGACTGGCGTTGTGCGATCTCCGGGCTATCCTGGCCAGGCCCGACCGGGACTCGACTGTCGCTGGCAACTGACGGCGCCCTTTGGCAGACGGTTGCTCCTTCGCTTCTACGAGATATCGCTGGGTAGCACCGAAACAGCCGCCGTGAACTGCAGCCAGGACTCCCTCATTGTCTACGACTCAGATCGCCAGCTGCTCCGGGCATGCCAATCACTCCAGCCGTCGCCGTTGTACAGCTCTTCAAATAGCTTGCGCATGGACTTCCACACGGATGCAGTTAGAGCGGATAGCTCCTTCCAGATGCACTACGAGGTGGTGCCGGCCCAGCCGGGATGCGGAGGCGTCTACACGGAGTCGCGAGGCCGCATTAGTGGCTACATGAATGCCGAGGTCTGTCTCTATCTGATAGAACAGCCCCAGGAAACTCAAGTAAAGTTGGTGTTCGATCAGGTAAATCTAATACAGTCCGAGAATTGTAGCATGCAGAAGATCGAGATCTTTGACGGAAGAACGCCGGATTCGCCACTTATGCAACGCTTTTGTGGTCGACCGGAAGTCAGTGAACTGAAACCGCTGATTTCCTCAAGTAATGTGATCCTAGTGCGCTATGAATACCCACTTAATGGCATAAAGCTGGAAAAAAGCTTCGATTTCAGTTATTCCAGAGGTAAGCCATATAAGTAAAGTTTTAAATCATAAACTTATTACTTTATACCGTTACTGAAGATGCCATAATTTAATAAATGCTCTTTATTTAACAGTGTGCACTGGCAGCTTTGGAGGCATGGGTGGCATCATCAGTACCCCAAATTACCCGCACTCGTATCTCGACGATATGACCTGCACTTACAACTTGACTGGGCCGATTAATAGGTTGGCTCATATCACAATCACAGACCTATCTCTGGGCACTGTCAATAATGAAAATGAAACAACTTATTTGGATGTAAGTGAAATTATTAAAATTGTAACTTTTATTTATTACGGTGAAATCTCGTAGGTATATTTATCGCATGATGAAAAGCGTCATATTATAAAGTCAGCGCAGAACCTTACCCTAATCGCACATTCAAATCGGGCTAGTCTGGTCTTCCACGGATCAGGTAGTGGTCGTGGAATGCGAATGGAATACCACTATATGAATAGGTATTGTGGTGGGTTTCTCGACAAACCTGGAAAGAAAATATACCAACCTGTACCCACATCTTGTCAGTGGATTATTGATATTCCAGGAAAAAAACGAATCATAATTAAGTCTTTCATCTACGAATCAAACATATTCGTATATGACAATAGCACAGTCCCAGGAACTTTGTTAGCGACGTAGGTATTTTCTAATTGAGAAATCAATAAGTATTAATATTTATTTATTTTAGTAATTCGAAGGTCGTGGATGATGTGTTCGATGGAGATCTTTTGACAATAAACATTTCAAATGAAAAAAGAAGGGGGAGGTCCGACTTATGTTCGATTTTGTTTGAAATGGTTGAACAAGGTAAAAAAATATTAAATAACATATATTTTGCAAAGAGAGTAATGTCTAACCTCTGATTCAAAGAAATACGATAAGTTAGATTTTGACAATTATAAAAACTGCTTTTAGTTAGTGTAAAAACCTGATTAAAAAAATGGCTAAAAATTTGTAAAATGCAATCTAGCCGTTATACATTTTATGTATTGATTATAAATTAAAATGTATCATTCAAAATCAGATAGTTGTGGAGGAACGTTCACAGGACGCAATGGCTACATAAAATCACCGAATTGGCCAAAGGCTTATGGAAACTCCGAGGAATGTGAGTGGATCTTACGAGCACCGCTTGGCCACCGCCTCGAATTGGTGGTGAAAAACTTTACGCTAGAAAAAGGAATGGATGGATGCATGAACGACTGGCTGGAGATCAGGTAATCTACCTCAGCTATTTTATAAAAAGTCGTCAATATATAATTTTAAATTATTTCTTCAGAAATGGGGACTCTGAATCGTCTCCACTAATTGGACGATATTGTAGTACTGATATTCCAAGTCGGCTACCCTCGTTTGGAAATGCAATGCATCTGAAATTCCGTTCCGATGGGTCCATACAGTACAAGGGATTCCTTCTAAACTGGCAGCAAACTGGAGTCGGATGTGGCGGCAAACTAAGCTCATCCACGGGGAGCATCCATTCGCCGCATTTATTGGAGGGAAATCGTGGTGTTCTGAGCTGCGACTGGCAGATTGTCGTCGCCGAGGGATCCAGGGTAGACCTGCAGCTTGAGAGCAGGGACGAGCGTCTTTGCATCGGTCACCTGGCCATATACGATGGCCCCACTATCCTCAGCAATAAATTGGTAATTCGCTGCAACGGAACGACTGCCCAACCGCTACAGTCCACCGGAAATCGCGTCCTAGTCCGTTACGATGTGAGCCATGAGTCACCGGATGGCACCGGATTCGTGCTAAACTACCAAACGAATTGTCGAGTTCGACTCGAAGACCTGCAGGGGGCCATCGAATCGCCCAACTTCCCGGAGAATTATCCACCAAATCTAGACTGCGAATGGGATATTCGTGCTGGCGGAGGAAAGAATCAATTGCAGATTGTATTTTCACACCTTCAACTCGAGTCCTTTGCTTCTCTCTGCCTACATGACAAAGTGACGTTTACAGACATGTGGGACAACAATGTTATAAAAATTAAAAATTATTGCCGTCTCAATGGCATAGCCCCCATCACTACTGCTGGCAATCGGTTGCTTGTGCGCTTCCAAAGCGATTTCTCATTTGCGGAGCAAGGCTTCCGGATCGAGTACAAGCGTATAGGGTGTGGAGAGCATTTCCACGCAGCCCTAGGATCGTTTGAATCACCGAAAGCTCCCTTTAGCGTGGACATGGACTGCGTTTGGACCATCACAGCATTGGAGGAATCACAAATCGTGCTCTTGCTGCGTCATGTCCACTTCGAGGGTGCACAGGGCGACTGTAGCGAGGCGGACTCTAAGCTGTCCGTTTCGGCACCGAATGGTTTCAATTCCTCCGTGATGCTCTATCAGACCTGCCGCGATCAGACGGAGGAGCAAACCTTAATATCTCCGGGTAATGAGTTAAAAGTTCGCTTTGCTAGCAGCTCTGCGCCAGGTAGGAAATACTTCGCGGCCAGCTTTTCTCAGAGGACAGCCAGATGTGGAGGTTACATTAGCGCCAGCAGCGGAATGCTAGCCACTCCTGGCTTTCATAATCAGCAGGACAGCAGCAACGTCGCCAATTACTCATCAAGCGTGGAGTGCTTATGGACTGTGGAGGTAGGCTATTCAAAAATCATATATTCATATAATATTTAATAGATCTTTTTCAAAATTATTCGAATTTAATTTGTATTAGCAAATTCTCCCTAATTTTTACTTCAGTTCGAATTTAAAAAATTGTCACACAAAAGATAATTAACATTGTTAGCATGACTTGCAGTTAATGCATATACCCCAAAATGAAAAAATGTATTAATATTAGAATATTATGCTATTCATTTTGGAATCTACTCAAGTCAAAACACTAATTTTTTTAGGTAACGAAAAGCTATGGTATGATCCTACGTTTTGAGCAGTTCAACCTCACAAGTTCGGACAACTGCTCGCTCAGTTCTGTGGAACTCATTAAGCTCAGGTCGGACGACAAGGAGCAAATTCTGGAAAAAGCCTGCGATGACGTGTCACCCATGATCCGAAGATTTTTCGGACAGAAGCTGCGTGTCCGGTTTAAAGCCGAAGCCGGAACTTGGGGACGGTTTGCCATGCATTTTGAGCGCATGTGTGGTGGGCCGCTCAGAACCGGGGAAGGCTATTTGCAATCTCGGCTAGACGAGGACTGCGAATGGCTTGTTTCCTCACCGGAGGGCAGCAAACTTAGCCTAAGTATCAATCAACTGGAATGCCCGAAATGTGCCGTAGCCTCGAGCAATTGCCCGGTTCTTCAACTGATCAACGACGATGATGAGGACGTGCTCTACGAATTGTGCCGCGATCACCCTGCCAATTTAATTGTGCCCGCCAACAATGTGCGCATCGTGACCATAGGAATTAGGCTGCAGGCGCAGTACAGCACTTTTGAGAATTCGTGCGGCGGAAACATCACATCCGCCCGCGGAAGCCTCAGTTCGCCCAACTACCCGGATAGTTATCCGTCCAACATTGAGTGCGTTTGGTCCATCGAGGCGCGACCGGGAAATGCTCTGGAAATCAACTTCGAGGCCATGGATATTGTCCGCTCCGAGCATTGCAACGAGGACTTCCTGGAGCTGCGCTCTGGCGTTCAGGGTCAGCTCCTGGGCCTGTACTGCGATAGGAAATTGCCGGAGAGTCCCTTGGTGGTAAATACCGATCTTTGGATTAAATTCCGCAGCTCACCAGGCAACACCGCTGGAGGTTTCCGTTTACGCTGGAGTTACGGTATGCGAACTTAAATTTTTTTTTTTTTCAAACTGAATTTTTACCTAATAACATTTCCAGTGCACAACATCGAAATTACAATGAGCACCAATGGAACAATTGAACCGCCTCCACCGCTTTTGGTTAAAGGCGAGGATCAGCCCTTCACCTGGCGCATTTTCACAGAGCGCAACAAGGTGTTGGTCTTGTTGTTTGAGGAATACATTTCCGGTCTTTCGGTGAGTATAAATAGCTTTTCAATAAATATTTCAATGAGAGTTAGTTCCAGCTAAAACAAAAGGGAGTAAAATAACGAAAGACATTAAAGTTTATATTTATAAAAACGTTCTCCAGCTCTTCGATGGCTATGATGATAGTGCCTTAGAGGTCAACATTGCAGCCTGTCCTTGGACATTCACCTCCAGCAGCAATGTGGTATACTTGAAGACGATTAATGCGGAAATTAGCGAGTTTCGTTTAAAGTGGCACGTGCTCGGTTCCCATCTAGTAAATGGTAACCTCTCCCTGACCTCCAAGGAGTGTACGCAGGAGCTGATAGCATCCTCTAAACCGATTGAATTATTTTCGCCGGGATATCCACATGGCTACGCACCCAATCTGAAATGCGAATGGACCATACGGCCAGAGGACCCTTCACAACACATCCTCGCCTATTCATACGAAGCCGATCTGGAGGTCTTTAACGAATGCTTCGCCGATTATCTTAAAATTCAGAGTTCGCCTGACCTCAACCACTGGACTGATGAGGTCCGTGTTTGCAAAAAACCTGAATCCAAGGGAGCGATTACCCCAGTTCACGGCACGCCAAATCTGCGATTACAATTCCACAGTGATGTATCCATTAATGGTACTGGTTTTAAAGCAAGCCTCCGAACTGCCTGTGGCTCTAATATGACAGACATTGTGGGTACCATTTCAGTGCCCTATGAGGATACAGGTGAATGCGCTTGGCACATCGATGTGCGGCCAGGTCGAAAAATAGACATCACGATTAGATATAATTTCATGACATCTCCCGATGACTGTGAGGTGTATGGCCTTATATACGATGGATTAGATGACCATGCGCCCTTGCTAAAGCATAGCAAATTCTGTGCCAAGGATGGCTTTAGAATAACATCATTTCGGACGAGCAGCTCGCATGCCTACATCAAATTCCATCTCGGCAGACAAAACAAATTAATAAGGCCTTGGACTCTCACATACCGAGAGTTTAATGAATGTAATGGAGAGATTAAGTTGACCCAGCAGGCCCCCAACTTTGTGGTCATGTCACCAGGATATCCCAATTTACCCCAACCGCATTCGGAATGCACGTGGTTAGTTATGGCGCCGGCGGGGGAGACCATCGCGGCCAACTTTGATGAGCCATTCGAAATAAGTGCTCGGCACTGCGACAAGGAGAATGTGGAGTTGTTTGACGGCTCCACCAAGCTGGCCCCCAGCTTGATTCGCACCTGCCGGAAGCCACAGGCCACGGTGCGCAGTACTGGAAACCTGATTCTGGTCCACTACCAATCGCAGCTTAATGAACCCAGTGGAGGTTTCCGGCTCAACTTGTCAGTGAGCACATGTGGTGGCCAGTTCACGGGGTCAAATGGGTTCCTCACCTCGGAGAACTATCCGAGTCTGGGTGGATATACGAAGCCATCGTTGTGTGTGTACAGCATTCGGTTTCGCAAGGACACGTTCATCCAGTTAAACATCACGGATCTGCACCTGCCGTTTGATCCAAATGGAACATCCTCAAATGACACCAGCGATCGCCTGGAAATCGTTGACTTGGCGGACCCAACTAAGGTACTATATGTCCTGGACGGAAGTACAATCACGCCCAATCTCGTCACCCTGAGCACAAACGCTGCCGCCATTCGATTTGTCGCAATCACAAATGTTAACAACTATAGGGGCTTCAAGTTACAGTATAAGCGCGTCCTTGGAACGTGCTCGCAGGATATAAATGGTGTTGCAGGGGACATTGTGATCCCGCCTTTGTCACCGACAACCTGGCTGAGATTCTGTCGCTTGACCATCAATGTGCCCAAGGGACAGAGGGTGCGGCTGAATCTTCTTAATTTAGCTGATATTCGCGTTGTCACTCCAAGTAGTGATAGCCGGTGAGTGTTGTAGTCAGTTAATTAATTAATTTATTTAAAATGAATAATTTGATCATTTTTAAAAGATGTCTGTATCTGATTTCTTCCTAGTCAAATACTTATTTATAAATACATTAAATTTTCATACTTTTGTAAGATTGCATTAATTAAATTAACTATTTACAGATTTTTAATTCGCCAACACTCAACAAATTTAAAGCACTTCGCCTTCTACAACGACCCAAACTCACTTTCCAAGATCACTGAATTCCGGGTCAATAACTACAACGGCAGTGGAATAATCGAGTCAACAGACAATTTTATGCTCGTCGTTATAATGACACATCAGTTGGATTTGAGCAGCACTGCGCTAAAATTCCACTACAGCTCCAGCGAACCAACAGTCTGTCCGCCTGAAATTGGAGACCAGTCAGCGGGATCGCTTTCCATCCAGACGCTCCTCCAGCTGCCCAACTACTATTGCATCATTAAGTTTTCGGGTGCTGCAGGTACAACGATCACTTTTAAGGTCGAGGAGTACCTGTTCCAGACAGTTGGCGGTCCAGCAGTTTTGTTTTACGATGAGGTTCAGCGTCATCCGTTCAAGTCAATGTACGCCAATGTCACCAATAGCTTTGTATCTTTGGCCACCACGGGTGGACATGTGACGCTTTTGAATACCGCAAGCGTTAAGTTGCGCCGCTTCCGAGCCACTTATCGACGTCACAGCTGCGGCGGACGACTACAGGCGGCTGAGGGACTTATCATTCAGTCTCCTGGGCTCCTGAATACCCTTGGTGAAGAATATGGTGAACTTGAGTGCCTCTGGACGCTAAGCAACAGTGATGGCTATGTGCTGGAGGGAATTGCAAACCTTACCGACCGTTGCGATCGGGAATACATTGTGATCTTTAGCGGGCAGACGGAAATTAGTCGAATTTGTCGAGGCATGACCGTAAATAGCACGATTCTACAGAGTCCTACCTTCAATATTCTCTTTCATTCGGATACCCGACTTATCCGAAGTAGTCAGTTCAGACTGCAAATTCGGCGGTCCATGTCCGTCGGCAATGTGGTGCGCCTTGAACAGGCACCATCGCCACCGGTGACGATAACGAGCAAGGATTACTTGAAGAACACGGAGCGCATATGGGAGTTTGTCACCAAAACTGGGCTATCTTTGAAGTTACATTTTCAGGATCGTTTCTTCATCGTGATGTCCCCCAACTGTACAAACGATCGGTTGACTATAGAGCGTTACGATCAATCGGCTGGAGCGTTTGTTGAGGTGACCAGCCTCTGTGGCAGGGAAACGCCGGTCGCAATTCTAGTGCCATCTTCCCGGATCCGAGTGATATTCCGCACGAATTCTAATATGACGGGCGACGGTTTTAGTTTCCAAGTCTTCCCCAGCTGCGACGCCGTACTGCAGGCCACAGCAGATGTCCAGACCCTCGACACTCCCCCATGGAGGGGCTACCGCTGGCAGCAGTTTAACTGCAGCTACGTATTCCTCGCAAGCAACGAACACCAACTAGTGGTCAGTGTAAAAAACCGAGGAATGCCATTGACGTCACTTGGCTGCAGCAAATCCTACTTCGAGGGTTATCGTCTGGGCACTGAAAATCAGGAAACAAGTTTGGGCAAGCTCTGTCCCGAATTCGAGGTGAATGGTTATGGAAAACTTCGCCTGCAGTATCTTACCTCAGTGACTCGTATGTTTGAGCTGCAATACCATTTAATTCGATGCGGCGGCGACCACAACGCATCCTTTACCCTTCGTCCGCCGCAGGATGAAGAGAACGGTGTATACGCCCACAACAAGATGTGCGAATGGAGGGTCTTCGCACCTCCGCAGCACGCCATTGTCATAGAGTTTAAGTACTTTGATATGGAAAAAAGCACGAACTGCCTTTTCGACAGTCTGGCCATTTACCGAGGCAAAATTGCCGACTTGGAGCAGAGGATAGTGCAACTATGCGGCAATCAGACAAATCCTCCAACCATCATGGTGGACAGCAACGAGGCACTGATTGCCCTATCCACGGACAGTTCCATCAATAGCCGGGGCTTCCTGGCCAGCGTGCGCTTCACGCCCAACTGCAATGAGCACTTGATCCTGGACTCGGAAGTGCCACGTATGAATTTGATGCGGTCGTACAGAATCAATGTCACCAACCCGCTGTTATGCTACTTCCGAGCTCTTGTCACTCCGGATTACCGACTTTCCTTGGAGGTGCGAAAGCTGAAACTGAACGATCCTAGCTGCTTGACCTGCAGCTACCTAGAGATCTATGATGGCCCACAAAAAGACGGCCAAAAGCTGGGGAGATACTATGGAGCGGGCGCGAACAGGACCAAGGTGTTCAGTTCCTACTTGGGCATGGAGATCAAGCTGAGCGCCACAACCAGGCAGGATATGAACATCAGCTTCGAGCTGATCTTGCAACTGCAACGTACTTTATGTGGGAAAACGGAGTACGACATGCGGTTAAATGAGGTGAATCCCCTAGAATTATCAGTAAATGTTTTTTTTAATTGTAAATTGTTAGTTTTATGAAATATTAATGGTAATAAAATCCATATGTGTTCATTCAAGTTTAAACATACATATGTAGGCTAAGTAGATATTCCACTAACCCACGTTTTGATTACCTCTTCCAACAGACCATTAAACTAGGAATACAGTACGACAATAGCACAAGTAGCTACGAGGGAAGTATCCAATGTACTTGGATAATTAAAAATGAAGGAGATTTGGAATTTGATTTCCAAAAGCTACGCCTTAAGGATATATCCCAGCGTTCTGGGAAATGCGAGGACTATTTGAAACTGTCCAAGCCTTATGTAACATACAAATCTTTTTCCTCAACTGACAGACGCGTATTAATACACTCCTTTTCAGTTCACCAGATCCTTTTGCGGACAACACGAGAAAAGCTTCAAATTGATTGAAGAAGTCGGTGAATCTGGCATGCAACTCACCTTCCACAGCGACAAACTCGAGGAATCCCAAGGGTTTGAAGTTATCATCCGACGAAAGCCAAGTACGTACACATTTTATAAATAACTTAGGACCCATAAAGCTTATTTTACATATCTGATTTCATACAGATTGCAATCGAAACTACACGGAACTGAGCCAGATAATTAATACCAAAGATCTAATCAACTGTACAGAATATATTCGTGTGCCAAAAGGCTACAGCATTACGATATACGTTTTGTCTTTGGATTTTGACAGAGTAAATGTTAATTACTTCAACGTAAGTTAATCATTTTGGATTCTTTGGATGTGGCATGTTTTGTACTGTTTATACTCATACAGGTGACGGATCTTAATTCAAACAAGACTATTTTTACCACTTCTCACGTCCAATGGGAAACCGTAGCCAGGATTACGACTACCAACGAGTTGCGTCTTGATAGCCGTGGAGTAATGTCCCTCCAGTTCTTCTACTTTTCCACTAGCAACCAATTTCCCAGCGGCTGTGGTGGTGAGCTCGCGGTGCATGGTTCGATGGGAAGTTACTTGGAGAATCCCTCCTACGAAGGCCGCAATAGTTCATTGTGTAGTTGGTCTATAACTGTACCCGCAGGCGGTAACCTACGATTTAGTTTCCAAGGTGGGCCAATACTTTTTCGGCAACTATCCTTAAAGTACTAACTGAATACCTTTCAGAATTCAACATGGGCTCGGAAACCAACTGTGGTCTGGACAATATTCGATTTTATGGCAACTATATTGACGGCCGCAGACTTGAAAAAACCCTCTGTGGATCAAAAATTCCAAATTATTTTAGCATAGCCAATAATAACGTTACTGTCATTGCAAAAAAGTCGCCCAATTTTGATGGATTAGGTTTCAAAATGGATATTAATCATATAGATTGAAAGGTGCGAGGTTTTCAATAATTTCTTTATTTTATCAATACAAGTAATTCAAGTAGCTAATAAAGTACGTGGTTTAATACTTATATTCACAAGTAACCAGATATTGATTTAACGGTTTTAAGTCTTGAATTCGACTAATTAAAAATATAATGAAACATAACAATTTACAATATAATACTTTTTTAATGTAATTTTAAAATTCGGAAGTAAAGGTACATATATAAGCAGTAAGAAAGTTGAAATAAACTTTTAAGATCTACAAAAAAATTTAAATAAAAATGAAATAATGTTGCTGACTTCGCTGTGCAAGGATGTAATGTACCCCCGTATGAAAAAAAGAAAAAACTTTATGTACTTTGGCCAGTTTTTCTTACTGATGAATGAACTAAAATTTGGACACAGTGAAAAAGCTCTTGTGTAAGATTAAATAATTAAACTGAAATAACTTTTTTTATCATTGTTACATTTTAAAGTAATGTAAATAAAGAAAGCAATACTAAATAAGTTATATAATTATATTTAATTCAATTTGTAATGTATGCAAGAAAAGTTTAAAAACAAGATTACATTTTTAAATTGGTGGTAAGTAAAATGGTATATAATGGTATTAATTTTTAGGCCGAATGGTATTTTTATGTCGTTTTCAACGTGGTCACCTGCTGTGATAACTATAAAACGCAGCTAAATGCGCGTATAAGAATTCAGTACGTATCTGGACTATCAATTAAAACAAAAATCAGCAAAATCAAAAAGTATTCATAACAGTCATTACAGCATACAAATTTAATTTTAAAAAAATGGATGCAGTTGTTTTGGAATATGTAGTGAAGGCTGACGCCGAAAAAAGGGAGACGAAAAAGAAAATCGCGGATCTCGAGAAGGAATTGAAGGATGAAAAGGATCCAATTCGCTCGAAAACTATTGAGCAGCAGATTGAGGAATTGAAGAAAGAAGAAGTAGAAGCATTTAAGAGAAACCAGGCGGTAATGACAATGTACGCTAATACAGCGAACTTTGGAACTTGTATGGGAATTATTCGAAATTTCTAAGTAATATGGAGTACGAAAAGGGTGCTGGACAGCCATGCTAAACTCAGCAGAAAAAAACTTAAATAACCAATAAATTATATTATTTAATCGAACAAACTGTATACACAGTTTTGCTTAAATGTTGAAGGAACCACTATATATGTATGAAATCCAAATAAATGTTTTCTGCTTATACCCTGAAAATGACGTCTTTGTTTTATTATCGAACAATTTTTTGTTCGGCTGTCTTTAAAATATTAACTAATAACGTAAATTTAGATTAATTAATAAATTAATAGTGCGCGGTACGTTGAAACTGCAGGGAACTTTATTAATTATAAATGTATGGCCGCAGCCCATGAATATATATATATGTTTGTTATTAAGGGAACATTATTTAGGGGACTCCCCGAAATGAAAATATATGAGAAGCACCAGCTGATGAGTAATGGTGTGACTAATCAACGAAGAGTATAATAAGAAACAAAGAAAATAAGTTTTACTCCCTAGACTTGTAAAAATATATACAATATTTATATTGGGGATGCAAGAAATTTTATTACGTACATATTTACTGGGAGCGTATTGATTGATTCATTGTTAATCTTAGCTCTTATTACGGTGATTTCTTAAAATCATAAAATATGAGGTTATTACGGTGATTCACCGAAATCATCAAATATGAGGAGTGGCAGCTGATAACTCATGGTGTAACTAAATTCAAACAACAGCCGACGCGCGATAACGCGCAGTGTGGCCAAGCTGCGAAAGCTGAACAAAAACAAAAATGCGACTGGACTGCGTAAATATATAAAGAGACGATTGTGAAAGTTAGAAGTCTCCAGCTTTTAAACAATGTAGACCAAAATAGTCCCCTTCGCAAAAGTATAAGGGGATGTCCAGAATTTAAAACCAAGATACGAATAAATTTACACGGATTATTCCCACGGCATATGTCTTGGACACACACAAAACCAGTATTTTTTTGGGGTTTTAGTACACTGAATAAAATATATTTAAAGATTTTTACGCGTCCAGCCAAATAAAATTTATAGTTTGCTATTTTAATTTACGCATAAATATGGATAGTTTTAGTAAACTCATCGAATATAAATCTTGGCTATCATTATATCAAAGAGTTGATTCGCCTACAGATCTTCAACAATGTGATGATTTGAAAAAAGAACTCAGAGAAATTCGTAGTAAAATGATAGAGCAACGTGACCGGAAGTTTATGCAGGAAAGAGATTTTCAACATCAAGAACGGCTAAAGCAAATTGATATTCAACACGAGGAACGGATGAAGAAATCGGACCAAGCACATCAGATAAGTTTAAGGAAAATGGATGAGGAACAGCAAACCCGTTTAAAAGAACTGGACAAGGATATGGCCACTTTGAAGGTAAAACAATTGGAGCTGGAAATGAAAAAAATCGAGCTGGAGATAAAAAAATTAGAGCTGGAAAAGGGGGGCACGACTCGATCGGAACTTCAACTAAATGACCCAACAGAAAATAATAATATTTAATGTCTACAATATAATTTCATTGCCATAAATCATTACATTACTAAAGACCAAAAAGGGTAACATAAAATTATAATAATTTACAAGATGAAGCTTTCTATATTAGCCTTAAGGAAATGGATTAATAGCACCAGAAAGGATTAAGGAAATATACAAAAAGTTTAAAGGAATTGGATAACGAAGCAATGTTGCAGATTAATCAAATGGAGCTGGCAGTGTCAGAACGCTGTAAAATACAAAACAAAGCTGCTTTCACAAAATTGGGCAATCTAACTGCACGTCTTAACAAAGTATTATATTTTGGTCTTTGAATCCTTGATTTATTAGTTGTTTATTTATATGTACATATGTTAATGCAAATAAACCAAAATTAACTGTCGTTGCACATTTGTCTATCTTAATACCCATACGTAGCCGTGCGTATACATCCATTTTTTGAACTACGCTTTCCAAGACTCAAAACGTTTTGGGATTTCTTTGGTTTCCAAACTATGCGAACTATTTTGATATCCTTTTAGTAGAATGGTGGTATATATTGAGGAACGAAATCCATCTCCGAATCCCAATCAAAGCTGCGAGTTAAAGCCTTGTTAAAATCACAAGGCAAATTTTAAAAAATAAAAAAGTGTAGTGACCAAAAAATTTAGCAATTTTTAATTAAGGCAATAAAAAGTAAAAACTCTTAATCGACAAATTTCGAGAGAAGATTCTTCGTTTCAGAGCCAAAAATCGAGGATCGCAAACTAAAAATAACAATAAATAATTTCATTATCAATAACTTCAATGTATTTGCTATTTTATGAATGGTTCGGTTTTTATTTACAGTACATATTTGCTGAAGTTTTTTTTTTTTATATTTTTGGTTGTCATACTTTATTTTCATAAGTCAAGCCAAACCTATTACGTGTGCATATATTATAAGCTGTTGTTTTTTATGCTACATAAAATAAAACATAAATATCACTTGCCTGGCGCCATCAAAAGTCCGTTTAAAATCTCAGCGATTTATGTGACGAAACAAGAATTTTGTTCAGTTTTATTTTATTACTAACATAGGCTTACAAACAAATGAATAACAATCAAAGTTAAGGTTTGAAAATTTTTAACTAAAATTTAAAATTATTTAACAAAATAACTAAACATAAATTGCTCATCATCGCGCTTTACAGTAAAATAAAATATGGATACAAGAAATTAAGATTCTACTACATATTTGGACGAAGAATCACGCAGAAATTCCCTTGAAAAGGCGCTCTTTTCTATATCATTTTTATATATTTATATTTAAATATAAGTGTGGTGTTTTTGTGTCTATGCAAAATACATAACTTGCTGCCAGCAGAGCGCATAAAATTTACAAATTTAAATTTTGTTACACTCTATGTATTATTAATATATATCATGAAATATTTAGCCGGCTATCACTGACAAATAACTTTGCAGGTTTTCATTTTGGTTTAATTGAAGCAATAAGAAACAATTGGTAAAGCCTCGCGGCCCAAATTTGAAAATTGTTTAACTAAATTATTTTATAGAACCCATTTTGTCATCTTGGTAAAGTAGGTTTTTTAAGGTAGGTTAGATAAATACTAAGGTTTAAGGTAATCTTTTCTCTAGCCTGCAAGTGTGTAGTTACACATCGTATTATAAGATTATACATGTTTATATATGTATTCATATAACTTTTATAAATATTCATTTGCACTTAAACCAAAAAATTGGTTTTAACGTTGACTAACATGCCACACAATCAAGTAACTCTTATCGCCTCGATTTTCGATCGTTTGATTCGGTTCCAGTTGAATACTGTTCTCCATGTCGTTATCATCTGTAAAAAGTCGATTCATCACAATTAATGTTATAGTTATAGGTGCTGCACACAAGTATGAAATATCTGAGAGATGGGTTAGTGCTACAATGAAAATCTACAGGGTATCATTAGGTTCCGAACTTTACAAAGACTATACAGGGCACAACACAGTTGGGAAGTCTTTAGGTGATTTTCATACTTATGTATTGCAATTTAGAAAGCATTTAAGTGAAATGTGTACCATTTTTATGGTCTTTTGTACACAAAAATTTTGTTAAAATAATAAATAAAATAATTATTTATATTTATAACTTAATAAAAGTAGTTGTTAAACAAAGTTATTTAGGAAAATAAATAAAATAAATCAGTTTTAACCAACACAAAATTAAAATAAGGAATATTAAACCCTTCAAACAAATATTCAACTTTGATACATAAATAGTGTGATTGCGGGTAATGTTTTTGGGACAAGGAACTGGATACACCAATGGAAACTTTTCTCTTGTGTGACTTTGTGTGCGATAAGACAGTATCATGTGCTTTGACAATAAACAGTGTTAATTGAATTATAACCTTCTAAAAGCCTTGAAACGCACTGTGAGTGAAGGAAATATGGTGCCGATTGGAACAATAAAGAAAAACATGAATAAAATTATAAATGGAATTGCGTAAACCTGCTTAGCGGTCTATTTCGGTTCAGGTCACTTCTGAGACAAATGCTGCAATTCACTTTTCGGTTCCCATCCTGCTAAAGATTGAAGGTTCTACGGATGGGGCAGAAATCACACAATTAAATCGTAGCAAGGGCAAACAAAACAAATCAAATTAAGACAGAAACAAAATAAAAAAACTAAGCATTTAACTAAAATAAAGAAAATTAAAACAGCAAAGCGAAAAACGAAAGAAAATTAAAATGAAAAGAAATCAAAGCTTACGTATCGACTTTCCAAACTATCAAGTGCGCTGCATTATCACTAGCATCGAACTTATCATGTCCTGCAGATGGGATGGAATATGGAATGGTTATACACGGCTCAGAGCTTCGCTGCCCGATCCGTCTCATCCGGCGGACTCGGTGGCCACTTACTTATGCGAAAATCGATGTAGCCCTCGCCGCCGCACATGACCAGCATATCGGGCCGCTTGTTGGTGAAGGTCAGTCCGCCGTTCAGGTTTGGCTGCTGTAGCATGGGCACCGAAACAAAGAACTTGACCGCATCCCGGTGGCCGTGGAAGGAGAGTTGAGCGTTGGCCATGCAGCAGAGCGGCATCTGACCATGTGGATCGGCTGCCAAAATAATAACAAACTTAGTACATTTGGTCGCAAGTATTACAATTATGTAGAGAATCTCACATGACGACTTCGGCTGCACCTCAGCCAGTGGCACCGAGATGATCACGCCGTTACTAGTACCGATCCACAGCCGGTTGCACGACACCATCAGAGCGGTGATCCGGACGAAGCTGAATCCCAGCTTTCCAGTGCCAAGCATCTTGGACACATACGGCTCAATGTCCACGTCTTGCTTGTGCTCGAACGTGTGCGTGTTGTACAGCCGCAGCGTGGAGTCCAGCCTGCATAACATACAAAGTCATCAAATTAAAAGAAGTCATCTAAAAGGGAGAAGAAACGCAAACCCACCTGATCGATACCCAGACACCTGCTCCCGTGGCCGCCATCTGCCGCACCTGACTCTCCTTGCGCGGATGAGCGTCCAGCGAGTGCACAATGTTGAGCGATACGGGGTCAACGATGAAGATCTTGTTCCGGTGCGCCGCCCAAATGCGTTCGCCGGCCACACAGAGGCAACGTATCGAATGGTTGCGATCACCGAGCGTCACCAGGTGATAGCTATTCAGATCCCATTG